TTTTATTTAATCTTAGTCCATAAATCCATGAAAGAAAATCAATTAAGTATATATTTTTTAATTTCCTCATTCTTTGTACTATCAACATGTGTCAATGAAAGCTAGTTTGTATCTTAACTCCTTTAATTTATATTATAGATAAATATGGATTTATCTTCATTAAGGAACCTCAATCCCTTAGCTTTAGGTTGATTAGTAAGTTTTAACATTTGTTTCGAATGTGTATAAGCGATGATAAAATTCGAGTTTAATCGGGAATAGATGAGGTAAAGTTCGTATATTCCAAATATCATGAAATTCTAATAGTTATTGAAGACGTACGTACGGACATACTAATTAAACTGGAAAAATAAAATAAAAAAGTTAATTATATATGACAGTTAGTCGTTAAACTCCTTAGGTAAACGACAAGCGATTCAATAAATTTTTGACTTTTGAGATGATGACAAACATGATAAATATCTTGGTATGTCGGTAGCGAATGATAAAACGAATATATAAATATTCAGATTCTTCTTGGATAAGCGATAAGCGGTTCAGAAAATATTGGCGTTCGAGTTGTTGACATATGTGATGAATACATTGGTGTGCTGGCAAGATATCGATAGCGAATGATAAACGAATAAAGATAAATATTTTGATTTGTCTTGAATAAGAGACAAGCGGTTCAAAAAAATATTGGCGTTTGAGTTGTTGACATATGTGATAAATACATTGGTGTGCTGGCAAGATATCGGTAGCGAATGATAAACAAATAAGTATAAATATTTTGATTTGTCTTGAATAAGAGACAAGCGGTTCAAAAACATATTGGCGTTCGAGTTGTTGACAGATGTGATTAATATATTGATATGTTGACAAGATATCGGTGGCGAATGATATAACGAATAAAAATATATTTGGATTTACCTGACATAAACGATAAGTGGTTCAAATAATTATTGACCTTCAGTTATTGACACACGTGATAAATACATAGTATGCTGGCAACATATCGATATAGGCTATAGGTCATAAAAAAGTGTTGGCTTTTCAAACGTACATGATAAATGCATTGGTATGCTGGCAACGTATCGACATATGAAAACAATGCATTGGTATGCTGGCAACGTATCGACATATGAAAACGATATATTCAAATTTGTGCCATATAAGGTACGATGAATAATCAAATATTGGAGCAAGAAATTATTAAATGATAGCATCGCCTAATAATTAAATGAGATAAAATAAAAAGAGACAGCGCGTGGAAGATACGTGCGCTTAAACTGCACTTCGCGTGCACTTAACGCGCTCTTAATCACATATGCACCTTAAGTACTCATGAGATTGTTGAAAGAAATTCTATCTATCAATATTACCAAAAAATCCCTATTGTCTTAGCTTATAACATCCTAAATAGTAAGTTGTAAAGGGATTTAGTTTGCCAAAAAAAAAAAATTAAAACATAGAGATAAATGTAATAATTAGAGTCAAAATAGGGGTATGGAATGCAATAAACACTAAATATATAGTAGTACCATGTTTGGCGGTTCAATATTTTATTTTTCAAAAATAAAAAAATGAATATAAAGATGTGGAAGAGGAGTGATAGTGGCAGTATGTATGTATATGTATTAGTGTGTCACGCTGATTATTGAGACAATGATGGGCCTCTGACACTCGATTGTACCACCCTCTTCTCACAACCCCACCCCACCCTAACATTCAATTAATTAATTAATTATTATTATTTTCAAAAATTAATGTATTTTTTTTTGTTTTTTCCTAAATTAATAATAACAAAATAAAGATTAATTGAATTCTTAAGATATTTTGAAAAATAATTTGTATATTCTACTATAAGAATATTACAAATTATTATTTTTTAAATTTTATTCGGTAGATTAGTAGATATGTAAATGAGGAGAGAGAAAGAGGAGAGAGAGAAAAAGGGTTGGGGGAAGGTGGGAAGGAAACTGAGACTGGTACTGAGAGAGGGTGTATTGAATGTGGAAAACTCGGATGACACGCTTCCAAAGCACGCTTTACGGGGAAAATTACGTCATTCTCTCTCTCTCTCCTCTCTTTCTCTCTCTTACATCTCTTTCTCTCTCTATTACATCTCTCTTCTGAGTTCTGACACACCCCCACACAGACCCCTCTCACCATTTCTTCTTCTTCCTCTGTCTCCACGCACGGATTTATATATATATTGATATTGGATGCTTTTTTCTTTATTCATTTAATTTTCAAATTTCATTTCAAATTCAATATAGAAAATAATAAAATTTAGTGGATTCCCACCATTTATTTAAAGAAATGAATTCGCGTTTAAATTGTACTCGATAAATCATATATCTGAAGGCGAGTTTATTTTGAATTAAAATGCGTCCGCGATTAGATCGAATTTGTGTTGACCCAATTTATTCGAGTACAAATTAGCCCGATCACGAGTCTCGTGACCCAGTTCAAACCAATTTATTGTTGTTTATAATTGATTTTAATTCCAACTCTCTTTTTTTTTTGTATTTTTTAAAATTGTAATATACACAATAATATTAATTAAAAAAAATAGATGAGGTGGAGCCGTAGTCAAATTTTATTACAATCGGAAACAAATATTCAAAGGGAATGAATATATATTCACGTGCAAGCATGAAAACGAAAAGCCAGAGAATGAAGGTAGGTAGCTGCTATAGGCTGCGTTGCATGCATTCCGTTTTTGCCATGCATGCTTTCTTCAGACGACAAATCGTTATTAGTTACGTATATATCTATCTTCTTATATATATTTTCATTAATCTCCATTTTTCTTTTATTAAATAAATTAATAAATAATCATTTAATTTTGTTTCTATTATCTACTCTCTTTTTTTCGTCTTCTTATTAATTCTTCTTCGATCTTCCTGTGTTCTTGATATAATACATGATTTTATATTAGGGTTAGGCCCACAAGAAACGCCAGCTAGTTAGCCTTCAAATTCCATTTTATTTTATGTCATGTACCTATATATGTACGTACATTACATATATATATATATATATATATATGCATGGTTTTTGGGTCCACTTATTTTTCACCTGTTATAAGTTCAGTGCCATGTTGCTTTACGATCTGCACCCCCACAAGAGGATAGATATATATATATATATTTTTTTGTAATTTTATTACATAATAATAATAATATACCTCTGTCATTTGGAAGAGAGACAACTCCTAGGATTGTCACCTCCTTTTCAAACAATACACATTCGTTTCTTTTTTGCTTTATTCTTTAATTTTTTTTATTATTTAATTTTTTTTTTCTGACCCAAGTTTTAATTTTAAGGGCCTTAAAAAAAGAAAATGAATGAAAGAAAGCCCATTAATAAACCCAATATGATTTAGATGAAGCTATTTCAATATGGGCCCGAACTAGTAATTCGTGGCCCGTTTTATAGGTTACCGGCCCATTGTTTCGTAAATTGATTGACTAATAGTAATTTTGACTTCCAAGTATAATTTAAAATTCAAAAAAATGGAACATTGAAAAATTATGTCGGTTTGTGCTTTTGCCAAATAACAAACTTATCTTAATTAGTAGCTATTTTTCGATCTACTAAAGCAAATTAAATAGTTGCGATTTTGAGTCCAAACTGAATTAATCATGAATTTAGCCCAACAACTCGATCTTCGTTCGAGGCGGCCGAAAATAGCACCAAGCCCACTCGGTGAAATTATTTAAAAAAATTAAAATCGAAATCTCGGATGTATTTGGCGGATTCCTATTTAAGAAAGTTTATAAAAACTGGAAATCAATACGAAGAATATAAGAGTAAACTGCAAAAACTACCCCTGTGTAATCTTGAAATAGCAAAAACCCCCCTGTGATAAATAAACTAGCAAAAACCTCCCCTGTGAAATTATTTAAATAGCAAAAACCCCCCTATGGAACTATTTGAGGGTTGGCTTGATATAAAAAGATACAAATACCCCTGGAGTTTTGCAATTAATAAATTCTTATATTTTATAAATATTTTAATTATTTTATTTAAAAAATAATCAATTTAGTTGTTTACTATTTTTTTAATTTCTAAACAAATAAATTAAAAAGAATAAATATAAATATAATATGTATATATATAAATACATTTTGAGGGACAATTTTGTCATTTCAAGTCTAAAAAATCAGCTAGGGGGGATTCTGCCTTTGACTAAATTTCACAGGGGGGTTTTTGCTAGTTTATTTATCACAAGGGGGTTTTTGCTATTTCGAGATAACACAGGGGTAGTATTTGCAGTTTACTCAAGAATATAATATTGTTCCAAAACTGATTTAATTTTTATATCAAAATTAATAAAATTCGAAAATTCCGCTCTAATTTTTACGACGGTGGACCGTGTCCAAAGTATGTTCAATGCAAATTGGTCCTCTATTAAATCATTAGTAAATTAATAAATGAAAAGGTGTATTTAACCTTTTTTTTTTTCTAGAACAACTTGTCTAATCATAATTAGACTTTAAGCAGTAATTAACTATTTTATCCTAACTAATTAACCTGTTGAATAAGTCATGTCTTTAATTATATCAATGTAATTCTGATGTCTTTTCTCCTATCAACTTCCTATTGGTTTAGGAAATTATGTGGAAATGATTAAGAAATCAAGAATCCCAATATTCATGCAACTTGTGAGGCATTATTATATTCACATAAATTATTTGTTATTTTTTTAAAATAGCAAATATATATATATATTTTTTTTAATTAATTATAGGCGATAAATACAATATATAATTAGACTACGAGACAATAATATAATTTTAGTGTAATTTTGTTATTGCATGTGCTTCCTTATGCTGATTGGTATAAAACCTAATTCATAATAAGATTGGGACAATCTCAACTAATGCTAACAATCGCCAAATAGATAACATTTTGGTCAATAAAGCAGCTCTTTTTTATAATTTATTAAAATCTCGATAAATTAATAATTTTATTTAATTAATAATTTTTCACGGTCACGATTCGATGACATCGTGTTGCAATATTAATTCAATAATTTAATATTTCACTAAATCAATAGAATTTTGTTAGTCTCCTCAGTGTATTAATTTATAAATGTTTAACTGAACGATGATTTCAATTAACCCCTTAGTTAAGACAAACTAGTAAACTACACATTTTTCTATATTTTAGTTTGCAAAATATCTATATTTATAATTTTTTTTCCTTTTTCTATTCTTACCGCAAATATTTTTGAAGTTTGATATAATTATAATGAATTCAAACTCTTATAGAGAACCCTTTAAATTGTTACAAACATCCTTGTAAAATTCATATTTTTTTCTTACAATTTTCCTGAGTGTAAATACAATTTATTAAAAAAAATAAAAAATCAAAATAATAATTGTAATATACCTTTGACTGAAATTTGTAGTCAATATTGTCAAACCTAATAAACAAGAAAATAGTAATAAATATTCTACATTGACGTGGGAGGAAAATAGAAGCACCAATTATCTCTCTCATATCATATAGATATGATGATATATGTAAATTAAATATATCGAATTAGTGCAAAAAAAAAAAAAAAAAAACCGAGATCAAACGATCAAGTTAGAATTATTTTATCGACGGCTTCCAGGTAAATTACTATACGACCCTAGAAGTTTATCTACTGCACTTATATATAGCTCTGATTGCGAGTTTTTTCTTTATTAATTAAAAAAATATAAAAACATTGATCTTTTTAAGTTTTATTTATTTATTTAATATTTACTTTCATAAGACGCTACCATTCATTAATCCTACCTAATTAAAAAAAAAAAACTAGACACAAGTAACAAAAGACAACCTTTTTCCTAGTCCCACGTATTTTGACCTCTCAGGACCAAGGGTAATAGCGTCATTTCACAAGCTCACCACCCCCTACCTAGACCCCTCGGCTTCAAGGGCTAAAAAATGAAATTAAGATAATCTGGAAACCATCAAAAGCAGTGCAAATATTCAAAACTTAGAGGACTGTATCATAAATAAAGCAAAATGTAAGTCCCCGCTTTTGAAAGGAAAAGATTCAGTCAATTGACGTTTCTACCCCCGTTACTCAGACACTACTCGTGGCTGTGAAACAGGGCTATATTCGTCATTTAACATCGGAAAAGGACTTAAACAGTAAATTTGACCAAATGAGAAGGACTGAAATGTAAATTTCATTCTGAGAGCCATTATGATATCTGCTACACCCCACCCCCCCACCCCCCCTCCTTCAATCCACCAACAAAGCTAATCAGAAGTAAAGAGAATTTCTTTAGTTCTCTGCAAAACAAATACTGCTCTCTACCTTTCTTTCCCAAAAAAAATTAAATAGAAAAAAAAAGAAAAGGATTAAAAGGGAATTCTCGAAAAGAATTACAGATTTTGTTTTGTTCCCTTTTTCTTTTATGGGTTCTAGGTAATCTTAATCTATGGTTATCTGCACTTTCAATGGTGTTCAAAAAAAATGTTCATGGTGTAATAATAAAAAAAATAAAAAATAAACGTGTCTTAATTCGTTACTCGTCTGCAGTATTGTTTTACCCTGTATTGAGTTTTCATAAGTTAGTTCCTTCTGTTCATGATTTTTGTTTATTTTATTTTGGTTTCGAGATTTCTGGGTCTTTGTCTCGGAACCCAATTGGTGCACTGTATTTATTTATTAATTAATTAATTGCTATGTTTTTTTGGGTTTAATGATGTAATAAAATAAATTTCAGGGGGTGGATGAAGTAGAAGGAGATATTTTATCTCGAAGATCTGATATTCGTGTTCTGCGCTATTGAAGTGCAAACATGTCTCAGACCAACTGGGAAGCTGATAAAATGTAACCCTTCTTTTCTCTGCTGCTAACTTTTTTTTTTTTTTTTAATATTTTCTTACGGCATTAGTTAATGTTGTTTGTATTAAGTTTTCGATTTCTGGGTCTGCTGTTTCTTGAAAAAAGTATGTTCAATCTTGGTTAGTTCTTTGGGATTTTAGGGTTTTGTGTGTGTGTGTGTGTGTGTGGATTAGCCCTTTTGTGTGTGTGTGGTTTTCAAGAAGAAGAAGAGGGGTTTCACTGTATGTAGAGGGCTGAAGATATTTGTGTAAATTGGATATGGAGTTTGGTTTTAGGGTTTCGTATTTCGTCTATCGTTTTATTGATTAATTGCGTTTGGACAACTTAAATCTTACGCTGACAACTGGATTGTACTTTATGCCTAGGTTGGATGTCTATATTCACGATTATCTTGTGAAGAGAGATCTAAAGGCCACTGCTCAGGCTTTTCAAGCCGAAGGGAAAGTCTCGTCGGATCCCGTTGGTATGTAATAGGATATTTTCTTCCTTATTTTTTTACTAATTCCTTTTTATCCATTTTAATTTTAATTTTAATTTTAATTTGTGTGCGTGTGTTTGTGTGTGTGTTTCAGCTATAGATGCTCCTGGTGGTTTTCTATTTGAATGGTGGTCCGTTTTTTGGGATATCTTTATTGCGAGAACGAACGAGAAGCACTCTGAAGTTGCCGCTTCTTACATTGAGGTTCGGTGTATAATCTTCAAATAAGTCCGTTTTTTACTATATACACATAAACTGTCTATTTCACACACTATTCGTACAAATTTCGATAAAATTTTAGTAGTCGATTTGTCTAATGCTATTTGGTTCGTGAAATCTAATTTCGAGAAAAAAAAATATACAGACTCAGTTAATGAAGGCAAGGGAACAACAACAACAACAACAGCAGCCGACACAATCACAGCATCCTCAGCAACAACAACAATTACAAATGCAGCAACTTTTATTACGACAACAACAACAGCAGCAACAACAGCAGCAGCAGCAGCAACAACATCAGCAGCAACAACAACAGCAACAACAGCATCAGCAACAACAACACCAACAAAATCAGCAACAAAATCAGCAACAACAACATCAGCAACAACAACAGCAGCAGCAGCAGCAGCAACAACAACAGGCGCACCAGCAACAACAGCAACAGCAACAAAGGCGTGAGGGTGGACACCTTCTCAACGGTTCATCTAACGGGATTGTCGGTAATGATCCGCTCATGAGACAAAATCCCGGTACTGCTAATGCATTAGCGACAAAGATGTATGAAGAGAATTTGAAGCCACCCGTTCAGAGGGATTCTTTGGACGATGCTGCTTTGAAGGTAAATTTGCAACTTTATATTCAGTTCCTAATGCTAGCAGATATTTTACCGTAAAGATTCGATTTCTGATATTTGGGTCTCGTCTGTTCTTTCAGCAAAGATTCGGCGATAACGTGGGCCAGCTTTTGGATCAAAATCATGCTTCGATTTTGAAATCAGCTGCTTCAGCTGGCCAGCCGTCTGGGTATGTTCGATATCATATCTTTTGTAAAATCCCGATTTTTTTTTCCTTTTCTTTTTCTGTTGCCTCTTTTATTTAACTATTTTTATTTGAAATAAAAAGAATAAATAAAGAGTCGTTTTCGTTTAGGTTATGTACAATTTTTTGTTGGTCTTAATTTTGTTCGTATTTCAGACAAATGTTGCACGGTACAGCTGGTGGAATGTCTCCGCAAGTTCAAGCACGGAGTCAACAGTTTCAAGGCTCTTCACCGGTGTGTATTTGCCGTCTTTTGTTTCTCTCTTGCTATTACATTTTTGTCTAAGACACGTGGCGTTGAAATACGTAAATGTATACATTCATTAACAGGAAATCAAAACCGAAATGAACCCGATCCTGAATCCAAGAGCCGCTGGTCCCGAAGGATCACTAATTGGGATTCCTGGTAAGTAATTATTGTCGTTAAACACATAAATTCTTCCATTGTCGTGATGAAGAAAACCGAGTATTGCTATAAGTAAATCGTAGTCATGTCCGTTTTTTTCATTTATTGATATTTCTTGTATATGTTGTATTAAATATTCATCATATATATTTCAGGGTCAAATCAAGGTGGGAATAACCTGACATTGAAAGGATGGCCTCTAACAGTAAGTATATTATGTTTTTTACACTTCTTTCGCCTTCGACCTTTCTGATTGCGATAATTTCTGTCGACCCGATACTTTTTGAGGTGTTATTCCCGCATGGTGATGAAAAAGATACACGATCTTAAACAAACCATGGAAACCCTATTCTTGAAAACTACTAGTTAGACGCATTCGAATCTTGTTTCTTGATTTTCGTTGTCCCGTAAAATTCGTTATCGTGGTTATTTTATTAATTTTCTTTTGCGCGCGTTATTTTGATAGGGTTTCGATCAGCTTCGATCGGGGCTTCTCCAGCAGCCGAAGTCGTTCATGCAGGCCCCACAACCCTTTCATCAACTACAAGTTCTGACACCTCAGCACCAGCAGCAGCTTATGCTCGCTCAACAGAGCTTGACTTCTCCATCGGCAAACGACGCAGAGAGCAGGAGACTAAGAATGCTTTTCAATAATCGAAGCTTGTCAATGGGAAAAGACGGCCTTTCCAATTCTGTCGGTGATGTTGTTCCTAATATCGGTTCCCCCTTGCAAGCTGGCGTCTTGCCTCGTGCAGATCCAGAAATGTTAATAAAGGTTGCTTCTCCCCACTAATCAATTACCAAATTGTGTGTTTTTTTCTTGGAAATTTGATGATGTTAATTGTTTTTTTTGGGTTTTCTTTTTGGTAGTTGAAATTTGCTCAAATGCAGCAGCAGCAACAGCAGCAGAGCAATAATCAGGCGCAGCAGCAGCTTCAACATCATGCTCTGTCTAGTCAGCAGCCACAGAGTTCGAATCATAATCTCCAGCAAGATAAAATTATGGGTCCCGGTGGTGTGGCCGGTGATGGCAGCATGTCGAATTCGTATAGAGGAAATGATCAGGTCTGTCCTTTTTTTCTTATTATTATATACTTTTTTAGATTTTTTATTTTGGATTCTTTGTACAATTGCTTTTAATTGTGTGTATAAACAAAAATTATCCGATTCTTGTACTTCAAGTGAGTCTTTTGCTAAAACTCGTGCAGTTGCCGGAATTTCTTATAGCCCTCGTAATTCTTTAATGTAAGGAATTGTATTACCAAGGTTTAGACTCGATTAAACGCCATTAACGATATCCATCAATTGGTCGTCCGCAAGAACCATCAATAAACTTGATAATGAGCTTTTTTTAGCTCATAATCAGTTTTTTAATGTTTGTAACACTAGCTTTTGCTTATGAGCTTTTAGAAATAAGCAGCTTTTTAGCGGTAATGTGAGAAGCACCTTTGGAGCTGCTGCTTCAATTTTTAATCACTTCCGTACCCTAACTTTCCATATCCAAATTCCAATTATGAGGACAATTTACATCTTTCCAATTATTAAGCTAAAAAATAAAGTCTATTTGCAAACACGAAGTTTACGAGTGTGTTTTTGTGTATTTAAAGGCTTCAAAAAACCAGACCGGGAGAAAGAGAAAGCAGCCCGTTTCATCTTCGGGCCCCGCTAATAGCTCAGGAACAGCCAACACAGCGGGCCCCTCTCCAAGTTCAGCTCCATCGACACCTTCGACACATACGCCTGGAGATGTGATGTCATCAATGCCAGCTTTGCCACAAGGTGCCAGCTCATCAAAACCGATGATGATGTTTGGAGCTGATAACACTGGTACTCTTACATCACCATCGAACCAATTGGTAAGAGAACAATTTGTCTTTCCTAGCCCCCTTTTTTTTTTTTCGTGAACAGAGTTTTTTAACAACTTAGTTTGATCAATCTCTTACAGTGGGATGATAAAGATCTAGGGCAAGCGGATATGGATCGATTTGTGGACGATGTTGAAGACAATGTGGAATCGTTTTTATCGCATGACGATGCTGACCCTCGTGATTCAGTCGGCCGGTGTATGGATGTAAGCAAAGGTAAATAATTTTTTTTTTTTTTTTTTTTTCAGTTTTCTCGAGCATGTATGCTGGACATGTCATTATTTTCTGATCGGAAAAATGTTTGCTTCTTAGGGTTTACGTTTACGGAAGTAAGTTCTGTTCGAGCTAGTGGGTTTAAAGTTGCGTGTTGCCACTTCTCGCCCGATGGGAAGCTTCTTGCGAGTGGCGGACATGACAAAAAGGTGAGTGCAGGAATCGAGAAAGAGTTTTTTTCGGTTTTGCTAATTACGAAAAAACTCAAATTTCTTGAAGTTTTGAATGTTGATATTTTTGCTAGCTATTTGAAATAACGGGATTGTTAAAAATGACGATGCAGGCGGTTTTGTGGTACGCTGACAGTTTGAAGCCGAAGACTACGCTCGAGGAACACTCTTCTCTTATCACTGACGTTCGTTTCAGTCCTAGCATGGCCCGCCTTGCCACATCATCCTTTGACAAGACCGTCAGAGTCTGGGATGCGGATAATGTTAGTCGATAACTGCTTTTATTAAATATCGTTCTCTTTTCTGTTCTCTCTTTTTTTCTGAACTCTTTAGGAAATTCTCGTATATTTTTTGAGGATGCCACTTAATCCTTAAATATTGTCTCGTTTGTTGCAGCCTAGCTATTCACTTCGTACCTTTACCGGACATTCTGCTGGTGTGATGTCATTGGACTTCCACCCAAACAAAGATGACCTCATCTGCTCATGTGATGGGGACGGTGAAATAAGATACTGGAGCATAAATAACGGGAGCTGCGCCAGAGTTTTCAAGGTACAACAAAATCAAAATACAACAAAAAAAAAATATCTTTTTTTCTCATATTCATTCTCGTATATTAAACTTTTTTTCTTCGATTGTTGTAGGGTGGGACCGCCCAAGTGAGATTCCAACCTCGTCTTGGAAGATACCTCGCAGCTGCTGCAGAGAATGTCGTCTCGATTCTTGATGCAGAGACACAGGCTTGCAGACATTCGTTAAAGGTCGGTTTTTTTTAAAATTTTTGTAAACATAAATCTTGATTGTCTTACTTTTGCAAGTATTGATTTTTGTATATATATATATAGGGTCACACGAAACCAATTACTTCTATTTGCTGGGACCCGTCTGGAGAGCTGTTGGCATCGGTTAGTGAGGATTCAGTGAGAGTATGGACTATGAGATCTGGTAGTGAAGGGGACTGTTTGCACGAGCTTAGTTGTAATGGAAATAAATTCCATTCTTGCGTTTTTCACCCGACATATTCTTCGTTGCTCGTTATTGGTTGTTATCAGGTAATTTTTAAATTTTATTTTCAATTATTTTTGAAGTTACTAAAATCTCGTCACATTCTTGAATTGCTGATTTTTTTTTTAATTTTCTTTTCAGTCGCTTGAGCTGTGGAACATGACTGAGAACAAAACAATGACCCTTTCGGCACATGAAGGATTGATTGCTTCGTTGGCTGTATCGACAGTGGCTGGATTGGTTGCTTCGGCCAGTCACGATAAAATTGTTAAATTATGGAAATGATTTTTAGGCCCAAAACGAAGAAGAAAAAAAAAATTATATTTTGCTGTTCTGTGTTATTTGTCTTGAGTTTCGTTGAAACATCAAGAGAGCTTGGAACTAACTGCTACTAGTGTTTGTGAGTTGATTTCGTAGCCCTACGATGGACATTTTTTTTTTTTTTTTTTTACTTGTTTAATTGGTTTTAAGTTGTACTAATTTGCAGGATTTTTATCGGACGATGTTAATGTGGACTTGTTCTAACCTGGAAAAAAACACCCGGAACTTTTCAACTGTTGATGCCTGTTTTTGAATTAGGAGTTTTTCCTCCTTGGGTGTTGTTTGTTGTACTATTATTGATATAAATACTATTGTTTTGTTCACTCGTAAATTAGTTTGTTTTTGTCGTAAACTTTAATTGGTTTTAAATAGTAGTGATCGACTGAATAGCGGAAATTCATTCACTATTTTTCAAAGCAAGACATCGAGTAAAATCTGAATTTGCAGTAAATATATTGGGCTTAAATGGGCGTTGATAGTATTGAAAATTATTAAATTGGGCTAAAGTTGGGTCTCAAATTGGTCCCACAAATTGCCTGTAATTGTTTTGATTGGGCCGGAAATTGGGCTGAAATATGCCTATAATTATTCACATTGGGCCTGAAATTGGGCCCTCAATAAGCCTGTCAATGTTCATTTTGGGCCTTTAATTGGACCGAAATATAGCTGTAGTTGTTTCAATTGGGCCTGAAATTGGGCTAAAATATGCCAGTAAATTTTCTAGCTGGTCCTACAATCGTGCCGAAATCTGCCTACGAAATTTTCAGATTGGGCCTGAGATTGGGCCAAAATTGGGCCCCAATGGGCTGTGTTGGGTCTGATTTTGGGCTCAATTGGGCCTGGCAATTGGCTTGATTGAACTAAGAATTTATGTGAAAAGGCCACAATTTAATTGGACTTAGTTGGGCCTATTGTATTTGAATGGGCCTATAATTGTGCTAAATTGGCCTTAATTAAGGCTGGAGTTAGATTGTAGATATTATTAATAAACTTAAAATAAAATTTCAGGCCTAATTAAAGGTCAATTCAAGGGAGACAATCCAATCAAAAGTCATGGTATGTATACTTTTGAAAATAAATAAAACAAAGATCAAAGCCACATCCATCTAAGCTATTAATCCATCAGAAAAAAACAAAAATCAGACCTGCTACAATCCGAAATACCAAATAACTTAAAAGCAATTAATTGTTTGTGAATAGCAATCTAAACGCTGCAATAAAGTTCAAAATTGGCAAAATACAAACACATCAAATAAACATACAAAACTACCAAAACTTAGATTTAGCCAAAACATATAAAATTCGGAACAAAATAAGAGGGGAAAGTAAAATTGGTTGAGAGTATCATCATAGAGAGAGAAGTTGAACAGGGCTTATCTATGAATTTACCTCCTCCTCATTCCACGGCCACGACCCCTACCTCTACCACCACCCATAGCACCAGCATCTCCTTGTGCACTCTCAGACTGCATTCATTACACGATTCACATACCATTCGTACATATAGAATTATTATGGGCATAATGAACTTACAACTCGAGAGTATCACGAGAAATAATACCTTGGGGTTTTTAACAGTTTCATCAACACTCAAGACCAGGCAAGCTGCTTCAGTAGCTGCATTTATGGCATTAATCTGCAGAATCGGGAGATACAATAATGTTAAGCAGTTATCCTACCAAGTAATCACCAGATTTCGAATACCAAGGTCTTCACTAGATGAGATTGATTGAATTAACTATGATTACATACACTGTCCAACATAATGTAATATGCAATTATTTTGTGATTATACAAGTCTTTGTATCAGTTGATAGATAGCCTTCATTGGATTGTGCAATAATAGAGCCGGATTATAATGTCTTTGAACCCTAATCCTAGTTCCCAAACAATGTGTAAAAAGGATTAAATTAAATTTACCTTCACAACTGCAGGCTCCCACACAAAGTTGGCAAAGGAATCGGAAATTCCACCAGTGTTGATGTCCACACCATAAGAGGCACCCTCACCTGTTTTACAAATTAAGGCATGAAAATTATCAATAAAGCCAACCCATGTACTAGCAAATAGCGCAAGGGCAAATTTGGAAATGCGATTCATATTCAAGTACAATACGCTCACCAGATGCAAGAGCATGCTTCTGCCTCAGTTTGTTCAACACATCAGTCGCATCAAAACCAGCATTGTCACACAGTTGCCTTGGGATTACCTACGAAAAAACAAGTATTAGGTTTGTACAGGATACTTAACTAGAAACTCTACTTACTCGAATTATATTTCTAGCATCAATATAAGATGGATATTTTGAGATAATATCTATTCTGGGGGATTCTTGGTTTTGATCCCAAACGGAAATTTAGAGTGAGTATGGATTAGCACAAGATCTACCTCAAGGGCTTTAGCATAAGCATTTATAAAGAGCTGGGACTTTCCAGCAATGGTACGTGCATGCTGCCTCAAATATCGGCTTATCTCCATCTGCAGAAACAATATAAGTTTAGAAAAAGGTGACGATATTAGACAAACTTCACATTACACAATGTTTGGATGCCAATAGGGAATTCTTACATCAATAGCACCGCCACCAGCAACTACAGTAGAATTTCTCATAGCCCTTCGAACAATCATAATCGCATCGTGTAAACTTCGCTCAGCCTCCTCAATAAACTAAATCCATCAAAGACAAAATTAGAGCCAAAGTCCAAAATATATTTATACATAGATACAGGGTCTATATTGATACAAACCTGATCTGCTCCACCACGAAGAACAATTGTGGCAGTCTGACCAGATGGGCATCCACTAAATATGTTAAATCGCTCGTTTCCAACTTGCCTCTCCTCAAACAGGTCACAAGTTCCAAGAACCTTCCAAAAAGAATTTTCAGTACAACTCAGAATATGAATTCATATAGTAGAACATTTAGTCGAATTGGACCTTGGTTACAACAAACAAGAGAACTACCTCGTCGATTACGTTGTTCACAGTGGTCTGAAGAGTTCCACCTGTAGCCGCTGCAACCCTCAACAAATCTTCTTCAGTAACACGACCAGCGCAGAATATGTCACGATCTGCAAAATACTGCAAAAAGAATGATTTAAATATAACAGCGTTCATTCTTTTCTTCCATACACAATTATGAGCTATTTTTTCAGTTTCCTTTCCCTTTATTCATGTTAAAGATGAAATAAAGAAAAAAGTGATAAACTACGCAGCTCGGTCAAATTGATCAATGCTAATAGATCCCATGATTCTTTAACTAATAAATATACATAAAGTGTATACTCCCTTTTAGTAAATATGCACATACACACACACACACACACACACACACACACACACACACACACATATAAGCATAATGCTATCACCTTTATCAATGAATGTTAATGAATAAAATGGTAAAAACAAGTACCTGAGTTGCCAGATCACCAATAGCAAGTCGTGACAGAACAATTTTAGCTCCACTTTCCACACATTTATCCAACTTGTCATAAATGATATTCCATTCTGCATCTACGATTGATTGATATTGTAATGGATCTGACAATCTGTATATAAAGAGGTTTTCAGAACTTATTCGGCAGTAACCTTGTAGATGACATAACAAATTAAACAAGAAACAATTGTAACCTTATCTCAGCGTTTTCTTTCTCCGATTTTAGCTCCAATTCTATGTTTAGCAAAAGTATCTTGGGATTTACAAATTTCTTTGGCTGTTGCTCAAAACCGGCATACGAGAAGGTCTTTTTGAAGGCCACACCATTCACAAGAAAAGAGTCCCTCATGGTACCTCCAGGAACCTACAAAGGCATAATTAACATAAAAAGACAGAAGACGAGAGTAGAGTATGTATACATAGATACATTCAGTTGAAATGAAACTAACAGATTTAGCTAAAATAGCAACACTTCGTGCTTTGAAACCCAGTTTTACATAATTAATGATACGTGTACGATCATGCTTCAAGCAGGCACTTATGAATATCCCATTCAAGCCCTTGAAAGACATGATTGATAACATCTCTTAAACAATTCGGTGAAAATTTAACACTAAGTACGAGATTTACATACCTTCTTGATTCCAATCATGTTCAACCTATCACCATTCCCAATGGCAATGACAGCATCTACCACCATGGTTGCAAAGAACTCCTTTTCACCACCAATGAGCTTAGAGGATAGTGTTGTAGCAGCACATTTAGCCAGTAAACTCTTCTTTTCTTCCATGCTTTTTCCCTCTATGCTAACAGCTAAATCTTTAATCTTTGCAATAGCCTATTAAATGATCATAAGACAAAGCATGAGACCACCCAAGTCCAAATTCAAAGAGAGAATATTAATCTCCTATGCCTACCAAATTAGAAGCTGTTCGGTAACTGCGAATAAGGTTCTGAGGATGAACCCCATCTTCAATAAACGGCTTTGCTTCCTTCAGGAATTCTCCAGCAAACAGAACTACACTAGTGGTTCCATCACCAACCTGAAGAACAGCATAGAGACGGTGAAATAAAACTAGAATATTTCCAAACAGTTCATATTTCATATTTCAACGCGTCCTACATTTCACGATTAAGAGTTCTATATTTGTCAAAATCCTCATAAGAAGATAATTTAACTAGAAGTTCACATCACAATACGAAGTAAGGAAAACCAATGGAATACAACGGTAATGATACCTCAGAATCTTGGGACTTTGCAATATCTACAAGGATCTTTGCAGCAGGATGGATGATGTCAAGAAGTTTCATTATGGTGGCACCATCATTAGATATGGTGGTCCCCTTGTCATCATGGATCAATTTGTCCATGCCTCTTGGACCAAGAGTCGTTCGTACAACATCAGCCACAGCCATGCACGCATTCATGTTGCTTATTAGTTGTGGTTTCCCTTGGGATGTATCAGTCCCTTCCTTGAGAAGGATAATCTGGGGTTGCTGTTGTTTGATCACCAATTCACCAAATACAGTTAGTTAAACCATGAAAAGATCAGTATATGCAAAGCGAAAAAACGCAGTCCAATAGAATAGTTCATTTTCACAAATTTCATCAAAATACAGTTTATTGACAAGATGACATCTTCCCATCGAACAATTTTATCTCATCATATATCACAGATTAGCTGCGACTATCCAAGATTCGCAGTATTGGTTGCAAAACAGAAACAGGAAGTTTCACAATTTATTTTCGTTGCACAAAAACCCTAATAACCAGATGTTCAAATGCTCAAAACACATAAATACTAACCTGATAACTTTTACACACTACTTAATATGATCTAATTACTGTGATATCCACACGAAACAATCTCAACACCAAAAACCCACGTAACAGCTAGACCAAACAATGCCAATATGTGTTCATTTAATACATATATTTCCTATTTCTCGTGTTCTAGAAACGAAGGGTAAAGAATCAAAATCCAACAATAACATTCTCAATTTCCCGGGGGAGAAAACACATACAAATATCAATCTCCAAAATTCTAAAGCTCTACTATTTTTGTTTTGAAAAAACATACAACTAAAGACGAATATAACGACCAGGGTGACGTGAAATTAGGAACCGAGCATGTAGATCTTGCCCGAATCCACCCAACATTCCGATTGTATGAATAAGAAAAACAGTAATAACTCAAAGTTCTATTCAAGCCAACCAAACCACAAACCAAATCTGGTCCAGAAATTTAAATTACTACCGCTGCAGAAAAACCACCAATAAATAAGAAACAACTACTGCTACAAACACAACCGTTGCGCTGCCATCGCATTCTTAGCAAATAATCCTTCATGCTACTCCAAATCCAGAAAAATAAAAAATAAACTCAAAAGTAGAAAACGAACACGGAAGAATCCGAAACCCTAAACCAACAATCAAGGGCGCAGTATAGTGTGAAGCAACGGGAAAATGAAAATGGATCCTCTTCCGACAAAGCTTGCAAGAAACAATAAAACGCACGAGAGATTCAGACAAGATCGCGAGCTTACCATCATGGACGACATTGTGGATTCAGTTACTGTTTGCGCGAAATGAGTTTTTCGTGAGAGTTCAAAGAGAGAGAGAGAGAGAGAGAGAGAGAGAGAGAGAGAGCTGAGAGTGCAACGGGGGAAAGTTCTAGGGTTTAACTCCTTTCTTTGGGAGGGGTGGTTTCTGGTTTTTGGCTTTAAGGCCGTGTTTGGGTTGCTGGAAATGCTTTTCAAATATATTGTCACAACAAATTTAATTCCGCTCTTATGAAATTAAAAATATATTGTTAATGATACTTAAATCTAAGGGTAAATTATGCAAACCCCCTAAACTTATATTAAACTACAAATACCACCTCCACTTATTCGTAATTATCAAACAATCCCTGAAATTTGTTTCTGCTTTACACCAACCCCTTACATTGTGACTTTTCACGGATTTTTTTTATTCTAGGGAACGGAATATAGACAAATTTCAAATATTTTCTTTTATTTTTCACCTATTTAACGTAAAGTATAATAATCTGTACACGTTTTCTGTTAAAAAAAAGGGGAATTTTGGTTATGACGGATAGGTCGGGTATTTTCCGCTATTTAGCCTACGTTTAGGGGGTTTTTCGAAATTTACCTAAATCTAATCATTAATTCGTGGTTACAATTTAAACTTTTGTTATTTAATTAAAATAAATATTTTTGTACTTCTAGTGTTGCAAGTAGATCTAAGAAAAGTGTAAATGACCATTTTGCCCATAATAGATCTGATCCAACATATTTTTTACTTAATTACAAATCCAAACAGACCTTAATCTTTAATTTCCAAATAAACGAACGGAATCTCCGAGATTCCCACAAAAACCTCTTCATATGATACACTCTTTACTACTAGACTGATTTCAACATCGGCGCAGGCTTGCAGCTGATAATTGGATTTAGCTGCAAAAGAAGAAGAAAAAATGGCGGAAAATACGGTAAATTCGACCCCTTTATTGCCTTGTTAAATAAGCTTGCATAAACCAAAAATGGGGGTTTTTATAAGGGTTTAGAAACTTCATCAATTGCAGTGGCGCTTAATTGTAATCCATTTTCTTAATTGTTTGCTTTAATGGGGAGAACATACGTTTATTGTTCGTTTTGATTCAGTCAATTTGTTAATTATCTAAAATGTAAATGACATTTTCATTTGAGATCATAAGTAAATTCATTTACCTGCAAATTGCAATTGATTGACCTAATTCTCCAGAACCAACAGGAGGCTGATGCTTTGGATGAAGTGCGGCTTCTACGCGAAAGAATCGACAGAGAATATCCTGATTCGATGGGGTGGAGAGTAGTATCACTTTTGGAGTCTTTGAAGGTTGTTGTCTTTTTTCGTCTTTTGCCCGTATTTTTAGCAATCTCTTTTATTGTTATTGCAAATTCCTTATGTGTGTTATCGAATTTACGAAAAGATACTGTTTTTTTGTGCACGTCCTGCATTTGCTGAGCTGCGTAGTTTTACCACTCTGTAAAAACAATTATGTAAAATGGAGGGAGATATAGAACTATCGTATTCTTTCAAAAGTTTCGTTTGCCTTCTTTGTTGCGGTTACATTGCTTGATCGGATTATTATCTATGGCTAATCTTGAATTGGATTTCCATAGGCGCTTGATAATCAAGAATCTGAAATCAATTCTTGGCGAAGCTCAGATTGTTCTAGATTGCAGCAAGAAGTTGACGCGCTTAATGAAAGGCTGCATAGTGGTAGAAATTACGAAGATTCTTTCGAGTTTCATCCTTCTTTTCAAGACTCTAGTGAGAGATTGGAGTTGCTGAAGAAGGTTAGATGAACAATCTATATAAATACCTTATATATGTATATTTTATGTATTTTTGGTCGTCACTGTCGTAAATGTCGTTAGATGATTTCTGTGCAGCGATATTCAGCAGATGCATTTTCATTAACTTCACTTGAAATGCGGCAACTTGTTTTGCTCTCAGCTTATTTTAAACTACACTTTGTTTTTTTCAGCTTGTCCACAAAATTTCAGGATAAAATTTGTGACATGGTTAATTTCGTAATTTGTTGGTAGGAACTTGCCACAAAGTTAAGATCAATTGTGTCGCTAAAGCGACAGCTTGACGAAGTGCCATCGCAGGCTGAATTAATACAGTAGTACCCTTCGAACAATCTTTATTGTTGCTTTTGAAAGTAAAGCCGAAATATTCTTTCTTGATTAGTCTTATTTATTAGTTTTGAATTTGTGACTCGTAATGCAGGTATGAACTCCGTTTCTCAGAACTTAATACTCAAATTCAGGTAAACGCGTTGGAATTCAATAATTGCAGCATAATTTATATCCTCATTGTTATTGGATTTTATACCAGGCTGAACTGTACCTGCACTTGCTATTTTCTAGAAAAAGCTTGTAAACACCCGTAAGCACTACGATACATATAATGCTTTGTTGGAGATTCGAGAATTGATGCTAAAGGAAACATCTTTGTTGAACTCAATCAGTTTGCAGGTGAAGCTTCTGGAAGACTAGAATTAGTATTTTATTTATTTATTTATTTACGAATATATGTGCATTGATTTCTTGTAGTTCCAAAATGCTATTACTAGTGCTGATGGAAGGATAAAACTGATCAACTCTCTTGAGGGAATTTTAAACGGAACCCAACAGGTATAACTTATTACAACATCTTGACAAATCACTCGAGATTTTATGAATTATTTGACGATTTTTTTTTTGCTGATGTCTTAATTTTACAGAAACTCGAGAAAGTGCAACTGGCGCTGCAATCAGAACAGAAGTCACATGATAATACTAAAGAGAGTTACACAGCTGCAATTTCACAGCAAAGACAGTGCTCGTCTTTCTTGAAACTTTTCCAGGTACACTAATGCTAAATTTTGAATTTAAACCAAATGTGTTTTGAACAATTGGAAATTTGTTATATGCGTGACGATTTTGGTCCGATAATTGGAAGAAAAAAAATTATTGGCATTATTATCAGAATCTATCCTAGTTTTGTCCTAACGAAGATCACACAACTATGAACACACCTCGTACGCGTTTGCATATTCAATCTTGTTATATAAACATACAATCTTTGAGCTTCTATATTTTGATGAATCTGAAGTTAAATCATTCTTTTTAATTTCATATAAAAGTTCTTACATATATATTTCCAGGAAGAATGTGCACGGAATGAGAAGCTTCGGGCGCAGATACGCGAGCATGGACCTTCTCCTCACCAAGATAAACGAAAATAGTTTTTATAGAAATATTTGGAATTTAATGATAATGACGTTGGGGTTTTTGTAAATCAGTCCCAATTCTTGAAATCTTGTTTATTACTAATCATAGCTAATTTTTTTCTTGTGTAATTTAGTTCAAAATCGATATTGCGTAAGGCTCAACCACGCACCCTGTGGTTTTTGTTTGATAGTAAATCCGAGTGAGATGATATTCGAAAATCGTTCCTAATATTTCTGATAAATAAGTATTGGAAATAATACTATAATTACTTATTTGCGGATTGTTGAAGAAAAATATTTATGTAGGTTCGATGATTCTTTGAGATCATATTTTTCTTTCGTATGCGTGTGGTTGTGTATGTAGGTGTGTAATTATGTGTGTCTGTTAGCAAGATTCGGCGATGGCAACAGGGGCGGAGTAAATTTGACGGAGTGCAGAGGGGTTGGACAGAATCTGACGGAGTGCAGTTAGATGAGACGGAATAAAATCGAATTTGAAGAACATATGACTTTTAACAAATTACAAAAAAATCAACTATCTTGAAATTTGTAAAAAGCACTTCTTGAAAACTCTTCCAAAAATGTGAAGAATATTAAGTAAATGTCACATGCAAACTATAGTTGCAATCTTGTCACACTATGGAAAATTATATTGTGTTAATCTCTTTATTAACTATAGTTTGGGAGATTGGAAACAGAGCTAAAAGTGGTCAATATTTGGACTTATTGGTCGTGACAAGACTTTGAATAATTAATTCAATTCCACTACGTAATCGCAATTAATTAATTGATTAATTAATTAATCCAACATTTGTTCTTTTGTATGCTTTTATCGTTGATTATTTATTTAACTTACATTCTGACCAAACTGAACCAAACGTAAATAGTGACGTCACTCTTAATTTTGTCCTATTCTCAAATGAATAAAGTAAATCTTGATTTATAATGTCCATTAATTAATTATAATAATACTCTTGTAAACTTCCACTTAATGGTACAGAATAGAGATACATATATTGGTTACTTTTATATAATATAAGATGAACACGATTTATAATATGATCCAATAATAATAATAATAATTATTATTATATAATAATTTAACAATTTGTTTCCCAATTTAATACGTGCACGTACTTGAACATTAGTTAATGTCAACAAATTGTAGCTACTTTACTTCTTCTCATGGTCAACGAAATATATCCATTTAATTTCCTACAAAAACTAAATTCTTATTCATATAGTATTTATTCAAAACCCTAATAATTACCAAATTCAATTCCATCACAAGATATTCGACTAATCTAACAAATTCCACTTCCAAAAAAAAAAATTTAAATGCAACAATATCAAAAAAAAAAAAAAAAAAAAAAAAAATCAAATCTTAATCAAACCAATAGCCTTCTCAAGATGTTTGTTCTTGAGACCAATATACTCTCTCACCGTCACCGCCCTAAAACGAGGAAACTGCCGCCCCACCGCCACCAGCGGTGCAACGGTGGAATCCGCCGGAGGCCCATAGAAGTACGCAACCGAAAACCTATGCCGCCTAGTCTCGTTCGGAACCACACGGTGGTACACCGTGGGGAAACACCCGTTCGATAAAATGTGCATGAGATCACCTACATTGATCACCAGGGCTCCTTTCAATGGAGTAACCGGGACCCACCCCACACCGCCCTCCCGGAATATTTGGAGTCCGTTTGTGTCGTTTTGGTGAAGGATTGTTAGAAGCAAAGAATCCGTGTGTGGGGCTAACCCGATCGCTCGACTAGGGTTTGGACAACTAGGGTAGGAATTTAACTGCAGTGCACCCTCGGATTGGTTAAGAGAAGCCGATAGTAAACTCGTTTCTTGATTGTCTTCGTCGTAGCCCAATGATTTGAGGATGATGAGGAAGAGTTTGTAGGCTAGTGATTTCATCTTTTTTTGATAATTGTCCATCGCATCCCTGCAAAATTAATTAGAGAATTTTTTATTAATTATATAGTAGTTTAACAACATGATTAATTAATTTGCCTTAATCATACAATTCTTAGTTTGTTTCTTCTTATTACAAATTATATATATATTTTAAACTGAAATTGTAGAATATTTAAATTTCAATTATTATTTAATATTAATATTAATATTTAAATATTATTATTTAAATTAGGGTTGAAAGATTCTACAAAAGTATATTTTTAAATTTCAAAACCGGACTCCCAGAAGAAGGGAATTAATTAACAATATTAATGAAGTCGCGAATCTCCATAGACTTTCGATTATTTATTTATTATTATTTTTCTTTTTTACGATAACGAACCAGCTAGCCCGCATCTAATCATATAGGTGCACTAAAATTTTCCATATTCATTTTTTTTAATAAGAATAAAAATTCCCACATCATTGTGTTTATTTTTATGTGGAACTCCTAAATTAAATTTGCAGAAAAAATATATATGTATATATATATATATATATATATATATATATATATATATATATATATATATATATATATATATATATATATATATATATATATAGTGCATGGGAGCTTACCAAAACTCATGATAGTGAAGTGGCCAAAGCAGTTTCGCATGCTCAACCGCCGACCCAGCCATGATTGTGAAACCCTCATGCCACATCAGCTTCGTAAAGAACGGCGATATACGCGCCACCCCGTACCCGGTGGCGCCGTTCGGCGCCCTCACCGCCTTCAGCTTCTGCTCCGCCGGAAGCTCGAACAGCCGCCGCGCATGCGCCTCCACATCCTCAACGAGTCCCGCCGGAACCCCATGGTTCGTCACCTGAAACATCCCCCACTCCCGGCACGCGTCCCCCACGAGCGCCGCCGCGCTCGGAGATCTCAGGTTGATCGTCGGAACCGCCGCCGGTAAGTGTAACCCTCCTCCTCCGGCACGTGTCGTGTGGGTATTTGTCCACGTGTGAGACTCCGGCAGATCGTCGACGGCGGCGAAATCAAGAGGGACGATGTGGGTGTAGTGGAGGTGGGTGTCTGTGTATACGTGGGAGAGAGAAGTAGTCGCCATTTTTTTTTTTCGTTGTGAATAAGGTTTCAGAGTGTCTCCATTTATGTTTAATTTCGGTTGTCTTTGTTTTTTGTTTTGTTTTGAATAAATTAATAAAATAATGTAATCTGCTTAATTAAAAAAAAGTGGTGTTTAAAAAGTAATTTGAAAGGGAGGGAAAGTGTAATTAACTAAGAGGGTGTTTGGCTAAGCTTATTTTAAACAGCTGATAAGCTCTTACGTCTGATAAGATGTTTTAAGAGCTGATAAGCTGTTACATCTTATTTTTAGGATTAATTTTTAGAGTGTTTGGATAATGGGCTTATTTCCTATTTTTACCCATTAAAAGATCTTAAATAAAAAGGTGGGGTAGATGTACTTATTTAAAAAGATCTTATTTGCTCTCCAACAGCTTATTTTAAAAAAAATTAAGATCTTTTTCTAAAAATTTACCAAACACTTTGGAAGAGCTTATAAGCTCTAAAACATCTTATAAGCTCATTTTAACATCTTATAAGCTTAGCCAAACACCCTCTAAGTACGGAAGAATTTGAATTCCGTGGAAAATTAAATATTGGTAAAACTTTTTAGGTTTAATTATTATTAATTATTATTATTAATATTGTATTTTGGCACTTGATTTGTGTTACACGTGGCCTGGGCGGCCGCATGGACTGAGTGTTGTCCTTTGTCAATTTTGGATTTTTTTGAGGTTGTCTTCGCACACGTTTTGAAGGGTATTTGAAGGGTTGTTCGCTTAGCCGGTAAAACCGATCGAACCGAATTGAATCGAATTGAAAATTCGGTTTTGTATTTGATAAATATTTTTGGAATTTCGGTATTCGATAGTGATGTTGATATATCAAATATCGAAATATTGATTTTTTTTCCATTACTTACAAATTAGCATCTATTGACAATTATTGTTTTCCATGATCGACTAAAGTCAAAGAAGTTAAAAATACATTTTTAAAATATCTTTTCAATTTTACCAGTACCGAACAAAAGACACTGAATTAATTCGATAAAAAAAAACGTACTCCCTCTGTCCCATATTATATGTCTTTTTAGAGAGTTTTTCTTGTCCCAAATTATTTGTCATTTTAGATTTTCAATGCATCATTAATTGCAATATTTTCAATTTTATCCTTTATAACTCCTAATTAGTTAGTTGTAAAACAATTAATGTCAAGGATATATTAGTATTTTCCTATGCTTTTTACTATAATCTATACATATTTATTGATTTTCTTAATATGTGTGAAACAACCCAAAACGTCATTTAAATTGGGACGGAGGGAGTACCAAACCAAATAGTTCGGTTCGGTAAACGGTTTAAATTTTCGATGTATCGAAATTTCGATTTACCAAAATACGGGTACGGTTCGGTATGGTATTACCGAATGAACACAAAATCAAATAATTTGAATTTAAATTATGTTAGTCTGGGTTTGACACCAATTGGCCATATGGGAAGGCCCGGATGTGGGCAACCCACAATTGAATGTTGCGAGTGCGCCTCTATGTGTTGAGTGCATTATAAGACTAGGTTTTTGTGCCTTTTCCGATACCAATTGATCTTAGGAAAAATCGTAACACATGAGGGTCTACTAGTGGTATCAGAGCCAAGATCACGAGTTCAATTCTCAACTGGAGCAATCAGCAGTTGTCCACGTTTGGGAGGCCCGAGTATGGTCAGCCCACAATCGAATGCCGTGAGCGCTTGTGTGTACTGAATGCACTATAAATTACATTAAATTTGACTAATTATAGTATTATAATGGTGTATTTGTCAATTTGTGTTGGTGGTTTGCAACTAGTTCATACTACTAATCATGGTTGGTGGCGCACAAGGACTGGTCACATGCTATAATTATCTTTTAGTGTGTTTAATGAGACAAAGATAAAAACACTAAGATAGATAATTTAATTAATAATATTATATATAATATTATATATAGTGGTGTGGGATGGCTAATATTCTATTCCATGGCCATTTGCTACATTTTGGATGTATTGTTATTAAATTAAAAAAAATGATTATACAATTATTAATTATTTTGTCTTCAACGAAGAAGTTTACTATAGCATATTTTGGATACTACCTTAACCGTTTGGGAAATTAATTATATATATAATAAATAATATTTAAATGTGTGACTTCAAATTACATCCACCGAGTTATACGTAGGCCCAGTTTGGTTGGGCTGATCCGGGTGGATAGTTCCTCTAATCCACTCGGATCTCAGCTTTGGTTGAGCCCAACTGGGTTCTGGATTGCACTTGGGCCCGGGTCCAGATCAAGGATTTGCTGGATCTCCCATCAGGCCAAATGAGGTGAGATTGGGTAATCTCATCCAACTCTCAGCCCAATCAAGTACAGTATTACCTTTATGCCCTGAATATTTATTTCTAATTACAAGACTACCCCATATATATAAGAATTACCCCAAAAATTATTGTGTTAGCCCTAGAATTTTACCGACATAGCAATATACGCCGTTCTTCGTTCTACTTTTCTCCACTGTGGTCGGTAGTTTTTCACCGAGGTAATTCTTCCGATAATCATCTCTTCTAGGTTCTCTAACACGCTTCTTTCTTCGTTTTTTAGGCCCCCTAAACCGGTTGAAGAATAATCAACTCATCACAGATTGATTTCTTATTTTTCATACTTCACTAGTTTTTTTCTTTTTTTATTTGGTTTTTTCCGATAATCAACTCATCACAGATTGATATCACAAATTTCTTTAAATGCATCCGAGTATTGTTGAAGAATTTTGGGTTCATATGGGTTTCGATTTTTTTATTGTTCTAATTATCCGTTCCTTCATCTCGTAATTAAATTTATTTGTTTCTGTTTCGCAGGTGATTTTTTATTTTGGTTTCGTAGTAGTTCGTAGTTTGGCCGGGCTGAGTCTGGTCTGGCCGAACGATTCCGGTGTTGCAGCTGGTTGACGGTTGGCTGTCGATTATCCTGGTTCTGCTACACGACGATTTAAGGTGAGTTTTCCAAGGGGTTTAAGCTCTTCTTTTAGATTACAGATTAAGGATTGAGAAATGTAGCATTTATTTGGAATTAGGAAAAAAATATTTTATCTTTTGTTTTGGGAAAAAGTAGTTCATTACCTCATTCTTGGTTGGAAAATAACCATTATTTGGAAAAAGAACCAATTAGTGAATTAGAATTAGTTAATATTAAAGTCAATTAGGGAAATAATATATGATGTCAATTAGGGAAATAATATATGATGTTCCCGAAACGATGACCTCGATGGTCGTATCGTGGATATGATGGTGGATATGACTAGGACTTTTGCGGAGACTAAAACATGCCTAGGCGAGTTGGCCCACCGTATCGGTTTTGAGCACGATGCGTCAACTACACGTAAGAAGGTGTTGGATGCCCTATCGCCGTTATGTTTAGGTGTCGAGGATAAGATTACCGTCGCTAAAGCCGTTTGCAATAGCCCAACCGATCTCGACATCTTTTTCGGATTAAATGAAACCGAAAAGGGGGTTATGGTTCGAATGATCCTCGAAGGGCGCTACTTCGGTTAGCTAGAATATCATCCACTCACAAGGTGAAGAAACTTTTTCCCGTATTCGGACCCTATCTTACGGCATTATTTGCATTGAAGACAATTCTGTTAGTTTTTCCGTATCGGCTTTATAAATTTTGTGTATTATGGCCGATTATATGTCTGTAAATATTCTGTTAGTTTGGAGCTACTATGCCTAAATGGTAAGCTGAAAAAATATTTTATTATTTAGGAGCTAATGGTCAATTTTAAACAGGTTCACGGGTTGTGTAATATTCCAAGATTTTTGTCAATATGCATGTGTTATATTCACACTGCAACAGGTTATAGTTGCAGGCCTTCGTGCAAATTTTTGTCAATACGCATGTCTTCGTGTTTTTTTTTTTTAATTTCATAGTAATTGGTTTATGCAATTGCGAAAGTTTCATTGTGCTCGGTCATTGGTTATAGTGTGATCAATTACAACTTTAAATTCTATATGAACAAACATCTGTATCAACAAATTTAAACAAACAATGTTAAATATATAAATATGTATGAACTAAGAAAAACAGTAGTATGAACAAAATGTAAACAAACAATATTAATATATATTATCGCCCAAGGGGTGGAAATGTAATCATCAAAAAATGTTAGGGCTGATTTTGTAATTAAAAGAAAATGGGAGGAAAGAATTGGTGCTGCAAAGAAATATTTTACAAATTGTCAGGTGTATAATATAAATAAATATAAAGGGGTTGCAAGGGGTTGAAATGTAATTATCCAAAATGTTGGGGCTGATTTCATAGTTACAGTAAAATGGGAGGAAAGAATGGGTGGTGTAAACAATATTTTTAACATTGTCGGGTGTATAATATAATAATAAAAAGGGCTTGCAAGGGATGAATATGTAATTATACGAAAATGTTCGGGCTGATTTTGTAATTAAAAGTGAATGGGAGGAAAAAAAATGGGTGCAACAAGCAATATTGTAAAAAATACTGGGGTAATATAATAATAAAAAGGGATTATGAGGGGTGGAAATGTAATTATCCGAAAATGTTAGGGTTGATTTTATAATTACAGGAAGATGAGAGAAAATAATGGGTGCAGTTGGCAATAATTTAAAATTTTCAGATGCATAAACTAATAATAAAAATACCTTCCAAGGGGTGGTAATGTAATTAACCACATTATCCCACCCAATCCTCCCAACCATTCCTGAGATTGGCTCATTCGGATTGAATCCTACAGATCCATATCCAACCAACCAAACCTGATATACCATCCATACTTCACTAATCCATACAGTGTCATTTTTCAATTAATTATATATATAATAAATAATATTTAAATGTGTGACTTCAAATTACATCCACCGAGTTATACGTAGTGGATAGTTATCACTTATCAGCATCGTTCTTTCTTGATCTAATTTGAAATAAAACCTATTTCGTTTTTATTTTATTTACTAAAAAAAAAGTCGAATTATTTTCTTAAATAATAATAATGATCGATAAATAAAATCAAAACAAAGTTTTTTTTTTAAATCAGTATTAAAATTAAGAGAAATTACTGTAACCGCCCGAGGTAAGGCCAAATTACGTAGAGAAGAAAATCCCTATTGTTTAAGTTTATTACAGCCACCCCTCAACTATATATTTTCTTACGAAAAACCCCTCATTTAATAAGTAAATTTAATACCATAAGGGTGGACGTATTTTTTCGTAATTTGAGCTAATCTCATGGGGTGGCCGTAAAATTTACCCTAAAATGAACCATGATAAATTCAAAATGTTGATTTAATACGGTAAATTACGGTCAATCTAAATGGTCAAATTACGAAAACCCCCTCTTGTTTGAGTAATTACAGCCACCCCTCATATTATCTTACGAAAATACCCCTCTAGAGGTAAATTTAGAGATGTTAAATTAGTAAAAAAAATCGTACCAAAATTTCGGTACGCCAACATTTCAAACCTTTTACCGAACTGGATACAAGATTTGGTTCGATAAATAACAAAATTACATAAATTTTATGTAAAAAATATTTAAAAGAAGTGTGTGACTGTAATTATCCAAACAAGAGGGGTTCTTTTATAAGTTGGCCATAACTCAGGGGTGGCCACAATTTGCCATTTCTTATTTTATCTTTTTTTTCATTCAACGACGTTTGAGAGATGAGAGCCTGTCCTAAATATAAAACAAGGTATGCAATTTGCTCGTAAAATCGCAAGCACGATTTTGAAGATTTGGAGCCGTTAAAAATAAAGTGCTTACTGCTTAATGGGAATCAAGTCGAGTTCAATAGTTTCCACATTTGCTTCCCCCGATAAAATGCTGCCCTAAACATATATCCAGTTCCATGCCACTATTTCTTGCACTCGATATCAAGAAAACGTCGTACCAAAACGCAAGAAAGAAAGAAAACAAACTTCAATGTGCATTCTTTTTCGCCTCGTAAATCAGATTCTTCGTTACGAACTGTTTGGAGTAATGTTCGGACAAGATATTTTTCGTCAATCAGCAGAGCCAAAACCTCGGGCAGAGTCCCCTTTATCAGAGGGCCTCCCTTGCAACTCCTTCAGTACAGCAATGCTGACATCATTATCACGATTTTCTCCGGTCGACGGCTTACCTGTTGACTTTTTAGGAGTGTAGGTAGTTGACCAAGATCCTCCGTTCGATCCAGCTAATGCCATTATGACATCTGCCTGTTGTGGATTCAAAACCGGTAACGAATACGAAGATAAGTTTTCAATCATCAATTCGACTCTACATACAGATTTTATTCTTACAAACATTTCCTTCATGTTTTATTACTTCAAAAATCAAATGAAAAACTAGGTATTGATTTTTGGTATTTTCGTAAAAAAATCCAAGGTTCAAATATAGCTTAATGATATTAATGCTTGGTATAAGAACAAGACTTCACAAATAAAGTTACGGTATATAATCGCATGTTTTTTATCCATCGTAACTATAGGGAATTAGGGATGAATTTGCTGTTTAAATTAGCATAAAAGGTTATTTAACAAGTCCGTTTACGTTATTTAGTGCATGTGAAACAGAATAGCAGACAAAATAAGTAATAAATCAGCAACATACCATTTATGACTACTTTTTAGTCGATACACAAAATAATACGATGCTAACATAAAGAAAGCAGAGTTCCAAAATAAATTGTTTTGAAATTTCACAATTTTGAGGATTAAGATTATTAAAATAGTTAAACGAACCAAACTTCGCAAAATTGCTATAAAGGAAAAAAAACGGACCTTATTTGGATGAACATTATCGAAAACATGCGCTTGACCACCGTAAAATATAGTCATCTGACGACCACCTGATTCCATTCCACGGTGACTGTCATAAGAATAAGAAACGTACACATTCGTTAATCTTGATTCAAATTTCAGACAAAACTAATCCTATGTAATAAAACACACAACAACAGAACCTGAGTCCTGAATTGACCTGGGCGTAGTAGACGACTCCGGTTCGGAAATGCTAACGCCAGATTTGTGTTTGCCACTCCGTATGAGCACTCCAGCAGGCTGTCTCATAGATCCACTTGCATTATTAATCGAGCTCAAAATTCCGGATCCTTTAATGCCAGTCCTGGATCCTTCATCGGCAGCTGTTTGTGACACTTGGGTGGGGCCCACATTCGTTTCTTTAAACCTATTCGACGGGCCTTGATAGCTGAACGGCATCACTTGGCCTGTACGTGGTGGATATTGCATAACGGAATTAGGGTTTCGTTTGGAGTGATTAATTTCGACTCTGCCACCGGTGGATAACTGAGATGCAAACGAGGCTGAAATTGGCCTCGTCTGATGCACACCGAAAGATGGTTCTTCGCGCTCTCCCCCTGAATATCGTAACAGCTGAGATAGCACAAAACGCGTAAGCATTGAGTTAAAGAAAAAGAAAAGGAAAAAATAAAAAAAATTGATGCACCTTAGTTAAAAGGTGGTTGTCTTGTGAATCTACTAGCCCTGGTGGAAATTTATCTTTTGATGACATCATAAAAGAATCTGAGTTGCTTCGTTTACTGCCCGTCAATCTGTTGCTACTTTCGGGCAACGTGATATTATCGCCTCTCGATCCGTAAAACGGTATTCCCTCCAAATGATTGCTCACGCGTCTTTCTAACATAATTGATGAAAAAAGAACTGTCAAAACTACAATTTAGTGTAGTAACTGACAATCTCGAAACAGAGCAGCGTCGAAAATTGGATCGCAATTCAATTTTGACCACTTATCTTTGTAAAGGGAACAAATTTAACAAACAAAATGAAAAGAAGTGTGCAAATAAAACAGAGAAACAAAGAGATAAGACAACACATTACCACAAAAAAAAGTAACTCATTATCATATTAAAATGGCCAATTGGCCATATACACACACAGAGGAAATAGGTACAACAAACTGCTCCACCAATGACTTCATATTAAACCACCCCATTGCCCCAAAGTACATACCAAATTCACACACACACACACACACACACACAAATTTGAGGCAAGAAAAGGATAATAAATAATGCATAAATGTTGAGTGCCCATTTGGAATTTGATAAGCAAGATATTAGGTCACCACATCAACTTGCAAATAAAAAATCTAAACCACTCTTCAAATAGTAATTCAAGAAAGTGGGTTGTGACTTGTGATGTCATATATTCCATTATTCTTACCAGAACCCAGATCAGAAGTGGCGGAAGGAGACACCTCCGGCGGCGGGCGGCCAGCTCCAACGGCCGGCGGAGCAGAATCTTGACCTTGGCCCTTATTTCCAAGAAAATCATGAAAAGTGGTGGGCTTCACTTCAGAATCTCCACCGGCATTAACATTAACACCACCAACACTTGCCTTGTTGTTCTTACCGTTGCTCTGAGCATGAGCCATGTATGTATATATATGAACGTGAGGGTCAGTTATATATGTTGAAAAAAGAATTAAAGATTACATTTTTAGCATTTTCACAACGCCCACCATAACCACCACCACCACCACCACCCAGATGAAGCTCACAGCTAAAGGCTGAGTCTTTACAAAACAAATTAATAATTCAAGGGGGGGTTATTTGCTTTGAGGTTGTAGATTGAGGGGTTTGAAGAGAAAAGCTAAAAATAGGGGAAACACGAATTCTAGAGAGAGAAAATAAAAAAAGAAAAGGAGGAAAGAGAAGAATCACACACAGGTTTTTTAAGATGGGGAGGGAGAGAGGGACAGTAAATAAAAAAAGGGAAAGTTTTTTTCTGGCACACACAGATACAAATGTGCTTTCTTCTTTTAATAATAGTGGCAGTATCTCTCTCTCTCTCTCTAATCTCTCTCTCTCTCTCTCTAGATATATGCACACAAGTATATATATATATATATTATATATATGCATATATGATGGTGGATGCGTAATGTATTAGTAGCTCTTAAGTGGGTTCTCTTTTGTTGAAAGAATTAATGCTGGGTCTTTTTTTGTGTTCTTGCCTAAAAGCACACACAGTGAAGGTTTTTGTGTGTGTGTTTATAACAGGGTTTGAATCTGCAAATATAGGAATATTTTTGGGGGTTTAAAAAACAGTGTGTGAATCTTTGTTTGATGATTGTGATTTAAAAAACAGTATAAGTAGTTGAATTAATCATTTTCTGTGAAATTATTAATTAATGATGATTAAGGTAGTTTTAATATAGATCATAAGTTATCTTCATCAGTTAATTTACATTATTTGGTGGGTGAAAAGGTGTGTTCATATATATATATATAAACAAAGCAATGTGGGGTTCTTGGTGTGTAGTGTTGAGTGGAAAAGGAATTTTGTAGCAGTGCTGATTCCCTCTCTTTCTTTCTCTCTCTCTCTCTCACTTCATAGTGTGTGAAAAAATGTGTGAGAGAAAGAGAAAGAGAGAGAGAGTGCGTGTGTTTTGAGTACATATGTTGACTGTAACCACTCTGTATCTGTCTCTCTCTCTATATATATATAATATATATATATGAATCGGCCCATTACTCAGCAGTCGTTTTCTCACATCGGCCTTCGTGCTTTTTTCCTTTGTATTATATTATTATATTATTATTATTTTATCTTCACCCAAAGATTCTCTTTACTTGTCCGCTAAATTCTCGCTCTTACATTATTATATTATTACATTTTTATATTCTTTTAAATAATAATAATAAATTAATTAATAAAAACTCAAGAAATCGCTATCTTTGTTGACAATCCGTGAGCTTGTTTGGCCCGTTTGATTAGAGTACCAATTATGACTTTGCTAACACACTTTATTAATATTATTTCTTTTAAATTAATAAACTTGTACGAATTCATGCCAAACAATAAGTTAGGTATAATTGGGTTTATAACAAAATATATGCTTAATTAAATGCAGCTTTGACTATCTCACCACAAAATATATGCTTAGGGTTCATAAAATATTTTAATATAATATAGTGATATAAAATATTAATTGTAATTCCTTTAATGAATTTGTTAATCTCTTTTAAATTACATAAGATTTTTACTTACAATTGTTAAAGGTTAGAGAATATTTTTTTTAATTCATGCGAAAGATTTAAAAAAAAAATTAAATAGTTGGAGTTTGTTTTAGAATTTAAAATCTTGATATTTATTTTTTAATAAACTTTTTTATTATGGAGAAATTATATTTTTTTTTTTAACCTTAAAATGGGATAAGAAGCAGCATATCGGGCTGGGCCCGGTGGGGGATCCAATTCAATTATGATCCACGGAAAAAGACTAAAATGGGCCCGGCAATAATTAGTTTCCACATCTCAATAATTAAATAATAAAATCCTTAACCCACCAAAAACCAACTATACTGATTCCTGTCAAACTCATACAATTTTATTTTTAAATAAATGGAAATATAACACACTAACACTCGAGGATCACTCAATTAGATTCTAATTTTAAATCCGATTTTTTAATTTTAGAAAAATCATAATTATTTTATCCGAAAATTACAATTAAAATATCGATTTATGCCGATTTCGATCTGAAATTTTCCAATTATGGGAAAAAAAATTCTCATTCCAATTTTCGAAATTACGATTTCAATTTCTTTTTAACTGGATTGGAATTAATTTTTCACTTCAAGAAAAAACTTGAAATTATTCGAAATTGTTAATTCCGATCCAATCCAAACAAAATAGAAGCCAAATTATCCAAGAACCACAGTTTCAAGAAGTACCTGGAGAAGAAGTACTGCACGAGTTTGATAATCCAATTCCACTCATCCTCTAATTGCTTCTCTGAATACACCAAAAAAATTATTAAAAAAAAAATCCACTATAATTAATTTTAAATTTAATAATAACGAAGAAAAAAATGAAGAAGTGATCATATTCATATACCTCAACTCAGCTTTCCTCCGAATATTTTCCGTCAATTTCTGCGCACTAATGACATCATTCTCCGGTTGGTACCTCTGCTTCACAAGCTCCCTCGGATCATTACACGTCTTCAAAACATCCGACATCAATTCAGCTCTCTCCATTACATCACTTCTTGATTCCTTACAAGTATCAGGCATCTTTGTCGAACGAGTAACCGGTTTCATCAAATCATGGAGCTTTCGTGCTAACTCACCCCTCCCGTTTTTCTCCATCTCCTCACTCAGCCTCGTGTACGTTATGTGCTGAGGAACAATGCCTTTACGTAACATGTCCTCAAATTCGAACGCAGCCTCATCGTACCTATGTTGTCTCCACAACAAGTTGATTAACATCGTACTCGAAGCCAAATCCAAATCAAATCCCTTCTCCCTCATATCATTAACAATCTTCAAAGTAAATTCCACGTTCCCTTCCTTTGATAACATTTTCAACAGCAGATGGTACGTAAGTCCGTCCGGGTCGTACCCTACCTGGATCAATTTCTTGTAGAGGGTCAAACCCGCGTCGATATTACCCGTTTTCGAAAAGTGCTTAAAGAAATAGCTATAAGTTGTAGTCGTAGGCAAACACTTATCATCTATCATAGTTCTAACAATCTTGCTAGCCTCTACAATATCCCCTGCTTTGCAGAAACCCTTTACCAACGAGTTATAAGTAGATAAAGTAGGCCCAGTTTCAAGAATCGAGAACCGTTCAAGCATTCCTATTGCCTCTTTAAACCTGCCGGCTTCACCTAAAGCATCGATTATCGGATTGTAGACAATTGCGTTTGGTTTTACGCCTTCGGTTTTCATCTGATTGAGCAGCTCGATCGCCATGTCAGCAAGGCGGAGCCTGCACAATCCTTCTATGAGGGTCCCGTACGTGACAACGTTTGCCTTGACTTTCTCTTTCTTCATGCTCTCCCATAAGCGCATTGCGTGTTTGAGTTTTCGAGATCGGAGATATCCGTTGAGTAGAATATTGTAAACGCGAATAGGTGGGGCCCAGCTTGGATCTTTTGTCTTGCGATTTTCACAGTACTGTGAGGCTGTGCTAACGTGTCCTTCCTTGCATAAGGAGTCTAGAAGTTTGTCGAACAGATTGTTTTCTGTGTCTGGATCACTATGGAAGAAATTTAAACTGGTTGCGTATTCGAATGTTCTAATGGCTGCCAGGGGAAAACCTGTCCAAAAATACATACAACAACGCAAAAAACAAAATTAAAAAGTAGAATCGAAATTGCGTTGTGTGTAAATAGATATATACCTGCGCGTGTGTATCTTCTGATCATGATGAGGAAAGTATCGGAATCGGGTCGCCGGGTCGGGTCTGCATTAACCTGGTCGAGAATCAGACACCAGGCTGAGTCAAATTCTCGGGCCTTGCCGAGAGCATTGACGGCGGCATTGAAAACCGCAATGGAGAATTGATAATCGGGCCGGTTGCGGGCCCAATTGAACAGCGTGAACAAGGGTTTCGGGGCGGAAACGAACCGATTGAATACTTCGAGTAAGAGATTCGAGCTCGGATCGACCTCCGCGGCGGTTAGGGCACGTTCGAGATCCGGACCGGGTTGGATGGCGGGGTTTGACAGCACTTCGGAAATGCGAGTGAAGTCGGAGGCGGCGGCGGCGGCGGCGGAACTAGGGTTTTGAGGCGGCGGCGGTGGTTGCTCTGGAGGGGTTCGTTTCAGAAGGGAAGGGATGGGGATTGTGAAGTTTGGTTGGGTGGAGACTGAGAGGAGTCTGACGGCGGCGACCAGAGGGAGAACACGGCGGCGTATGTTTATTACTGCATGCATTTGATTTGTGGTGGTTCAAATTGAAAAAATTTCCGGTGTAAAAAACTCATCAATAAATACATTTATTTATATACAAATAGAAAAATGGGACTGGCTTCTCCAATTATAATTTAATCCATCACAAAAATTAAATTAAATAAATAAAATCATCTCCTCTGAAAATTATAATAAATAAAAAAAATTAAAAAAAAAATCATCTCCTCTGAAAGTTGAAGAATCTGATAGCAAAAGCAAAAGTTCCGGCGAAAACGACGCAGAATCCGACAACCATAAGACCAGCAATGCTCAAGAAATCGTGTCGGAAACCAAACTGGCTTTTCAGAAGCTGCTTAATTGGCACTGAGTTGACTCCATCACTCAGCTTAACGAGTTCATTCATATCTCCATACTGTGCTGTTAAAAGCCCATATAAACTCCATGCTATTGGATTTGCCCAGTAATACCATCTCCACCATACAGGAATTCTCTACGAAAAAGCAAGAATTCGAAAAAAATTAATAATTATAAGAAAAAAAAAAAAAAAGGAGTCTTGAAGAAAATTGATTTATTACCATGTGAGAAATCATGAAGCCGCTGAAAAGGTTCCACATCATATAGAACGGTGCGGCAAGAATAGCGGCTACATTGTGATTGGGAGTAAGGGAAGTTGTCATCATTCCAAAGAAGGTGAAGTACAGCAATGTGAAGTACATGAAGTATACATACGAAAGGAACTTGTATACGTTCCATTCGAAAGACGCCATTAGGTAGAAGATAGCGCTGTAGATAATCGACTGCGCGCAGACGTACGGTAACTCGACTGCGACCTGCAAAACCGATCTTAAATGAAACGTTGGAAGGAAAATATAATGCCTAGAAACGAGAAAAAAATGAAAAAAAAAAAACCATGCCTGGGCTAATGCAAATGGTAGTGATGAATACATTCCTGCAGCTCTTTCCCTGTACGAAACGAACCTTTCGAAGTAGACGACTGGCTGCACAGAAGATGCGTTTGTGATTCCGATGAATAAAACAGCTGCGTACATGGATCCCATGGCATTGAATATATCCTGTTGCGATTCCCTGTAGAGTAATTTGTCTAGATTGAATATTTATTTATTTTAATTTGCAAGCTGCTATCTTTACGCAGCTATTTAAAGATTAAATCTTTGCGCAAAATGAATATAAGTACATGATAATATGGAATGCAGAACTTTGGTATGAGAAAGTTAAGACGCACCTTTTGGAACCAAATTTCCAGCATATTGAACCAAACATCAACGAAATGATAACAGTGTAGAAGAAGCGTACGGCGGTATATTGTGGATTACGCCAGTAGGACAAGTTCTGCTTCCAAAAGCATGCTAGGAACTGACCGAAAAACGAGAGGGAATATTTGCTCGGAAAAGTCAATTTGTTTGCATCCTTATCTGGTTTGCATAAACTCTCAACCAGAGTCTTATTTTGCCTAAAATTGTGAATTAATTAAAAAAAATGTTTTTAGAAAGAAAAGAAAATGATTCTCCAAATTTTGACATTTCGAAAACGTAAACGGATACTTACTGAAACAGAAGTGATCCGCGATAAATTTCTGCAAAGTCCAAACCTAGGCGATTTTCTTCACCTGGAGACGTAACTTCAAGAATCCAAGCTGCAGGATTATATCCAGGTTTTATTTTTTGAACTCCTGGAATAGCCTAGAAAAAATTGAATACATAAAGAATTTGTGACAAGATCAGTACTATATTAAAATAAAGAATTAAAAAACAAATCCAAAATGGTTCACCTCAAAATACTGAATAAGCTTGTTAGATTTGTTGCCCAGTGGGCCCGCGTAGATCAGCTGTCCGCCTCGTTTCATTAGTAAAAGCTGGGACAAAAGTGAGAATTAAAAATGAAATCCCCAGGTGGAGATAACTTATTAGTATTTAAAAAGGAAAGAAAAAAGAATCACCTCATCAAAAGATTCAAAGATATCAATGCTGGGCTGGTGAATAGTGCAAACTATTGTTCGACCGGTGTCCACAATGTTCCTCACGGCTCTCATCACAATGGCTGCTGACCTGGCATCGAGCCCTGAAGTGGGTTCATCCATGAAAACTATTGAAGGATTGGCAACAAGCTCGACCGCAATTGTCAGCCTTTTCCTTTGCTCCACCGACAAGCCATTTACTCCCGGTACACCAACTAGTGCTCTGCGTAACTGAGTTAACTCAACTAGTTCCATAACCTCATCCACAAAAGCCTGCAAAATAATACTTCCACAAGTTAAGAGGAGAAAATTTAAAAACCTACACGAACAAAATAAAGAAGAAAAATTAAACAAGAAATTACTCGCTGAATAGGGAAGCCACACTGAGAAGATAATCGGAGCCAAGCAGAAAATACGAGTGATTCATCCACAGTGAGACATGGGGAATGAACATCACTCTGTTCACAGTAGCCAGAAATCCTTGCGAATGTTTCTTGATTTTTGGGATATCCCGAAATGTAGATGCTACCTTCGATATACCCTCCCGTTTTTCTGCCTGATAAAACATCCATCAATGTAGTTTTTCCAGCACCACTCACACCAATTAATGCAGTAAGCACGCCAGGCTGGAATGCTCCGGTTACATTTACGAGTAGCTGCAACTTGTCTTCTTGTAAACCCTGCCCCTTGAGTTCCTAAAAAACGATGAAACAGCTAAGGATCTTTAACTATCAGAAATAATTTTTTTCTTGAATTTTGCTAAAAAAAATTAAGGTGTTGATATACCAGAGGAACATCAACGTAGTAGCTGATGTTGCTAAAAGACATGGAAAGTGGTTCAAACGGAAGAACCATTCCTTTGTGTTTTCGGAAACTCTTGCCTGCCAAGGGATGGGGGGAAAATAAGAACAAGACCACTGTGACAAATCAAGAAAAACGGAGATTAAAGTCACAGGTAGTGTTTATTTTACAGACCAGTGAAAGAGTGTGTATGTTGCAAGAACTCTCCGAAAGAAATGATGGAAGATTCACTCTCTCGTCCACTGTTTTTGTCGTGATGGTCCTCTGTGGGAATAATAGCTTGTTGATTCCCTAGGGCTGCTCAAAAGTTGGTCCAAATTTCACAAAACAAGTCCTTAGTAACTGTACTTCAGTGTGTAACTATAGTAAATTTCATGCAATCTTGGAGCTTTCTCCAACTTGAGTATGGATTACAAATGAGAATTTTTTGGGATGAAACTTACGATTTAGAAGAGTCAGAAACACAGTAAAGAGTGTGTTGAATAATATTGTATATCCAAGTAGTGCTCCAACGCCTATCCAATACCAATGGTCGTCTGGAAACAAACTGCGGACCGTCAGCAACTTTTCCCCCAAAGACAAAGTAGTATCGTTTCCAGCTTTCTATCGTAAGGAAAAGGAAACGTGTTATCACACACGGGAACAAGACGAAGAACTGATAAGAGATAGAACAAGTAACAATGTCCGTATAATGGAATCAAGTAACCTCAATTACGGGAAGTGATTCAAGCATATTTTTCCTTTTACTTAAAAAAATGTACCAATGTTTTTGCTAAATTCCTACATGTATGTATACCTTATCCCACGAGGGGCCAAGAAATTCATTCACCGAAGCTGCACTTTGAGCATACATCATAGGGGAGAACCAGTAACCCCATATCCACCAAACAGGGATGCTATCTGCTCAGTTTAAAAATTGCACCAAAAATCAAATAAAGCAGACTTATCGAACAAATGTTATAATAAGGTATTACGGTTAATTAAGTAGAAAGTAAAGGGCATCGTCTATGACCTCTCGAAAGTATAAATCCACCAAGGACCATAACAACCAACAAAGCAAAAGATCCAAACGTATTGGCAACAACCATATTTCTCCCTAATGATGCCATCACTCGGAAAAGGCCTATCGACATCTGGTGCAAAGTGAAGTATAAAAAGAACTGGAGAAGGCATCTGTACATCATAAGCATGTTTCAATTTGACATATATGTATACGTATCAGAGGAAAGAAAAGAATTAAGAGGACTTAGTAAAGAGTACCTAGTTATTTGTGGATCGAAGCCAATTGCATAATATGTAACTGCTACCCACAGAAAAGATTCTACAAGTGAAAGGGGAATGCTCAAAATCCAGGAGGGAAGAGTGTATATCCAGCAAGGGTAAAACCGCATGTCTCTGTGCTTGTAAAGAACAGGCAGCTTAGCTATCAACATTGGAACCTCCATAAATCCATTAAAAAGAATCATAACTATGGCGAAGTAAAGTGCACCAAGGTATACTCCTCCATCGTCGAGAGTATTATGATGCATAGTTGTCCGGAAAAACACACTCATCATTATCAAAATAATTAGGAAGAGCTGCAAACGCAAAAAAAAAAACAGTTAGAGCAGAACAGAGTAGTCAGAAAACAGGGTGACGTAAAACGTTATTAATTACCTGGATGAATTTGAAAACAAAAACAGGGGAATTTCGCTTCAGTAGTAGCATTTGCCACGATAAACTTGTCTTCAGAAGCTTAGCCCTTGTTACACCATAAGTTTCGGTGAACAGAGCAGCTGGGTGATTGAGAGATTTATCGAATGGAGTGGCTAACTGCATAGACAATAAATTACCAACACGAAAGGACTGAAAACTATCTACGAACTTCGCCACAGAGACATAGTTGTATTGACTATTGCGGAACCAATACTGCTCTTGGTCCTTCACAGATATTACCTATACATGAAATTTCAAGAGAAAAATAAATTTCAAGATTAATAAAAAAACCAATGAGTGTAGCTTTAAGTAAAAGCTTGAAAAGTCCGAACAAGTACCTCTTGTAGAAAGTCGGCAACATTTTTTCTAGATGGACATTTGAAACCCATAAATGCAAAAAAATCGAGTGCATCTTCACGTGGTCCCTGATAAACAATTTGTCCCTCGCTAAACAGAATGATGTCATCAAACATCTCGTAAGTCTCGGGATCCGGTTGCAATAAAGATACTAATGTTGTGAAATCAAGAGCATGAGTTGTGTGCTGAAGATATTTGATTATTTGGTGGGTAGTTGAGCTGTCTAGTCCGGTTGATATCTCGTCCAAGAAAAGTACCCTAGAAGCACCCATAAGCAGTTCAGCTGCCGATATTTATAACGTTAGTTATTCAAGCTGGTAATTTCTTAGAGCAGCAAATTGAGCACCGTGAAAGTAAGTAAGAGTAACTACCTGTAGTGAGCCGCTTTTTTTGGCCCCCGGATATCCCTTTAAGCATTTCATCTCCAACCAATGTATCAGCACAAATATCCAATCCTAAAATCTTTACAGATATTTTAGAACAATAAATAAGAATGTCCGGAAAATTAAGAACAAATTGATGGAACTATTATCCTTGTTTTAACTACACAAGCTATCATCATAGATATATTGATTATATAATAGGGACTAACGTGATTATACAAGCTGTCTAGATGTCTAGATGTGCTTACATCTATTGAATTTCAAGGCAGTCATATAGGGAAAAAGATTAATCAAGAATAATAGCAACAATATTTAGCAAATAAATTTTAATGGTCTTATTCTCAAAAATCAGAAAATCGAGGATCCTTTTTCAGGCACACCTTCATGATGTATTCCACAAGAACACTTGTCTGTTGCCCCAATGCTACTGCCTACGAGAAAACAAGTATTTCAGCACTTGGAATATTGGCAATTGCACAAAAATAAAATGAAGTAAAGTAAGCTACACTAATCACGGATTTCATCGATGAAGAATGCGTACCTTGATAAAAATATCTAGATCTTGATCTGGATTTATTCCAGCAATTTTCTCTCTTCTAAGAAGTTCGACAAGCATTTCTGCACGCCAATGGTTACGCACCGAGTTTAAGTAAAAGATAAGAAAAATACATGAAAAGTAATCATTCGAAATAATTGGTAACAATGCCTCGTTGCTGTTACCGTGCTTGAATCCAGCGCCTTGACATTGTCCTGAAAATTCAAGAACCTCCCTCACAGTCATCTCGGAAATGTGCCAATCCTGCTGGCTCGCATATGATGAAGTCCTCTGAGGAGAAAACTCGTCTAGATTATGTCCGTTATACGTAATTTTCCCTGACATCTTCAGAAGCAGGGGTCATCGATAAGAACTAAATACGCACGAATTTCTAGAGAAGACAAATCAACACAAAGACCAATTGAAATAACTTTATATCCCGTGCACAAAAACGGAGTGCCAATTCACAAGCTAATTGTGCTGAATAACTACATTTGCTAAATTTTGGTAATAACGTAAATAACATGTCGCGGTACCTGTAAAGTGGGTGCAAGACGACCTGCAAGAGCCAAAAGAAACGTTGTCTTTCCAGAGCTTGGAGGACCCAAAAGCAGAGTCAACCTAAATAACAACCTCAGTCATTGAATCGAGAAATGACGGACTATACAATAAATTTTCATTGAAGAGAAGCTCTCACTATACCTTGAAGGCCTTACGATACCACTTATATTTTTCAGTATAGAAAACTCCTGTTTTCTTCCAGAGACAATCCTAAGTTGCCTCAACAAAGCCTGCATTTTATAGTGTTTCCATGGATACAATCAGATTAATCCCGAACAAAAATCTCGTTTAGCTTGTCAGATAAAAAAATTTAAAATTCAGATATAAAAAATCTTATCAGATATTTGTAGTCCACATGCATACCTCAGTCATGTCAAAAATAAAATTGGGTATGGTTGGCAAAGCTCTGCTTCCAACGTGGACTAATGCATCGACCTTAAGATTCTGAAACCGTATCTCGACTTTTGGAAATCCTAGTCTGACACTGTAAGTAACATGCATAAAATTCGTTTACCAGCAACACTTTCCAAAAAAGAAAAAAAAAGAGACTATAAATCGTCTTGCAACCAGAGAAGGACAAGAAAAACGAATAATACATCGCAGCCTTATTACAATAAACACGAAGGCAATCACACGAGCATGAGTATGCTAAAGCTTGATACAACATTGTAATAAGTAATAACACTCCCTAACTTGGTGTAAATTTTTAACTGGTTCAGTCAAATACGCAAACAGGTAGCGGGCGTAAAAATCAAGAACCGAAAATAGAGATTCCCGAAGGACTTACGCATCAAATCTCTGCCTAACTTTCCCGAAAAACCCCTCAATATCTTCATGAATTTCACCGACCAACTTATCTAGCACTTCCTTATGCTCAGCATTCTTAATTTTACGAACATCAACCAACGACAGCTCCCCATCAACACTGCGAAAAAGCGCAACCCGGGCTCTGTCGTAAGTACACGACCTCTGCAAAGCAGCCAACACAACACCCTCATCGTATTCACCGCGATCAGTACCACCACCACCACCATTACTCAATCCGTTCATCGCAAACATGCCCTTTTTTTCGGTTTTTCTCGACAACCCCAAATTACTTTGAGGAACATTAAATTATGTGTGATCTCAGGAGGCTTTAAAGAAGAGTTTGAGTGTCTGAATTTGTGGGGATGAAGCATTTTTTCTGGGTGGGATTTTTCGGTTGGGTCAATCGGCAACGACTTTGGAGGCTGGAAGGGGGGTTGTTGAATGCTCTGTAATAATTTTCTTTCGATCAATCTTCTTTCTCTCTCTTCTGTTCTTGTTTAAGGGATGAACGTGAATCGTACAGATTTCTTGGTAAGAAGAATTAACCGACGAAAATCTGTGCATGGTAGATTACAGTAGGCGGGAAAAAGTTACGAGTGAAGATGACGAAGAGTTTGGTTGCAGTGGTTAAGACTGTGTTTGGCTAATATTGTGTATATAAACTCTTAAGAGTTTATTGCAAATAGACCCCTGAGTTATATCGAATTGCTAAAAACCACCGCTTGTTGTTTTATTCGCACAAAATTCCCCCCTGATTTAATTTTTGGGAAAATTACACCTACACCCTTGAGGTATGCTAAAATAACTTTAAGGTCCCTGTAATATCGGCAATTACAATCACCCCATGAGATATTGTTAAAAACTCTAACGGAATAAAACATTGGATAAGTTATTTCGTTAGGGTTCTAACGGATTATTAGTTTCAGGCAGTGATGGAGACAACATATAACTAAATGGTGACATGGTTTTCCTAATATTTCTTAAATCCTTATTATTTCATATAAGATTTATAAATTTTCGTCTATGGTAGCATTAACGGCCCTGCAAGAAATAAATATAGTGCATATTGGTCCCCAGGACATGAAATCTTGGTTTCGATAATTATTTCAGGGGTGGGTGTAATTACTGATACCGAATAGATCTTAAAGTTATTTTAACATATTATAAGGTATAGGTGTATGTTTCCCTTAATATTTTTAGCAATTAGTGCCCCTATTTAGGAGTTGTATGCTAAAGAAAATTGATTAACAGGGCGGAGGTTTGCTAATAAAGCAATATAGGGTGGCTTTTTTAACAATTCGATGTAATAGGGGGGGCAGTAATTGCAGAAAAGGAAAATAGAAATCAGAGTGAATAATGATGATTATTTATGCTGCTGGCTTCGAAGAAAATAATAAATGCAAATATAGGAAGTGCGCTACGTATTTAATATTAATTAATAATTATACGGTGCTGTAATTTGCGGTGCATTATTGCCACCTGCAAACGGCTATTTATTACCCTAACTTTGGAATTGTCCCATATGTTATTCCCTCATTTTAAATTTTATTATTATAATAGTAATAATAATAATAAGGGTAAATTACAATCACCCCTGAGGTATGGTCAAATTACGAAAACCTCCATTTTGTTTGGATAATTACAACCACCCCTCAACTCTTCAAATTTAGTGGAATCTTCGATATTATATGGAATATTATCACTTTTGTACCCGTTTTTTCACATTTGAACTCTACATTTTGAAGCAAGATGATCATAATATGTGTTTTTTGGCTTGTATATATCAGATTGTGGTGCATAAGAAACTGTATTTTTACACAAAACGAGTACAAAATAGAACACATTCCACGAAATTTAGATGATTATGTTGAATTTGACATCATAAGGGTGGAGGTGTAAGAAAAAATCATAGTTGAGGGGGTAGATGTAATTATCTAAACAATAGAGTTTTTTTGTAAATTGACCATACCTCAGGGGGTGTTTATAATTTACCCTAATAATAATAAGTGTACACTGAAAGGGGTTTTCCAGCGTAGAAGCTCAGACGGTCAAGTCAGAAAGGAGTGTTTTCGTAAGCATGATATATTTTTAGTAGACAAACGTTAGAAAAGGTTTGACTTTTGAGTGAAGTCCCTATTTATAGATATGTCGTATCTTGAGATGCAAGCTTCATTAAGATTTTTAACATAATTTTTTGTTGATTTGGATCTGCCACGTTTGATGGGTTTTTCGATAAAATATGTCTCGACTCGTTTATAACACCAATTTGAGGTCTCCTACAACATCTTATGGTCTTACCTCGTCTTGCCGTTCGACGTAAAGTACAGATGATACTTTAACATGATTGGGCTTCTAGTTTTGGGTCAATATGCAATTTATTTCAGTACCCAAGCCTATTGTGGGCTAAAACGAAATAGCCCATATCACACACACACACACACACACACACACATATATATATATACAGTGGCGGATCTAGCTATGGTCTAGGGTGTGCAGTTGCACACCCTTGATTTTAAACAAATAATACCGTTATACATAAGTTGACAAGAAAAGTATTTGGTTGAGTTGGTAAAGATGTTCCTTCTTTTGTTAATTGGTCCCGGGTTCGAACCCCCAGCCTCTAAAAAGTTGATTTTTTTTCAAATCTTTACATTTTTCACCATTTTTCTCTTTAAATATTTACACAATTCACCTAAGATTTTTAAATTGTAAATTTTTGGTCCATTTTCTCTTTAAATATTTACACAATTCACCTAAACTTTTTAAATTGTAAATTTTTGGTCCATTTTCTCTTTAAATATTTACACAATTCACCTAAATTGTAAATTTTTGGTCCACTATTTTTATAAAGTGATATTTAAATTTTTTATTCAACAATTTAGCACCCCCTTGGCAAAAATCCTGGATCCGCCACTGTATATATATATATATATATATATTATTTTTTTTTTTTCATGGGAATTGAATCAACCCTTTTTTTTTTTGCTTAAATCCTCATTATATATAGACAATGGTATATAATTAAATAATTAATATCCAAGTTTAAATACCATATGTGTACTTAAATTTTGGATCCATTCAGATTCATCCTTAAAAAAATAAAACAAAGACCAAGAAAATTTGAATTGGTCTTCGGTCTGCCAATACCTTTGTATTTCGTACCATATTTTAAAATTAAATTAAATAAAAATAAAAATAAATAAAAAAGAATTGGAATATAAAATACAATTTAAATTTGAAAAGTCTAGAACATGCTACGTTGTCAGTAATGGTCCAGGAAAAATGCCTTGGCCCAATAAAAAAACAAACCTTCACTCAGAATTTATTGAGTTTGGTATATATCATAATAAATTACTAATAATAAATAATAACTATATATTATATTAATTATTTTTATCATATGTGTGTGCTGTAACGAGATAGCGACGTGTTTGGTCAACTGAGTTCAAAAATGAAAAAGTCCCGCTCTAATTAGTGGGATTACTTATTTCGTAGATCTCGAAGTTTAGCTCACTTCTTAAGTTACTAAATTAGTATAATTACTACATAATCCATATTTGATTTTCTATTTAATAATGGATTATGAAAGGTAATTTATTTATAAGGATTTAATCATTGATCTTCAATTTACTTGATCGTATTTGTAGATCATACACCTGGTAAATATATTAATTTATATATATGGATGGTTGTATGTTGTTTAATTAGTATTTACAGGATCGCATAATGATCAATTTTGATTTTACTATGATTTTTGTAAAATATTTTCAATTTATTAAAAATAAATCGGACACGGGTGTGTCTTTTTTATTATTATTATTATTATTATTATTATTATTATTATTATTATTATTATTATTATTATTATTATTATTATTATTATTATTATTATTATTATTATTATTATTATTATTATTATTATTAAGACAATTTCGTAAAATATCGACAAACACGTGACTAATGTTAGGATATTGGGGTTTGTATTGAATTTTTGAAAAAGAAAATGAACATTACTGCCTAATTTGCGTGGGACAAGGTTCACTAAAAATTGGGTTATGAATAAACTTTAATGATTTTATTATTTAATAATTAATAATTAACTATACAAATAATAATTTAGTGCATCAATACAGATTACTCACTAATATTATATTTTATAAAACGTTAATCATTTAATGAAAATCAATAAATTCTTTTGTGAACCCTATTTGGGGGTTAGAATTTATAAATATACAACTGTTACAGATATATTAATATGTCACATTTATTAATTAATATATATTACTAAATATTTACAATGCAATAATATTTTTGTTTTAAAGTTGTGCCCCAAAGGTGGATTTGACCCATTTTATTTGGTATCGACGTCGGGTATCGTTTTTAGTTCACCGGCCCATTAAATTTTATCTCGTTTACCTTAGTTATTTCCGACACCTAATTAGTCAAGCGTAATTTTTTTTTTAAATGATAATACTTTTTCAGAAATATATTATTTTGATTGATGTGATTTTAATTAAAATTTAAACTATTTACTTTTTTTCATTTAATTTATAATATTTACTTGTTTTGTTATATGTGCTCTTTTAATGAAAATATTCTTAAGAAACTAGAACATTATCCTAAATATCTTTGTAAAATTTTAATTCACCTTCTTATGCTAGTTTCTTTATTTCACTTGAATTTATATATTTTTCAATTTTTAAAAAAATAAATTAAAATTTATATATTTTTCATTCAACCGAACATCTAAATTCTAAATGTACAAATTTGAAATTACATAAAGTAATATACTAAAAAAATCTCATAATTATGATTAATGGATCCAAACAACTAATGGAAAGATGATTAGGAGCTCCCAAAAAAAGTTAATTAATAATTACAGGTTCATAAAAAGAAACAAGAAAATTTCAACATACTATGATCATCACCATAAGATTTTATCTATCTATTTATTTATTTTTTTTTTCAAAATTTAAAATATAAAAATCAACAACAATCCTAGGCAAATTTCTAGCCAAATTAATCCCCTCAAAACAAGGACCATTATCTAAAGAACACTCAATCAACATCACTAAACAATGTACTAAATCAATCAACCCATGTTTAAACAAAAAAAGGACAAACATAATTATGTAATTAAGTCCCCTAATGAAAATTATTTATTTGAATATAACAACCCAAATTCATTTCATAAAAACCATTATTATATTCAAAAGAAACCAACTGTCACTTTGAAAATTCAAGAAATCAAATTCCATTAAATGAAATTAGAAATCCAACATAAAAAGAAAATAAAAAATAAATAAAAAAAAGACATAATTGTTTCCCCTTTTCTGTTTTCTAGTTAAGGAAATTAAGGGAACATATATTTGACTAAGTAATTTAATTTCATGACACATTATTATGAGGATTAATAAATAATTAAATAAATATATATATAGAAAGTTAATTAAGAAAAAATTAAGGGGGGAGCAAATCTGGAAACAGAAAAATCAGGAGTGGCGATAGTAAAAGTTTATTTTTGGATTTTTGAACTCTGCCCCTCACCCCGCTCTCACGCTCCCCTCCTCCGTATATATACCCACACACACTCACACACAGTTCACACTCACACTCTCTCACTCTAAAAACACACTTTATCTACACACACACACCACCGCTGTTGTATCTATACATTTCGTCGGATGAGCGATCTGCGTGAATCGAGGTGCTAGAGCTGCCATGGGAGCTCTGTAATCGCAGCATCAGCTGAACTCCTCCGATTTTATCTGTACTTCTCTCGATTTCGACATTTTTTTTTTGAATTTTTTTTGTGTTTTAAATTTATGCGATAGTCTTCGTTTGTGTTTGTGTGTGTGTTTTTGAGCTCCGGATGATTTTAAAATGTACGATGTAATTTTTTTGGGAGCTGTTTGAGCTTTTATTTCGAAGTTCGATTGTTTGATATAGATCTGAAATAGCATTTTCGTTTTTCAATTTTTTTGTAATTTTTTGGGGATTTTTTTACGATGTGATGAGCTATTATGTAGCTCCGATTAAGTTTATTTTTGCTGACATTCTGGATATTTTGATTTTGGTAACAATGAAATGTGAGCTAAAAAAAGAAAAAAAGTAATCTCTGTGAGCTCAGTAATCTTTACAAAAATTTAAAAAAATATTTACATGGTAGGTGACTGGAAGCATGTGGAATTGGAATTAACGAAAGATCTACTGAAATTTGAATTTTGAATTTGAATTTGAATTTTTTCTTCCTTCTATTATATGCGTCAGATATTGTTTCTAATTTACCACTCGGATTTGAGGACACCTAAAATGAATATGTAATTTTTGGGAAGATTTGTGAAATTGTTGAGCGAATTGGGTTACTTAATAAGAAAAAAAATTATTCGATCCGACATTGATTATAATTTTATGGACAGGCAGTGGGAGGTTTTTTGGTGCCAGAGAATTTCATGCTGCAGTTCTTGGAGTATATGGTATATAAACTTGATGAATCGTTTTGTATATCTCAGCTGATGAATCTGTAGTTAGTCGATTTTGACAATTTGTTCGATTTCTTGGTTCCGACATTGATTCGAGCTCCGAGAATTCAAATTAACACAATGTTGGGTTGACGCTCTGATGTATGTTGCTCAATTTAGGACTGTGCATATCATGGAATTAGTAGAAACCCGATATTGTATTATGATTTCACTGTGTGACTCTCTACATTATGATGATATCCGTTTTACTTTTTTAAAACTCTATAATCACCTCGGAAAACAGTACGGGTTCTGTCTAGTTTCAAGTGTTACTGTTGAAAGGGTGGCGATATTAAAGACTAGTGTTCTGTATATTTCGAGGACTGTAGTTTATCTTTTGTTGGGAGTTTCATCACCGATTTATTTGGTCCGTATGTGAACAATTATTTGGTCATTTGACATTGCTTTCATGCTGTATTTGCAGGAATTATGAACGCGTGTTGATTCGGTTCCAGAAGCTGTTGTCCGATGAAGCATGCAGTTATGAACAACGAGAATAGGTCATCTAACATTGGGGAGCCCACTGTGCGAATTACACGAGCACGGGCAAAAGCCTTGGGCTCTTCAAGTGGATTACCACCTTTGCATCCTTCGGCAAAACAAAATGCCAGACATGTCTTGGGAGGAAACTTGAAAAGAGCCGCATCAGATAACAATAATCTGGCCGAAAATTCAGCTGCGTGTCCTCAGCCCAAGAAAAGGGCTGTTCTCAAGGATGTAACTAATATAAAATGTGATAATTTGTACATAAACTGCATCAATGCAGCCAGAGGTCAGGTAATATTATGTCCATCATTTTCGAGAAAATACAGCGTAACTCTTTTTTTCTTTGTTCACAAACTTACTTACTATAAAGATTGTTGGTTGTCAGCCTAGAAAAGGCTCCTTACAGAAAAAAGAAAAGGTGGCTCCTGCTCGATTTGTTCAAAATTCTAAGGTTCCAGGAGATAGAAGAGCAGACTTAGTAGGTGAAATGAAAAAAATAGAGGTGGAGGAAATCCAAGAAGTAAGCCCCGCAGCGAATTTGACCATTGAACCAACCAAAGTCAATGCAAGATACATGGGAACAGCCGTTCGGAGTTCTACGGAGGCGGATTCCAGTGTTCCAATGATAAGTCCATCAGATAGAGGTGAGATTTTCCATTGAACTATTGACAGAACCAAATACGTGAATTCTTTTACCCACAATGCAACACTTAAATGCAATGATATATGCGTATATGATTGACACAGTATCTGAAAACTTGGTTCCAGATTGCTCATGGCTAGTAATCATCATATGGCACTTTTAGACTAAGTTGGACATTTACCATGTAAATAAAAACATGTATACAACTGTCAGTAATACTATTGGAGTCCTTTGATACGCCGATACGAAGTTTGTTTATACAAAATGTAAACATATATGATTAGATGTTCATTATTAGCTAGTATTTGCGACCAAATTTAACATTTTTTGGTCATCATGCAGAAGATGGCATGCTTCGCGTGAAACGGGAAAACTTGGATGATAGAGGCATTACAGATATAGATTCAAAACACAAGGATCCGCTGATGTGTAGCCTGTACGCAGACGATATATATTCTAATTTGTATGCAAGACAGGTTAGTTGCCTGGCGTTCTGCGGTCCATCTATCGTCTTAGTTGATTAGAATGAATTATGAATTTTTAAATTATCTTGTCATGTGAAGGTGTACATATTCTTATCTTGTTAATGTGGATTGACTAGAGAACTTCTGTTTTCCACAAATGTTGTGTCATGTCAACACATATAAACTTTCGGTCTTCTCTCAGGTTGACCGGAGACCTGTAGCTGATTATATGGAAAAGCTGCAGCGTGACATCACACATGGCATGCGGGGTATTCTGATTGATTGGCTTGTGGAGGTTCGTCCGCTCAATCATTCTCTTAATTGGGTTTGACACTGAAAAGTTTGTGGGGTTTATTTTATCATTTTCTTCAAGATTTTTTCCTTGATCTCTAGTCTTTTGTTTTATCCTTCTCTATTCTATATTATTCATGTTCATTGCCTCTTTTCAGGTTTCTGAAGAATATAGGCTGGTGCCTGATACACTATACTTGACTGTAAATCTCATAGACAGATTCCTATCCGAGAATTACATTGAGAAGCAAAAGTTGCAACTTCTTGGTGTAACCTGCATGCTAATTGCTTCGTAAGTTATTAACTACTAAAGATTATACAGAAGTGAAAAAACAAATATATCTCACATTTAAGTGATCTTATTTTTCTTCAGTCATTCAAGCTATTGAGTCCGATTTCATGTTTTTGTAGTCCTTGTCTGTCTAGCAGCACTAAATCTTGTCATTTATATCCTGCTTGTTTATTGACTGAAGGAAATACGAAGAAATTTGCGCACCTCGTGTGGAAGAATTTTGCTTTATCACGGATAACACTTACACGAAAGAAGAGGTACTGCCCTTATCTTTTTCAAATGTCATTTGTCAACTAGGATAAATCTTCACAGAATATACGATATCGGTTTTCTACTTGGTTATTATCATTGTGCTACCCTTAACACAAGCATGATTATATGCATTGTACTCAAAGACTCCATGGATGTGGTCTTGAACGGATTACAGTTTCTGAATAGATTCCTCATCCTAACTATCTAGTGTTCTTCAACTTTCTCCCATTACAAAGTCTGGCCACCGTGTATGCATTCATACTGGTTTCTTAAAATTTACCTAAGTTACTTCCGGATTCTTAAGTTTACCATATGTGATTTCTAAGATAGTTCTCTAAATTCATTTATGTTCTTGTTTGGATAAGTTTAAATTGTATATGCAGAACTTATGTGGTGACATGACAGGTGGTGCAAATGGAGAGTCGTATTTTGAACTATATAGAATTTCAAGTGTCAGTTCCCACCACAAAGAAGTTCCTTAGGTACCATGTCTATATGAATCCTGCGATCTCTTTTTCTTCCCCACTTAATGCCGTCTTGCTAAATTCACTCTCGATTTTCTTTTCTTTCATTGTTTTTTTATAGGAGGTTCATTCAAGCAGCACAAGTTTCTTATAAGGTAAACAAAACGGTTTCTGCAAATCTAAGTTCAACGATAAACAAAGCTACTTCCGACTAATCAAATTGCTCTCTCATTTCTAGGTCCCATCGGTTGAGCTGGAATTCTTGGCAAACTATTTAGCAGAACTAAGTCTAACTAACTACAGTTTCCTAAAGTTTCTCCCATCCTTAATTGCTGCCTCTGCTGTATTTCTTGCCAGATGGACACTTGACCAGTCAGACCATCCATGGGTTAGTCTCTCTCTCATCCCACTCGTTCCTATTTCATCTTTTCTTTCCGAATTTTGTAATAAAGTGAAGTAACATACTTTTCAGAATCCAACACTAGAGCACTACACCAGGCACAAGTTTTCAGAGCTAAAAACCGCCGTTTTAGAGTTGCAAGAATTACAGCAAAACACAACCAAGTGCATGGTTAATGCCATCCGTGAAAAGTACAAGCAATCTAAGGTAAACAATCGAGAACTTTTTCTACAACAAACTTCATAATCGAAATCCTTAGTTTGCATTTGGATTCGAGTAGAAGATTTTGTGGTAAGGATTTCAAATATTAACTTAAAATGAGAGCTAAGTATTAGAAATCCTTCTTCGAAAATGCTATTGAAAACTGAACGGAATAATAATATCTTGTGCTTATATTGTTTATTTCCTGTTATGACAGTTCAAGCGTGTTTCGGATCTGCGTTCGTCAAAACCTGTCGAGGCACTATTCTAAGCGTTTAACAAAGACCCTTCTTACAGAGTGATGAGATATTTATTGCAGCTACAAACTGACTTTCTTCTAGAATATTGGAGGCGAAAAACGGGTAAATAGTCGGAGACTAATGGAAGCAAAATCCTCATTCTTTATTCATACACCTCGCAAGAAAAAAACCCCTTACCATTGTTGTACTGTTGTAATCAGTTTCGGTGCTCCCATAACAAGTTGTAAAAAGGCAAGAAGGATAGGTGCTACTACTTATTTACGAACATGAAATGCCTTTTTTGATAAAGCATTTTCCTTTCGGGTAACTGTATGAAGTTGTGGCAAGTTATTTGTCATTTGACAGCAGCTAACTTCTTGCTGGCTGGTAATTATTCAAGAAATGAACTCAGCTATTGTATCAATGAAAATCATTAATGCTTGACAATTTGATTCTTGTGTTCGACACGAAATGTGAGTTTGCCTTCTAAAACATACAAATCAGAAATTCAAAAACATTGGTTAAGTGCCGAAAAACCCAGTTGAACCGGAACTCGGTCGATGGTCCAGTCCGGTTCAACACAAAAACCGGAAATTTCAAAAAATGCTTGCAGTGTGAAAAACCCCGGTTTGACGTGAAAAATTAGTTTTCAGGAAAAAAAAAACTAATTCAAATTCCTTTCAATCAATCTCTGAAAAATGTAAATTGGAAGTTTAGAATAATTCGAATGGAAAAATTTGTTCCAAAATTGGAATCATCGGAATTTTCATTTTCTAGTCAACTATAATGTAAAATACATGATACTAATATTAAGTACAATGTTTGGAAAAAACAAAAATTTTGGAAAAAAATTCAAATATTCGGAAATTGGAAGTTAATATTCCAACTCAGCTCCTATTCAAAACATTTCGAATTTGGACGGGACTTGTTCTAAAATCGGAAATATTCGAATCAAAATCGGCATAACTTGGAAATTTCATTCCGATATGGACCTCTTATCATCTAAAATAGTACAAGAAAAGCCCGACTCGGCTTCGGGTATTGGCTCGAGCCATGGAAGCAAGGCAAGCGTCTAGAAGCCAAGCATACTTAGCTCCGCGCTACGTTTATAAAACTCTAAAACCCCATTAAATGCAGCCGGTCCAAAGGACAAAGCAACTAGGTTAATAACCGTAAGTATGCTTACTGCTCAAGAAACGGGACATCTATAAATTCGGGTCCGCTCAAACTCTAAAACTAAGACAAGATACTCAGTTTACACCATTACCTAAAGAACACTCTTTTCCCAAAATACCCTTTCTGGTTGAGAAAAAAAGACCACATTACATTTTCATAACAACAACAAATACAACCACCACCTTTTCATTCTCATCATACATAACACCTTCAGTCAGTGCCACATCACTACGACTAAAAAAAAAAACGAAAAAACAAGGTTTAATAATAATGCACATTAAAAAAAAAAAGACGACTTCCCAAACGAGACTCCTAACGGTTCACCAAAACAGCAGTATTTCTAGCCATCGGCTGTACGCTAGCATCACTTTCCAGCCGCTCCCAAATTTCCCTACGTTTTTCAACCGCCAGATTCTTACCTTTTTGCTCGGCTTCGTAATTCGAAACGCACTCCGCGACAAGGGCTTCGTCCATTTCAGACAGCATTTTTTTAACGTTTAATGTTAGGTTGAGAACAGCTTGGTTCCAGTGGCTTTGTGCGTTGGTTTCCAGAGATGGAAACACTATCGGCAGTATCACTTGTCGATTTTGTGCTACTAGGTTTAGTAATTGCTCGTTGTTCCATAGGAACAGAGCTCTTTCGGCCACCTGTAATAAAGAAAGCGGAGATCATTTATTCAAGAATGTAGGAACTAAAAGCCAGGATTTTTTTCGTCTATATGTCTAATTGATCGTATGCTTTAATCAAACTCAAGAAGTTTTATTACAATTAAAAAATGACAAAAAGTTTCATTTAAGTTGCGATGAGAAAAGTCGAGGTATGCAGAATTTTCATCTTGTTCGTTTGAAATGATACAGGCTTTATTTGGATAGATTTACTTCTCCTGCAACTTAAATGCTCGTTGCAGCTCAAATCAATTAAATCTAATAAAATATATTCGAAATCCACGAGGGCTGACAGCATACAAACAATCCTGAAATTAAGCGTAAAGCAAGTTTTTCAAAATGTGGAAATTAATATAGGACGCCCATCGGCCACATAACCAATCTATAGCAGCCACCTGGCAGAGCCGGCAATTCTTGTCAAATATAATCTTAGATTCTACCGAAGTGAATTAAATTGCCATCAATTAATCAACGACAACGGCCACATAAGCAAATATAGCAAATATTTCATACCTTTCTACAATACACATAATTTCAACAATCTAAGAGCTTTCTAGAATTTAGATACCAAACCGCAATAAATAAAAACCGATTAAAAAGATTCAGCGAGTCACCGTTATAAACGAGAACTAAGAGTTACCTGAAAATGGTAGCTATTTATGCAGCGACCGAGGCGCCAGAACAAAGGAACCATGACTTTTTGAAACTCAGCCATATTAATAACTTCAAGAATCTCCTCCAACTCGCTCAGAAACATAACTTCCTTCTGCGTATTCGTAATCGGCCAATATTTCAACAGCCCCTCGATCACATTGCAAGCCAGCTTCGGATCTTTCTCGATAAACTGGCTAATACAGTAAGTCAGCTGCTGAAAGTAAACCCCCAAAGACTTTGGCTTGTGCAACGGAATAAGTGCCCTCGACAGAAATATCTTGTGCTCCTCTTTCAAAGGCAAAGCAAATCCAGTTATCACACTACCGAAAATCTCCAACAGTTCTGCGATCCCGTTATGCTTGTCCGTTTCGAACACGAATCTGTAAAACACGTTGCTCACGCTCTTCCTTATGAATGGACGGTGAACCATAAACTTGCCGTATATTCGATGCAGAATCGCCTTCAGACAGTCCCTTTCTCTTGGATCCTCAGAGTCGAACAAGTCGATAAGCCTCAGAATGTAGGAGTGGTTTACGTACTTTTTCCCGACTTTTGCTTCCAAAGAAGTCGAAGTGACAAACTTTAGAAAGAAATCGTACACTATCTGCAAGTGGGGCCATGCAGGATCGAACGTCGGCTCGTCATCATTGTCGTTTTCGCCTGAAGTAGGGTTACTATTAGAGCGGCAATTAGGTGGGAAAACGCGGAATAAGTTAACGGAGCACATTTTGCATGAGGCTAAAATTGCGGGCTCGGAGAATTTTGGGGGGTTTTGGGAAACGAAATCGAGAAGCTCGATCAATGTGGCCCGTTTGAGCTCCTTTTCTTGAACGTTCTTTGCTGGATCGGTGAAATCGAACACTACACAGCAAAGGCTAAGCTTGCTAATGAAAAGATTCATTTTTTCCGAGCTCGAAACATCTTTGAATGCGAGCAACGGCTCGATTCCTGCAATCACACAGGTTGGAAAAACCGCAGCGGAAGCTCGTTTCGCGGCAGGAGTGTTGGTGTTGGCCCGAATCGAGCCCGGAGACGATGTGTTGGGGCCCGAATTAGGGTTTCTGGAAGAATCTTGATCTGGTTTCTGGGATTTTTTGGGGATTTTACCGAGAATTTGCTTCCACATCATGTGTTTTCAAATAAAAAATTCAATTTCCTCAAATGATGGAGAAATTGAAAAAGGTAAATGTGAAAAAAGATTGAAACTTTAGGGTTTCAAATTAAAGGTGTTTCGAGTACAGTGAGTGGGTGAAAACCTAGCCCACAAAAAACAATGCAAGGACGATAACAATGGGGATCTGAAAAATTAAATAAATAACCCCAAAAAAATAAAATTTAATCGCATAAATTCTTAAATTGTTCAAAGGTGAGATCTTTGAACAATTTTTTTTAAATCAAAAAAAAAAAAAAAAAAGAAGATCACGGAACCTAGAAATTCACCAAAATCAGGCAAAAATCGGAAAACATTCACAATATAAACACTCTCTCTCTCACACACACACCCAGAGAGATAAACACACGCAGAAGAATTAGCTGTGTGCATACATATGAATGAATGTGCACATTGTAGAACATGCGAGGGTGCGTGTTTTTTTATTCTTCTGTGTTTGTTTTTGTAGAGAGAGAAAGTTAAAATAACAACGGTTCAAAAAAGGGGTGAAAAGGGTCAAAATTACAAACCTAGGATTCCCCAAATAGTATTCTAGAGAGAGAGAAAATTGAAAATAGGAAAAAGAAAGAGAAAAAAAAACACAGACACACATGCAGATTACAGGGATAAAAGGTTGGATCTTCGGTTACGCACACATTGTATACGATTGCATTTGTACTTTTTCCGAAGTTCTCTGTGTGTGTGTGTGAGAGAGAGAGAGAGAGAGAGAGAGAGAGAGAGAGAGAGAGAGAGAGAGAGAGAGAGAGTGTCAATGGTTGGAATCAATGAAATTTGCCATTGATGGGTTGGATACTTGAAACCATATAATAAGAATCGATTCAGTAATTTGATTTTAATTTGTATTGAGGTAAATTCAGAGAGAGGGATTAAAAAGTAAGAAAAAAAGAAAAAAAGGAAAAAAAAAGAAATGATGATTAAACTTTTTATCACAGTGGTGGTGCAGAGTGCAGATCCAAGAATCATCATCCATGGGGGGGCATTAGATTTTTGGCATTTTCCCTCGTCACAATAATTTACCATTTTAGGGCTCTTTTGGTTGGTGGGATACGGGGTGATTGACAAATTAGTCACCCCTAATCTGGTATTTGGTGTGAATGATATAAACCCGGTATTGACACAAGGCCCGGTATTCAATCACCCAAATGAGTGATAACTTATCCCACCACAATAGGTGTGATTAAATTATCCAATGTAGACAATGCTAATGAAAATACAAAAAAGCCCCCCAAATAAAGCCTCATCACATCCACCAAATTACAATTTTCAAAAAACATATATTAAAAAAAACTATTTTTTACATTAGGTCATATTTTTATTTTTTTTACATTACATAGCTGCTAAAGTCAGATTTTTATTTTTTACATTAAGTCGAAAAAAAATATTTTCAAAAACTATAGAAATAAATAAAAAAAAAAAGATTTTTATCCCAAAGCCTAGAATAATATAATTATTATAATTACAAATTACAATAATTATTGATAAGGGGTGCATGATAAATTGGGATTGTTTCTTTTAAACATTTTTGTGAGTCAATAAAATTAATTTGACCAAGGGTTGTTTTGTAAATTCAAGAATAATCAATCATAATCATTATAACCAAACATCAATTTAAGTTATTCAGTATTAATAATCCCTCATACCAAATGTGATTTTTTTCCTACTAAATAGTGGTGAATAGTGCAATAATGAATAATCAATCATGTGTTTGTAATCCCATCCTACCAATAATGAATAATCAATCATGTTTATTATTATTATAATTTTGTGCTGGATTTTCTATGGTTTATTTGGGCTTAATCCCACTTTTTCACCCTGAAAATGGAGTCATTTGACACTTTGCACTCTTAAAAAATAATAATAGCGCTTTGCACCATAAAAACACAATTAATCTGAATTTAATAATAAATTCAATTTAATTTTTTATTGATAGTTTTAGGGTGCGAAATAACGAATTAAATTGTTATTTTATTCAACCTCCAACCTGATTTCGAGCGTTCAAAGTGCGAAGAAAATAAAAAAAACCGCACCAGATTATCGGAAAAAAACTATATTTTCTTACAAAATGTAAAATAAAATAAAATTTTTATCACTAAATTATTCGATTGCTTGTATGATTTTTCAGATAACTTGATAACGAAATAGCTGAAGGAATTTTCTTTTTTCGTAAAAATATTTTTTTGGTGATACAAAAATATTATCTTTAAATATGTTGATGATATGTTTATTTTTATTTTTGTACTTTATAATTTCCAAATGATTGATGAATGAAAAAATTAATTTTTCATTTGACTCCCTAAAACAAATACCACTGAAAGATTCATTGGGGGTGTATTATGAATAATTTATTGTGTTTTAGGGACAAAGTGCTATTAATTTATTTTAAGGAGGGAAGTAGAATTAAGCTGTTTCATAAGATAATAGCCCCAGTTGGCCCAATAATTCTGAAAAAGCCCAATTAAATTTCACTAATTGGATAAGAGTTGAAGTTGGGCCCTATCCCAACTTGTCCAATTTCATAAATTTCATAGTGATTAACTTATTTAATTAATAAAACATATATTTTTTAAATTAATTATATACAGTCTTTTTTGAGTATAGAATATCGGTGACAAATGCAAAGCCATAAATGACGTCATAAATTAAATTCAAATAGAGATATATATAAATATATATTAACGAGTGAATATTAGAATTGAAAAATAATTCGCAGAAGTGAAAAACCCCAATATTGGCAGCAACCTGAAATTGAATGATTCATCAGCAAAATCAAAAGCTTCCGTTCGCACAGAAGTTAACCTGATTTTTGCCCCTTTTCGTCAATCCACCGTTCTATTCGTTTTCTCCGGTCAGTAATTTTGTTTTAATTTTTCTTTTTTTGCAAGTAATCCAGTGACTTGTAATCGATGCTTGCATATATATTTTTAATTTTGTGGATCTTTTAGAGTATCGGCTGTTTTGAGTTTGGGGTTTTAAGTATGTGCTATTTGTGTTTCTGAATTTTTGGTATGTATTGTTTTTTTTCCTTTTTGGTTTGATATGAATTTGTAAGATGGTCAACGATCTGATAGTACAAAGGATTACTCTTTGGGGATGGGAATTTAGTTGGGTTGTGGGAATTTTGAATTTATTCAGTGTTTTCTTTCGACATTTTTAGCTTGTAAAATGGTGTATAGTTGCTTTAATTTATGAAGAATGGGTGTGGAGTTGATGATGAAGTTATTCACTTGTGTTAGTTGTAGGCATAGTACAGAGTACAGACGGCTAATTTCTCTTCGGATAAGTTGTTTGAGGTAGAACCTTTTGCGGGTTTGTTGTGCCGTTTCTTTACGCTATTTGATGTAGTTATTTACTTTTGTCTCGTGTTTTTATGGCTTTGTTTTGTTGGAAAAGATGCCAGCGTTTGTTAGCTCGTTAAAAGATTCTTATACTGTTGTTGGGTTATTTGCCGGTCGCCTGGGAAATTTTGTGACCAAAGAAACTTATGAAGAATGAAACGGGCGTTGAAGAAAATCCACTTAATTACCTGTTGATTTAATTTTTGGGGTTGGTTTCTGACATGCTTGACTTTTGTACTTTGAACAGATAAGAGGACTGCCGATCTGGTTCAAATAGTGGATAAACTCGGTGCCATTTTAGATTAGAGTTTTCGGATTATATTAGCCACTCAGTCTGAAAGTTTCCACCACTGTATTGTCCCATGTTTCCCGTTAGTGGTGTACAGCTGGCAGACTTGGATGGCCTTTCCCACGTCGGGACTTCATCGTAAAAATCCAACAGACAAAGTACCTTTTTTTATGGAGCGAGCAGAAAATCACAGTGACCATGAACATGTTATTGACATCACAAGTAGCAGTAACGATGCTTCTTCATCTAGTTCATCCCATGAGAGGCCATCAACTAATTTGGACCAAAGGGGTGAAAATCAACCATCTACTAGTTCACGAGTTCCCGTTTATCAACCTCAAAGTTCAAGAAATTCATCTGTAATTCGAAGAAGGGATAGTCGAGGCCGTCAAAGGAGTCCACTAAATTCTGGTGTCTGGATATCCGTTGAGCTACTTTTGACAGTTGGCCAAATTATTGCAGCTATTGTTGTTCTGTCTTTATCAAAACACGAGAAACCGCATGCTCCTTTGAAAGCTTGGATAGTGGGCTATGCATCTGGTTGTTTGGCAATTCTCCCTCTCTTGTATTGGCGTTTTAAACATCGAAACCAGGGTTCTGAACAGGATTCATCTCAACACCGTCAGGATTCTTCTCAGGCTAATACCTCTGCTGTTCCTTTGACTATTGGACCGATGGATCGTGAAGAACCCTGGATAACTGGTGCAGCTACTAGAATCTCTCAAAACAGATTACCAAATCCAAGGTATCGTAGTATGTGTGTGTGTTTAATTATTTTTATTTTTATTTTATTATCTTACTCCAGTTTCTTCAGTTATATTACGATTTTACTGCACTGTACAAATGCGATTCTCTATGGGTCCTGTTTGGTTTTTGTCTTAAAATTAAAGTGTCTGCAATTTCAGTTGTGGCACTTCTATTTGTTTTTGTTCTAGGGTTGATTTCTTGATGAGTCTTGTCAACTTCATTGGAGACTGCTTGTATGTGTTCCTCAAGGGCATTTCTAACTATTAATGTATACAAGGGATTACAAGAATATTGTGTTTCAGTTTCCACAAGTTAAGTGCTGATGTATGATATAAAAAGACAATTGTGTCCCTTTAAATACTTTGTTACTGAGATAACTTTGGCCATTCTTTAGAAAAACCTTAATGAGAACCAACCTCATAAATTAAGTTCCTCGATGAATTTACACATGTTTTGTGGGAGGAAAAAATGGACGAAGGGTTGAAGAAGGGAAATGTTATTCAACCTATCGTCTATCGTCCTCTTGTTCTATATTGCATAAGAAATGGAATGGAGAAACAGTTCTGTAGAAACTTGTGTCGAAAATTTGGGCATTCGTATCTAACTTAAGAGTGAGAGAATCGCTTGTATTACTGTCTTATTTTGTTAATGAGTGGGAAATTATGTATAAAAGTTGGAAAACGTACATTATTAAATATTTATCTTGATTGTTCAAGGGAAGAAAAGTATGAAGTCGAAGTACCTTTCGAGCACATCTTACAAAGCTAAATACGCCTGTGTTGTTTTTGCAGGATAAAGGTATTCGTCGAATATCTCAAGATGGCTTTAGATTGCTTCTTTGCCGTCTGGTTTGTGGTTGGCAATGTGTGGATCTTTGGAGGACACTCGTCTTCCACAGAAGCTCCCAATTTATACAGGTTTGCGAGAAAACGTACTAGTCTAGTTTACTTAGAAAAATCCCTTTTCTTTTTCGTCTCTTATTTTACGTGCTCAATTTGTTTGCAATGTCTCGACTTACAGGTTATGCATAGTATTTCTCACCTTCAGCTGTATCGGCTACGCAATGCCGTTTATTCTGTGCGCCACAATTTGCTGCTGCCTCCCCTGTATAATTTCAGTCCTGGGCTTCAGAGAAGATCTGTCTCAGGATCGAGGAGCTACACAAGATTCAATAAACTCTCTCCCAACTTATAAATTTAAAGTAAAGAAAAATAAAAAAGGCCACGATAAAGAGAGCACGAGTGAAGTTGAAGGTGGGATAGTAGCTGCCGGAACAGAGAAAGAACGCACGATATCAGGAGATGATGCTGTAAGATTTTTCCCCTTTTTTTTATTATTTTTTTGTGTGGAAATTGAATCGGCTCCAAGAATTGACCCGTGATTACGTTCGACAGGTGTGCTGTATCTGCTTAGCTAAATATTTGAACAACGATGAATTACGGGAACTGCCATGCACTCATTTCTTTCACAAGGAGTGTGTGGATAAATGGCTGAAAATAAACGCGTCTTGCCCACTCTGCAAAGCCGAAGTCGGCGATACTCTCTTGAGTTCACTTACCGAAGCAACGACTAACCTGAGAAATAGCACCGTGTTCTAAAAACGCACCAATTCTTCAAACGCTGCTTTCTTTTCGACCTGCTGTATAGTTTGAGTATTAATTAGGTTGTTATGTACGTGTATGTATGTATTGCCTTTCTAATATCGAGTATCGTTTTTGTATGAGAGTGCGATTTTTAGGTCGTACAAAAATGAAAAAAAAATGGTTGTGTATTTATGTCATGAGAAAATACATACACTGTCATGGTATATGCAATCTTGTTTGGGTGTAATGCTGCTTCCATTTTTTCTGAAGTTTTTACTAATTTCTAATATAAAATTAAAATTAAAATTAAATTTAAAATTAAAACAAACAAATTTACTAAATTCATACTTCTGAATTATAAAATATATAGGGACCTTAAAGTTATTTTAGCATACCTTAAGGGTGCAAGTGTAATTTACCAAAAAATAATACTAATAAAAATAAAATAAAATAAAATAAATAAAATCGTCACGTCTGTGAATCGCAATAGCAGTAGACCAGCTCAGATGGATGACGTGTCACTACACGAGACAAAGTGCGACTTTAAAGAAGCGCTTACCCACCACTCACGATAAGAATTGCCGAACTATTTCTCACACAACACACACTCACCTTTCTAGGGTTTCTCGCTCCTCTCTCTCTCTCTCTCTCTCTCTCTCTCTACAGAGATTGACGTATTCGCTCTGCTTCTTCGCCTTCTTCACTCCGCGATTAATATTTTTCTGCCTCCAGCTGGTAAAAATCTTTTATTCTGTCTGTCATGTATGCATTTATATGTGTGTGTATATATTTATGCTTTTTTTTTTTTCGTCTCCATGTATACTGGATCGACGTTTTCGATTCATTAATCAGAAATTTATAGCCTCTTCCTCCTTTTGGATTTGTTGCTCCGATTTTTGAAGGGTTTCAAAAAATTGAATCTTGAATTTCGACGAAATAAAATTTCTCACGGGTGTTTAAAGCATCTCCCAGAGAAAAAAACCTAATTGAAGTTTCTGAGTCGATTTAGTCGCGTGTGAATTTAGATTAGGGTTTATTAGGTCTTCGATTTATTGATACAGCCTGTTGTCTCCCGGCTGAAGTACCATCGTGTCCTTTTTTCCCTTGTCTATTCAATTGCTAATATATTCTGTTTTTTTTTTTTTTTTTTTTTTTGTAAAATTGAGCTTGAATTATAATTGAATTTGGGTCTTTTCACAACTTGCTTTGCTGTCTGTGTAAATCAGAAAATGCTCAGTTTGGCTGTTGAAATTTTTTGTTTGAACATTTTCATGTAAATTTTTACCTCCAAACTTTTCTTGGATCTTTTCACAATATTGTATCATTGTTATCGGGATGCTTGTTATCTTTATTAGTAATTTGAACTTAATAATATCTAAAATTTGCTTATCTATTTGTTGACTTTTGTGAGCATTATGTCTGTATCATCACCGTGCAGGTAACTCTTGGAGGATAGCAGAATTTACTATCAAACGCCGTAATTTCTGCATGTGTTCTATATTGTTGGTGTATCATATCCAACAATCTTGTTTCTTAGTTCCTGAGCTCAGCTAGCGTGGGTTGGATGGAGCATGGTTCTCATCCTCTGGACTTGCCAGTATCACAGATGCATGTGAAAATGGCGGGACAGGTGTCGACCAATCCTGAACCACAGCATTTTTATGTTTCTACAGAGAGAAATCGTGTGCTAGAACCAATATCGGGCAATCCTGGGTTCACTGCCTTAACGATACCAAACAGCAGAGTGGGTTACAATGAATCTTTAGGTGGTAGAATGGGATCGAGCCCAATCTGGATGTCGAACCAGCTAGGCCATGTAGATTCAAGTTTGCCAAACAATATGTCTGAAGAAAATTCATCATTTTCAATGAAACGTAAGGCTGAGATGGGGCCTCTGTTACACAATTCTAATTTTCAGCAGTCACTGATGCCAAACAAGCGGCTAGCACACACGATGCCTGATGTTAATTCTGTTGGATTTATGCAGCCATCGGCACCTCAAAGAAAAATTGCACCAGATCAGTCCAAGTTGTCTTCTACAGGTTCGGCTGCTCAATCTTTGCAGAACAAGAAAATGGTGAGAAACGATTCTCTCTCTGGGAAATCTAGCTTACAGCGGGGCCAGCCTGCGAAGAAACAAACAGTTCAAATTGGATCAGCATCCAAGGTTCGGGCAGAGTCATTGGAAGCTGTAAGGTCCAAAATGAGGGAGTCTCTAGCTGCTGCATTAGCGTTGGCATTACCAAACCAAGACACTGTTGCAAATGCTGAAAAAACCCAGAGCGATGCATCTGTCAATCATCAGCCTGTGGATTCCTCAGCTTCTGAAGCCAATTTGACTGTGGGCGGTCATGTTCCGGTTTCTGATTCTGAGAAGGTGTTTCCTTCAAAAGAATCATCTGAACTTAGCAAAACGAATGATGGTCAAGTGTTCTCTTCTGAGCTGGCTCCTAATGTAAGCAGTGGCAGTGGCGGACAGGCATTCCAGGGTTTCCAGTATGGTTCCATTTTGCCTGACGAGGATGTTCCTTTTGTCAATAATTTCTATGGTAAAGACGATCTTTTGCAGGGAAATGGGCTTTCTTGGGCATTTGATCTTGATGCACAGATGGGGGAGGGTAAGGAAGTTGAACATGCCGAAAAGACCAACTCTGTGTCAGAGGAAGTTCAGGGCCAAGGAGGTCAGGTTGCAGCTCTGAGACCAGAAGATTTGGCTTTCGTAATCGAATCTGAGCTTTTTGTACTGTTTGGAGATGTGAACAAAAAGTACAGAGAGAAGGGTAGATCCCTATTGTTCAACCTTAAAGATCGTAGCAATCCGGAGCTGAGAGAAAGAGTCATGTCTGGTGAAATATCACCTCAAAGGTTGTGCTCAATGTCAGCTGAAGAACTTGCTTCTAAGGAGTTATCTGAGTGGCGTATGGCCAAAGCAGAAGAGTTGGGAAAAATGGTGGTTTTGCCTGATACTGAAGTAGACATAAGGCGTTTAGTTAGGAAAACACACAAGGGGGAATTTCAAGTAGAAGTCGAGCACGACGATGGCATTGCTGCAGAGATTTCTGGTGGCACAACTATGTTAACACGACCTCCACCCAAAAAGGAGACTCAGCCTCGTTCTCCTCCTGAAGGAAGTCTCAAAGATAAAGAAAAAATTGCTGGTCAAGAGGGCAGTTCTGAGGATCAGGAATTTTCTGGTAGCCTGATTATTCCAACTGACGGGACTGATCTAATGCAAGGAATAATGGTTGATGAGCTAAAGGATGCAGAATTTTTGCCTCCAATTGTCTCATTGGATGAGTTCATGGAGTCCCTTAACAACGAACCTCCATTTGAGGATCTATCAGTAGATTCAGTGCAAAAGACAGCCACATCACACGGTGAAAGCCCAAAACCAGTTAGCAACTCTCGAGCTTCTCGTCGAGCTTCGGACTCGCCGAAAGATGCTGCCTCCAAAAAGGTTGGTGTTGTCAAGAAACATGACGTGGCGAAAAAATCGAGTGGGGATACTGCAAAGGAGAAAGTTCTTCCTATTACTGTATCGAAGGTTGATTATGTCTGGGGCGGCACTCTTCAGCTGCATGTATCATCCTCGGTCCATGTTGGTGGTATATTTCAAAGGTTTGTCTGGCATTTCATATTATACGATTGATTGACCGAAATAACTTGGAATGAATCTATTTTATTGTTTATAACATTTATACATTTGGGTAGTAGTTATTGCTTACCCACATTAACTTGTTTTCCTTCACACAATCTGTAAGATTTCTTCGAGATTATTCAGTTGCTTTTGTCTGATGTTGCTAATTTTTGTTGACAGTGGTGAGAAAACATCGACGAAGGAGTGGCCCAACTCTCTCGAGATCAAGGGCAGAGTTAGACTTGATGCTTTCGAGAAATTCCTCCAAGAACTCCCCATGTCCCGAACTCGTGCAGTCATGGTATATAAAGGCCCTCTCTTTTTCCTTGTAACTAACTCTTGCCTCCTCTTTTGTTGGCCTTCAGCTTTTTGCGTGCAAAGAAGGCAGTGCAGCCTCCCACGGCTTATGCTTAACGGGATTAGTATATATCTAGTATTATTACTGTTATTATCATTATTATTATTAGTGTGGATGTACAACAGCAGTGCTGATAGAAAATATACGGAAAGGTTGATTTTCTTGGATGAATGTTTTTGCCATGGCAATTGCATTTCTAAATTACTCAGAAATCGGTGTCAAGATATTTGTGACAAGTAAGAAACAGGCAATATATCCGAACGCAAGCATTCGATACATTAAAAATTACCAGGGGGTTTACAAATGTGACAACAGTCAACTTTATAAGAAATAATACATTATATTATTCTAATATTATCAGAATTTGATTGATGTGAAATATTTTGTGCAATCGTCACAGCTTGTAATGGTTTTGTTCAGAGGTGGTGGTTGGATGTTGAGCTTTGCTGTTTCTGTACTTCAAATATAGCAGGGGAGAAATTTGTTCTGTGGCAAAGCTGATGGCATTTTTGTTAATATTAAGTCAATCAGATGATGACCATTTAAATGTACTTTAGATGTAATTTATTCCTGGAAAATTGTAATTTTATTCAGCTGAGTTGGCAATTAAAATCTGTCCAGTAAGCGTACAACATGTTTTTACAACCAATTAAACGTGACAAACGTGACAGTAGTATATATATTGATTGATTAACGTTAAACAATTACCTCGTACTTGCCTACTTTTTTTTTTTTCTTCTATGTAAAATGCAATTATGCTATTTATATTCTAACCAAAAGAACTTGTTTTATTTGCAGGTTCTGCAGTTTGTTTCAAAGGACAAATCATCAGAGGAACAGCGTTCCAGTCTTTCTGAGGTAATAATAATATTAATAATCCCATTATTTCCATCTTTATTATTTTCATTCGAGCCTTCAAAAAAAAAAAAAAATCGAGAGTAATGCGCTCAACTATCTTCTTTATGCACAGGCTATCGACTCGTTTGTAGCAGACGAGAGATTAGGATATGCCGAGCCAGTACCAGCAGTTGAACTCTATCTGTGCCCTCCAACTTCAAGAATACTCGATATGCTGAACAAGTACATGCCCAAAAAGGAACATTCCGAGGCCAAAAACTCCACCGAAAACGGATTAATCGGCGTAGTTGTATGGAGAAGAGCTCATGTAAGCAACACGATCTCACCTAATTCATCCTCGCACCACAAACACACCTCCAAAAAGCAACCTTTCGCCACTCCTAAAAGGGTTCAAGATTCGCCGAGTTTTAATTCCAACACCACGAATAGGAGTTCCCCTCATGTATTAAGCAAGTCTCAGCCACAAACGGAAGAAGACGACGATATCCCACCTGGGTTCGGCCCTGCCGCCGCTGCCGCCGCCAGGGAGGACGATGACCTGCCGGAGTTCAACTTTTCCGGCAATATGAACACGGCCGCTATGCCTATTATTTCACCCCACAATTTGCACCAAGGTGTGAAGATGACTCAACGCCCAGTGGATCAAGTGAGAGAGCTTATTAAGAAATATGGGCAGAGTGGGTCTAGTGCACCACCCCCGAGTAGGACTGTGGTAGATAACAAGAGTCTTGGTATTAAAGCTTGGAATGATGACGACGATGATATTCCCGAGTGGCGGCCACAGGCCCCACAGCCGCCGCACCACCAGCACTTTCCGGCGGTTCATGGCCATCGGCCGCCAGTGCCGCTAGTTCCTAGTAATCAACTTATGCCTCCCATGGCCAGCCAACAACAACCACCACCACCTCCTGGTGGTAGATGGGTGCAGCCACCGGGTCCCGTTAATGGCGGGAGATGGAGGCAGTAATAGTTAGGATTAGCCGGAAAGTGAAAAACCCTTTGTAAATAAGTTTTGTTCCTTTATCCTTTCGGCCCCTGTGTCTTGATTAGCGTTGTAGTGCCTTAGCCCTAGTTTTCTTTTTTAGTTTTTCGACTACATCTCTCTTTGTTTTCTGTTATTTACAATCGCTTTTTAGATTTCGTGTGATATGAGAAAGATATCAGATGGTTTTGGTTTACAGTCTAATTTATCATTTCTGTTTGTTTCTTCTCTGTCGAATCTCTCTAAATAAATACCATCAAGATTGGTTAAAAACATTTTATTTATGGCACATTGTTTGCATGGTTGGATGAATATAAAGATTGATCATTTCTAATTTCTGAGTCTTGAATTGCAGATGTTGTCACATGGGATTCTGACACAACAGTAAGATATATATATATATATATATATATATATATATATATATATATATATATATATATATACATATATATATATATATACATATATATATATATATACATATATATATATATATATATATATATATATATATATATATATATATATATTAGGTTTTAAATTTTTAATTGAAGTGTCACATATTTACTAAAACTCGTATAATAAAGTGTTTGATCCTGATTGAACCACAACTCCACTAGTGTATATATATAGTAAGTGTGCATTTCTGAGCTAAAAGCATCAGCAAATTGTGTGGCTGATTTGAATTCCCAGAAAATTTATTTATTATATACGTAATTAAGTTGAAGAATAAGATGTTGGAGATGTTGGATATGTCGTTTTCGGATATGTTCATGACGGAATTGGTAAACCTAACAGATACGAGGATAGGGTTCGAATATGTGGACGACGGAAGTAGAGACAGAAGATATGTTATATACCACTGGAAGATGTGCCTCCGAGCACGACCAAGAACCTGGTACTCAGTTCGATTTTCCAGGCGAGGCTTACTCGGCGTGGGATTTGGATTGGAGATTCGTGTCCTAATGGACGGCAAATTTACCGGAAAGAAAATAGTAGGTTCTTTGTTTACTGAATGCGTGCGAGTCGTTTTCCTCAAACTCGAAGAACCTGTTTGGGAGGAAAAGAAGATGGGATAAGGTACCCTTGTTTGATATTGAAATACAGGAGGAAGAATCTGCTGCATTGCAGATGAAACTCGGTGCAACACAAGTTGAACAAGAAGAAGAAGTTGTGAGAAGAGACGACAAAACGAATGATATTGAAGAACCGCTTTTGTCGAAGAAGAAGATCAACCGCTTTCGTTGGACCAAAGTTCATTAGATTTTGAATTTTTTCACCTCCCCATTATTTAATAGCGTTTGATGTTTGGTTTCCTTAATATCAACTCAATTACTTAAAAAAATGTGGAAACGCAAACAATTTTTTCAAGATATTTCAGCAAACAATCCAACTGACTGCCAACTTTGTAACAAAATATCCTGCATGTACGCGAACAGAACCACGTGAATTATACTGCGAGCAGAAACTCGATGCTCGTCGGCTAAATATGTTTATTTTTATTCTCATTTTCGGGTAGAAAACTAAATATATGTCCAAAAAAGAGAGAAAAAGAAAGGAATTTATTTTTTTATTTTTGTATTTTTGTATTTTTATATATATATAAGTGGTCCTTCATATATGCTCTCAGCTATTTTAAAATGTTTAACTAATTAAAAGAAATGATTGCAAAAGATTAAGATTAATTTGTTAATATCCAAAAAAAAAATAAAAAATGGATTCCATGTCATGGCTGATTTAAGATGGGCCTGTCTATTGTTTAGGCATGCTCCCATTTTTGCATATTGAGCCCCCAATTTTTGAATAATACCATTTTCTACAGTAATCTTTATGTTTCTGTTATTTTCCATTGAATAAAAAGGTGCCTGCATTTTCTGCTAGTGCTAAAACACCTAACTTTTTATTTGGAATGTAATTCAAATGTTTGTATTAAGCATTATTCAAATGGCACAAAGTGTAATTTACCCAAATACTTATTTAAATGCTTATTTAACAGGACAAATCGGGGTAATTATCGATTAATCGGCTTTCATCAGATAGACTCAAATAATGCTTCTTAATGCAAATCTCTTTGGACTTAATTTGTAATGATTACAGCAGAAAATTCTTACATTCCAAAATGTTCAAACACTTGGGAAAATTTCGTCAGAATCTCTGCATTCAGTCTAACTTGGCTATCTTAATAAAAGAAAAAAAAGATTATTTGTGAATACGGTCAACGATTTCGACATTCCGAAACAAGTCTTCAAACTCGAGGAGATAAAGACTGTAGCACGATTCTTTTCCTTCATGCATGCATCTGTCAAATGTCAAAGTCCGAAGTCTTATCCAATTCCCGTTTTTTTTTTCCCGCTATAAATACAGGAACGTACAAGCCAGTTCATGCATACAAACTCATCTTCTTTCGTAAAATGACTCGTCTCCGATTTTTCCTCGATACTTTCGTAGCAACTTTTCTCCTCTTTGGAAGTCTCACAAGCGCTGATACGTGCATCGATTGTTTCATCCATTCGAGAGCTGCTCATTACCCTAATTCCGATGTTAATGGAACAGAAAGTGAGATATATATATGAATAATAGTTGACATAAATAGACACAAGATATGTCACATGTTAAAAAGATATGAAGAATGCCCGTTAATCGATTAATAAATATTTTTCTAGAGTTTCTTTTTTCTGATAATATTTGCGTAAATATATGCAGCTGGATCGTGTGGCTATGGTACGTTTGGGGCAACAATTAACGGCGGAGATGTATCCGCTGCATCAGATCTATATCGAGATGGAGTAGGATGCGGTGCTTGCTACCAGGTAAATAAATATTATCTAGAGGAAAATAAATAAATCGTATTTATTAATTTATCTAACACGATAGTGATTTATCCGAAACCATGCTTGCTTTGTTATATATCCAGGTAAGGTGTACCAACACTAACTACTGTTCAGATAAAGGAGTAACTACAGTTATAACTGACCATGGTTCAAGTGGTAACACGGACTTCATTCTGAGCAGACGAGCTTTTCGTCGGATGGCTCAGAATGAAGACGCAGCTGCATCTCTATTAGCATTTGGCGTAGTAGATATCGAATACAGAAGGTAAAGTATATCTAAAATATAGTAAATTTCTTGTCCTACCTAACAAACTCTATAAAAAAAAAAAAAATCGGTTCGCATGCGCATATCTTATAGGCTATAGCACTTGATTATTTCACAAATAATAACATATTCGTTTATTATACAGGGTTCCGTGCAGCTATCCGAGCAAAAATATTACGATAAAGATAGATGAAAACAGTAATTACCCTCATTATCTGGCCTTTGTAATTCAGTATCAACAAGGCACAAAGGATATAACTGCTGTTCAACTATGTGAGGTATCTTTGAGAATCTTTTAATACTCAAAGAATAAGCACACGTTACCAGATGGTCTAAGCAAAAAAAAAAAAAAAAAAAAAATCTAACTTAGTTTTTAAATATGCAGACACAGAGTTACGTCTGCAAACTAATGGATCGGAGTTATGGAGCAGTATGGACGACTACCTCACCGCCGAGTGGGCCGCTCTCATTAAGGATGCTATTTAGTGACGAAAATGGAGACGAGACATGGGTAGTTCCAGTCAACGACATACCTGAAAAATGGAAACCCGGAGAAACGTACGACTCAGGAGTACAAGTGACCGCCTGATTGATGCAAGAACACCCCCCCATGTTGTTGTCTGTTCATCTCGATCTTTTCAATTGATCTTTATTGTTGTTTTTCAGAGCTAGGATTCAGTAATAAGTTGTTAACAAATCCTGTAGATTTTAATCAGTTTATGAATGAGTAGAAAAAGGTGAATCGCTTCAATTTGGATTCCATTTTACGACATACAATGTTTGAAAATGAAAACACGTGGTGTACTCATCGGTTCTATACACCGCTTTGCCAAAAAGCCAAAAACTAACCCATCAATGTTAGAATTTGCATATATAACTCTGTATACAATCAATTTGAGTGATGAAATTTGCTACACAATAACTCCAAGACTTCCTACAAGTTTTTACACAATAATTTGCATATATAACTTTGTTTCTATAGAGGACTAAACGGGCAAGATGTTGCGAATTAAAAGAATACACCGTTACGATCTTAGATACCTCAAGAAGCTTTTGAAGATATTTCAGCAAACAATCCAACTAACTGCCAACTTTGTAAGAAAATTTCCTGCAAGCACACAAACAGAACCACACGAGTTATAATGCGAGCATAAACTCAATGCGTGTACACGCAATTAAATCCAATTCACAGACTCATCAGGTCTGTGGCATATCAAAAAATTAGAAAACAACACCTAAACAATGGAAAAAACAAAAATAGCAGCAAAAGACGATTTATTACCTGTTGCGGTCTGCACTAACTGGCAGTTTCAACCAAAACGAGGCGCATCTGGAGGCTTCAATCTTCATGATGAAGAGAAATGTCATCGGGTACAACTTCATCAAATCATTGTGCATTCTCTATCTATATAACAAGCTATCATGGATGATAAACTCTATTTTTGTACATCTCTAGGAAAACATTTCATCGAACTATTTATCTTCGCTTCACTAAATATGAGCAAAGTACCTTCATTGGGCTCGCATCCATTATTCTCCATGTCTTTAAACAGAAACTTGACTTTCGAAACCATTCCTCTCTTGAACATCGCGTTCATTATCGTGTTATAAATATAAATATCAGGAGAAATCCCGTCTTTTCGCATTTGGTCTCGATAGTCAAGGGCACCCAATATATTGCCTTCTTTACAAAGGCTATAAATGGAGCAACCGTGGGTGCCGATATCTGGCTTAAGTTTGTGGTTATACATATCCTTAGAGAGCTCATATACAAGCGAATCTTTGCCTTTCGTTATGGAAGCACGGATTAGAATATTGTACGTGGTTGTATTAGGTGGAACCCTGATACTTTTGAAATACTTGAAAATTTCCAGCGCATTTGCAAGTTGTCGATACTTGCAGATGCCAGCAAGGAAGGAGTTTAAAGTGATTGTATTAGGTTGAAGACCACTATTCATCATGGATTCCAAAAGCTTCAAGCAACCCGGGAATTTCCCGATTGTTGAAAAATACTGAATTAGACAAGTGAAACTCACAATATCGAATTTAGTTCCTTCATATTCCTTCATCCGCCCCCAAATCTGCCCAATAACGGACCAATCTCCAAGTTCACACGCAGCCGAAAGAATCGTATTGAAGGAAACCAAATCAGGCCCGATGTAAGGCCACCTGGCAATGTTCAATAACTCTAGTGCTGCATCCATGTTTTTCTCTTTGCACAGTCCTTTAAGAACCATGTTATACGATACACTAGTAGGTCTAAAACCATGCTTCATCATACTCTGCATCACGGACAAATTTCCACTGCAATTACCACTAAGAATAGTGCTATACGATACAGTAGTAGGACTAAAATCTTGCTCCAGCATACTCTGCATCAAGGACAAAGCTTCACTGGAATTACCACTGCAGCATTTCGAATGCAAATATATGTTGTAAACGACATCATCTAGAGAGCGGCCCCTCGAAATAAAATCGAGCAATAGCTCATTGGAACTCTCCAAATTGCCCCCTTTCAACATGCCTCCAGCCAATGCGGCATAAGTGTACATATCGGGCAATAGCCCCTTTTGATAGATAACTTTAACAAGATCACATGCCTCTTGTATCCTACCATGAATAGAAAGTGCACGGAGAAAAATATTATACGTAACTAAGTCAGGATCGCATCCTTTCTCTTCCATCTTTCCCAAATGGCTTAGAGCCTCATCAACATTCCCGTAATCGCAAAGAGCCTTAACATATATAGTATAAGCAATCCGACTAGGCTTACAACCAACTTTTTCCATCTCACCTAAACAACGAAAAGCCTCGACCCATAGCCTTTCCTTACTAAAACCGTATAACAAAGCAGTATATGAGTAAGCAGAGCGCACAAAACCCATCTTTTCTAACAAACCGAAAAATGCCAATGCAGCATAAATCTGCTCCGACTTACATAACGCCCATAGTATCGGATTGTAAATACACCCTGTGCAAAAGAATCCCCTCCCTGAAAGTGCTGCAAAAACAGAGTACGCCTTTTGAACCATCCCAACTTTACAAAGACCTTGGATCAAGGTGCTTACATCACATTGACTCGGAGTGAAGTTAGAACTCAGCATAATATCAAACACATCAGCGGCATCCACTACACTTCCTGCTTTCAAAACCTTCTTGAACAATTTCGACAGAATCGAATAGGAAGGCAAAAACTCGTTCTTCATCATTTCATCTGTAATCCAAATCGCATCCTTAAACCGACCAACGGAAAGTGTCCCATTCAAGAGTGTCATATAAGTCAACAAATTTGGGGTTGGGCCGAATCTTTTCATCCGATTATAAACCTCAAACAACTCATCGATCGCCACATTTTCCGACTTGAAGTAACACCTAATCATCGAATTGTAGTCGTAAACAGTAGGCTTCCCCAAAACATTATTCCTCATGAAATACAAAGTCTCAAGGGCTTTTTTAATGCTACCTGAGGTCGCATGATTCTGCATTCTCTGCCGCAGCTCACTGTAAGTACACAACTCCGGTACTGCATTATCGTCTGACGAAAAGTCGGCATGTTGGGCAGCGGAACAAGAAGTGGAAACTGTCACTGAGTGCGAGAGAGAAAACAATCTTTTTCTCAGGGGTGATAAATAGTGGGTGCAAGAATACATTACATGCAAGAATTATCTTTTCAGAATCGCCCTTTTATAACAAAACACTATAATATCCCATCTATATATATTTTAGAACCAAATTTACAGACATCAAGCTCGTTCGAATGGTTTCACGTCTATGCCGGTTGCTAACCTAGACACAGAAATCCCTTTTGTCGGCAACCCAATTTGATTGAGAAACGCCGCCGCCTCGGCTTGTGGGCAATCCGTTGAAGAAGCTCTTCTGCCGGCACTCTTGGTTCGTTAAATCGCCGCCGCCGCGGAGGTGGTTGTTGTCGGCCTGAGTGGTTGGTTGCCTGTGATAACGTGGCGGATGGGATTTTAGTTGTAACAGAGTGATTATAACTGTTACGGCGAGTGGTTTTTTAGGGTTTATTCAGATTGCATGAGATTAGCAATGCACAAACAATTTTTATTTCAAATTGAATTGATTTTTGATTCTCATTGAAACTGAGAGATAGCGATCGCAAAACTTCACTCCATAACTGAACTTACTGAAAAAAGCAGCCTTTTTTCTTCTGTTTTCCCTCCACACCCTACCATAAAACCCTAGTTGGAAGAAAAGCCCTTTCACCATACGACGTCGTAAAGCTCCATTTTTAGTTCAGGGTTTTAAGAGTGAGCATACGACGTCGTAACTATTTTTTGAATTGTTAATTGTGGCCCCCAAATAATCTTTATTTACCAAACAACCCCCACATTTTATCACAAATTCATAAAAGGTCCGATCTTTCAGTTATCTTTCACAGTGGATGAGCTGACACAATAGATAGCAAGAGGCAAACTCCAATGGCAGCAGCTCTTCCTTCCATTAAATCCCACCATTCCCTCTTACCTAATATTTCGATTTACAGGTACTCTCTCTCTCTCTCTCTCTCTCTCTCTCTCTAAACTATGTAGTACAATATCGTTATTTTTTTTTAATTTTTTTTTGGGGTTTGCAGGAATAATGGCCAGAGAATATCCATTTTAACGCAGACGAAACCTCGTACATGTAGAAAATTGAGAAGAACGAGTGCGAGTTTGGGTGATTCTTCGACACCTTTTTGGCAAAATGGGATTGTGAGGAGGGATTTAATGTTAATTGGATTGTCTTCTTCAATCTCTCTGATTTTCCCAACTTTAGGTAAAATGTTGAGAAATCAATTATTCTCACTCTTACTGATTTGGGGAATTAGGGTATGGAATTATTTTTAGTTACGGATTCTGCGTAAAGATTTGCACTCTTGCTGTAATATCCCGGATTTTAGTTACGATTCTGCGTAAAGATTTGCTTATCATAGGTATTGATTAGTTTGTTTTTTTAGAATTGGATTATTGAATTGGTGATGCTTACAGGCTCTAGTGCCGACGAAGAGGTGAAAATGGATTTACTAGTTGATGATGTGAACGCTTACTCGTATTTGTATCCGACAAAATTGCCTTCCGAAAAGTTTGACTTCAAATGGTAAACAAGAACACCCCTCAGTTTCGATGATTGATTATTTACCAGCTAAGATATTTCGACATCTTTTAGAGCTGCTTTTCTGCAACGTGAAATTGTAGGAACCTCACTCTTTTAATCTATTTGAAGGGTGGAATCTAGAAAATCGGAGCGTTATTCATCAGCTGCACCGTTGTCCCGTAAGTCGATGTAAACTTCCGTTATTTGGTAACTGTGGAAATCGTATTGAGTTTTTTTTTTTTTTTTTTTTTTTTTTTTTTTTTTTTTGCACTAAAATGATTTATCAACTATTGTACAGCTGATGCACGCCTTCGAATTGTGTCTGAGAGGATTGATTTTACCGATAACCTCATAATTTCAGTCACGGTAATTGATTCATTTCTACCTTTTTTATTCTCTACGCTGACTATAATATCGCGAATTTCCATTTTAAAAAACTTTTAATTTGTATTCGTTGATTCAGATCGGTCCGCCAAATCCTCTGTTTCTGAAATCCAAAGATAAAAGTACATGGACTGCAAAAGACGTTGCTGATTCCGTTTTAGCTGACAAATCTGCTCTCGTATTTTTCGCCTCTCTTCTTTTACGTCTAAATATCACGTCAACTTTGTTTTGAGTTCACTTATGTATTATTAACAATTATGAAGCTTAATATTTAGTTTTGAATTTTGATCGAACCATTTTGATATTGTAATGTTCATCTACAGCGGGTAACTTCTAGCCAGCGGATGGATGAAAGTTCGGTTATTGATGCACATTCTTCTACGGTGATTTCTGTTTTTTTTTTTTTTTTTTTTTTTTTGGTATTTCAACTACTAGTGCTCGATAATGCGAACACATTTGCTTACATGTCTGATAATAATCCTTTTTTTTTTTAGATTGATGGGGAGTCGTATTGGTATTATGAATATTTGGTTCGCAAGTCGCCAACGAAATCTGTATGTATTTCCTAATTTAATCTATTAGCAGGTTATTGCAGACGAATCTCAACTGAAGTATTTATATTAATCATACTTTACTACAGGCTGAGGGATCAAACCTTTACCGACATTTCGTCTCTTCAACTGCTGAGCGTGACGGTAGGGCAGTTAAACTTTTTGCATAAAAAATATTATTATCATTTTATTGGCTAATAATAATGAGAATTTTTTTTCTTTTCATCGTAGATAGTGTTGAAATAATGCTAAATGAGCTTCGTTTCGTTCTCGTTTATTTCGATTTTTGCTGATAACTCTCGTTCAAAAAACAATTCTTCATCCACAGGTTACTTGTACTCTCTGAATGCTTCGACTCTGAGCAAGCAGTGGGAAAAAGTAAGTGCAAGTTTCTTAAACATGCAATTTAGTATTTGAAATTGCAATTTCTTGAACATGAGAGGCTCTAAATTAAGCTGATACCATAATTCTATATTAAATTCAAAAAGAAAAATTAAAAAAAATGCCGATTAAACAAAATCTACTGTATTTTTTGTGCACGTGTAATTACTGAATTTGCTTAATAATGTCGCACGCAGATGGGACCTTACTTGGAAAAAACCATTGCATCTTTTCGACTTCTCCCGCCTACAGAAAGTTATGTTCCTCCATACAAGGACCCATGGAGGTTTTGGTGAACTCTTTATTCATTCATCTGGAGACGATTTATTATTTTTCGACGGTGGAAATGTAATCGATGAGTGCTACTTTTGTAATGCCATGTAATGTTATCTTCAGTCATAGAAAATTCAGCAATTTATTATTTATCCTTTTTTATATCAGGAAATATAAAATGTTTGCAAGCTTTTCTGGTGAATAGGTTAAGCAGTTTTCCAGATAAAAACATAAGGATCTACCTAAGAGGGAGGGAAGGATTGTAACTCCAAGACAATATCTTTTCAAGTTGTTCATCTTTTGTAACAATGATCGATTTCACAATGTTTTTCGCAATTTCCTCCGAGGAGGCTCAAGTTTTTGTCGCAATCACCTTTCCAATACTCCCCAACTCAATAGGACAACGTTCTTCTTTAAACATCTTTTGCCAAAGCCGATTTTTTAACGAAAATATCTTCTGCTTCATTTGCTTCGCAACATCCCTGATTCGTCCTTCCAAACTGTCGTTGGATTTGTCTGAAAGTTGTTCAAGAAAGGTTTGTAAGTATATAATGTGTTGTTTATCGATCGATGTAATTTGTCCTTTCTGAGCAAGAGAAATTAGATACTGATGGTGGTTCAGGATTTGGTCTATGGTTGTGAAAGGGAAAAAACAAGAACAGCATATAAATGTAAGCCATCTCTATGAAGATCAAACTCAACCAACTGGGCTAGCTTAGAGAGAGAAACAAGAGAGAGAGAGAGAGAGAGAGAGAGAGAGAGAGAGAGAGAGAGAGAGAGAGAGAGAGAGAGAGAGAGCTCATTTCATATTTGAGCAAAGAACAATAAAATACCTATTCATTTACAAGAACTGATTTACACTGGTAAAGAAAATGTAGTCCAACTAATCTGTCTACATAATTCTACTTTTCTTTTGTTGAAGTATATATATATATATATCGAAGCAAGCTAATCCTGTGAAGTAGTAGAATATTCAAATAGGAGGCGTTTCGAAGGAGCCGATTGTAACAGCACCCTCAGGCGGCTCGTGAGTTGGTAGATCAGAGTCCACTGCATAGCCATTTCTGAATCCTTCATCTGCCTCACTACAGAAGCCTGCATGCATAAGTTTACCTTACTTAGAAGACAATGGACAATGAAAATATATATATATATATATAGTATACATCGAAACACTGATTACAGGTAAGCCCAACAATATGAATTTCCGAAAACATTAGCCATAAAATGAACAAACCAAAAAAAAATCGAAATTTCAGAATATTGAGAAAATCTCAAAAAATCGTATACTATATAGCACACGCTTTTTAGTAAAAATCGCTGATAATGTCAAATATTTTTTGGAACTCAAATATATATTATGTAAGGTATTTATCCATAAGTAGTAAATAAATAAGTCATTTAAAAATTATTTCAATAATTTTTCAATCGTAGAAAAAAAAAAAAAGGGGGCACGATCAAGATAGGATCATCAAAGAAAATGAGAGTGTTGCACTTTTTTGTGGGAAGATCAAAATTGAATGAGATTCGGCGAAAGCCAAAACAAATCGAAATTTTAGAATATTGAGAAAGTCAGCAGTGAGGTCATTTTGGGAAATCTAGACAAACCTGAAGACGCTTTCCCAGCTGGACTTCAACTTCGGTCCCAAAAGAAATGTTGCTAGCCAGAGACTTAAGAGGATCGACTGTGGGGTCCACGGAGAGTAAACTCGGGATTTGAGGAGAATAAACGAGCCTCCACCTAGCCTGTCCGAATTCGCCCTTGCCCTCTATCCTCGGCATCAATGTCTCGAGTGTTGCAGTAGCAAGCTTCTTAAACGCAAGCTGACCATCACCTTCCAATATTGATTCGGCTAATTGACTCTCAAAGACTCTAGCGGCCTGTTTTAGTCAGAAAATATGTGTATAGTTTCTTTGAGACAGATGAATTTATCTCTGAAAAACCCAAGAATTTCCTTACAACATATATGTATAATTCACCACAAATCAATCAGGATAAACAATGTCGCTAAAATTGCATAGAGTTACAACCTACAGTACGATATAAACGGTTAATATTTACTTTATCTTTTTGCTTTTTATTTCTTTTCTTAATCAGAGTCCGTAATAAGCAAAACGTGACATTTCATAATTTTCATCAATTTATCCCTGCAAACCTCAAGGGTGGCTTTTGTAATTTTGAAAGTGAACAGAACTCTTCTACACCAAGTCAAACCTAATACGCAATTGCTGTAATTTACCGCATACATTATAAGCCTGCGCTGATTAGAACTTGAATTTTTTGCATCAAATTACCTCTGTAGTTGAAAGGACATTTTGCTCCACCGAACGAGTTGAGGTGACCACCAGTTTTTCCTGCCACTTGCTAGCTGGACTTTGAATTCTAAATTGCCATTCTGATCCGACCAGGGCTAAATCCAGCATCGGATCAAGTCCATTGTCAGGCTCAAATTTTGCAATGTTAAGATACTCTCTCTTGAGCCTTACCTGCATTCAGGATTCAGACAAAGAAGAATAAACACCAAAACACAAGCATTTCAAAAGATTATGTACTGCAAAGAGTAAACCACAAAATCGCACAACGTATATAAAGATTACCTGTGTCGCCACAAGATTCACATCACCATTCTCGAAAGTTAGAATGCCTTTAGGTTTTATCCATTTGGGATGGGCTGGACCATTTAATTCAAGCTCTCCACTAACAGCGAAATTTAGTATCAAAGGATAAACTATCCTCAGTTCAGGCCCAAGAACAATCCTTAAGTCCGTCAGGCGGATATCTAGTTTTGGCTTACTATTCACCAACACCGTCCCCTTTTCAACTTTATCTCGGTCATCTGCAAACCGTCATAGTTTGTTAAAACATTAGAAATTTAACAGTTACGAAAAGAATACTTCATGAACAACCAATCATGTACGTATTTAACATAAAATTGTTGCAAAATGACATTGGTTTAAAAGTGACAGTATTTTGTTTGTTCTTCTTGAGTCAAAAGAGAACCACGTCTCATGTATACTATTCACTTTTCTATTTCCCACCACCCTTTCTGATGTATACCGCCATTGTTCTATTTTTTATATAGTCTCTCACAGGTACCAATTTGGTAAACTGGGTTCAAAATCAAGAAAAGCTCAGCTTTGATTTCTTATATAGACAAACATACCAGGTGATTGGTGGAATGAGCTATTTGATGATGCTGGAATTAGGTTTAGAAAGCGCGATACATACTTTGATGCAACCATACGACCATAACCACCAGTTGGCAATCCTCGGTCATTTGGTGTATTCCTTCTGAAGGGAGGAGCTCCACTACCCTTGTCGTGTGGTAGATAAGCTTCTCCTTGGCTGACCTTTATCTTTCCAGATATGTTTGGTTGCATAATAGATCCAGTAATTTGTAACTGAGAATCAACCTGACCACTTTGATAACCAGATAATTTTCAAGTTACGAAGGAAACAAGAAAAAGAAAAAAAAAAATTGCAAACATCCTAATGAACCAAGAATTCTTTTGCTTTCGGGAGTAAAAATATACCTCAGGATATTCCTTGCACGCACTTCCAGAACCTCACATTTTAAATCAAGTTTGTCGCCAAGAGACGTTTCACTTAATCGGAGGGGGAGATTCCCTTTTACAGACAATTTTCCCTTTCTGCTCACTCTACCCTCCAATGAGCCAATACGCAATCTATTTGAATTTACATGAACTGTTCCACCAAGATTGGTTACTGGTTTCCTAAGTACAGGTGAAGACACGGTTGCCCTGTGAAAATAGGCAGACCCGTCTAGCACTGGTTGTTCAACAGTGCCCCTTACCTAAAACAGACAAATATTAAATACCCACGACAATGTTTGTTCTATTGCCCGATTATATAAGCAAAAGTTACAGATAACAATACAAACCTGAAGCATAACTTCAGCATTGCCGTTGAGCCAATTAGCATAAGGAGATAATGCCGTTAGCAACAGCATGCCCCCATCTTTAACATCAGCATCAATCCTAACTTCTCCTGCATCTAGTAAGTTCCAGTTCAAACCCTTGAGGCTCTCTGCCAATTGTGTATCCCAAACCTCTTGATTTTTTTCTCTGAATCCCTTTCTATCATTAGTCTCATCTGCAGTTGGTTTACTTCTTTCCGTGTCCCAACTTCGAACCCATGTGGCTTCATTTCTGTCCCTTTCAGTACTTTCTTCCTCCAAAGCATTGTTCTGTACAAGTGTTAGAGGAACGCTTCCTTGGATATGCACATAGCCGTTCTGAACAATGGGTTCAAATTTTGCATTGAATAGGAAACGGCTACTTGGGGTTAAAGATGCAACAACTTCAGCCCTCCCAAGATCAATTCCTCCAATTGCCCCATCCAAGAGCCTTACTTGGACATCACATTCTGGCTTAACTAGATTTCCTTTAAGATCACCTTCCATGTGTAGGATGCCTCTAATTGGTGCTAATAATTGCCGCAGAGAGTGAACAGCTTCGCTGGCTGAATTTTCAATAACCTGAAGAAGAGTAGGAACCAAACTGACGGGGAAATTAAGAACAGCAAAATGCAAATTCGTCTTCGGCCCTAATAGTGTCCCATCTGCATGGATTGTGGCATTATCCCTTTGGATAAACATTTTGTCCAGACGCAACCCATCGTTGTTGCTGTATATCCCGGCTGCTAGAATGCGCTGGGTTGTATATGTTCCCCACTCCCATTCGTCTCCATGAAAGTCAAATTCTGCCTGAAGTTAACACAAAAGAAGAAATCAACCAGGAGGATAATGTAATGAAGAATGTCCATAGGAGGCAAATGTATTGTAAATGTGATGTATGTTTGAAAGTTTTCTAGGAGACTAAATTGAGAATGAAAAGTGAGGGAATTTAATACCAAACATAGCCTAGTTTTTATGATCTCGGTTACCGCAAGATCAGTGATAGCAGAAAACTCAGTTATTATGCTTAGATAGAAAGCCAAACGGAAAGAAATTTCATGCAGAATTATTTGAAAAATAGAAGTTAAATAATCATTAAACATTTGTATGGATTTGTTGGTAAGCAGACAGCCAAAATTTCAATCAGAAACAATTATATATATATTTTTTTTCTCTTCGATCAATATGATCCAAAAAACAGGTCAATATGTGCACAGATATCTACCGTCGTGTCTCCATTTCCTCCTCCACTTGCATCTAAAGAGCCACGCCAGCGACCTTTGAGTTCAGATAAACCTGGTAAATTGAAATCATCCAAGACAACTTCGTATGACGCTGCACAATAACCCCGAACTTCCTACAAGTTTGTACACAATCAGAAAATCTAAAGAGGCGAAACAAGTTAGAGGTTAAGAAAAGAATCCACTTTCAAGATCCTAGAAATCTAAAATCTTAAAAATCTTTGCAAGTGAAACAAACCTCAAGAAGTTTTTGAAGACTTTCAGCACACAATCCAACAGACTGTAAACTTTGTAAGAAAAGATCCTGCATGTATACAATTAATATTATTATTATAATAACAGAAGAGAAAAGGCAGTAGCAGCAAAAGGCAATCAGTACAGATAAATGTTAAATGGGTTCCGTAGATACGACTTTTTTTCCATTTTGATATCCAAGAAAAGAAGAGAATGAATTAAACATGAAATCATCTGAACCCTCGAATGTCAGACGCGGTCCCAAATCTATCGTTTGGACCTAAAATATGCCAGCTAATTGTTTCAAATAAACATCTACTTGGATGTGTCAAGCTTATGCATGTCTCCATACGAGCAAAGTGAAATCAAAATTGGAAGAGCGTGAAAGGGGCAAAGCTGACAATACATCATGGGCTAAATTCTAATATGCAGTAACACAGTTCATACCAAAGAATCTTCAAAGATTTCACCCATCACACATTAGTAGACTACAACCTTCGATCTAGATTGAACGGCTGGATCAGAACTTCGAGAAAGGAGCCTAGCAAGTGGAAGCATCTCAGCAATCTCAGCGTTAGGAACCTCTAGTCTCATTCTCCATCTACCCATAGAAGAGATCACACTACCAAGATGACCTGTCATTACTTTCTGGAACAAGCTACCTTTTTCCTTTCCAGTAGGGCTTCGATCCCGAGATCCAGGCAATACATACTCCCCTTGTAGTTCATATTTGCTATTGCTTTGCTCCAAAGTAACTCTTTCAACAGTGATCTATAACAAAGAAGTATTAACTAGCATTTTACATAAACAACTAAAATAGCCTAAAAATATAAATGCCATTTTACTCCCACAGTTCTTCAACATGACAGTGATCGAGATCAACCAAAATTACAATATCCTTCCTTATATTGAAAGATTGCAATATGATGAGAAAATTGATCATCAATAAATTTCAGAAGAAGACAAAGTGTTTTATTTGAAACACAGTGAATGTACTGACCACATCCCCACTCCATCTTGCAGCCACATCTAGAGCTTCACCCAACACCCCGCTGAATTTTGGCCGGAGAACAGATAGCACACCGTGGCCCCTTCTTTTCTGAAAGTTTAACTGAAGTTCTGCCTGAAAGGGAGAATATCAAAATGGGATAAAGATTTTTTTTGTTTAGACAAGGAATAGAACCAGATAAAAACCATATCACCACTGTTTCAATGTTTATTATGTTTCCAAATGGAGGAGTACCTTTTTATAGTTACAACCATTATCTTCATCTACAGTTGAAAGAACTTATTTACAAAAAGTTTGTTATACGATTCTACGATTCAAAATGCTTCAGCAACTATCTATCTATCCAATTCTGATTAGTTATACTCGATCAACAAATTTGAACGACATTAGAAAAAATATAATCACGTATTCAGTTCGTTCAACCTATCAAATAGATGAATCAACCATTTGACTGAACAAGCTTCACACAGCAAATTAAAGACTAGAGTGCAAACAAAACTAGGCATCACAAAGGAGATGTATGAACTGCAGAAAAATATTTACACTATTCCTGAACCAGGAGCATCAGAAATAACATAGAGTTGTCTAATAAGAAGTTTACTCTTGATATCGCTCCACGGAGTGAGGCTAGCTCCAGGTCATCCAGCGGCAAATGGCGTACCTGATGGCATATATAGTGTAAATATTTTGTACCAATTCAGACGAAAGAAGTCATTCAATAAAAAAAAAATAGAAGATGTGGGCAGAGAGTTAGAAGCAAAATAATTCGTAAAAAAATGGAAAGGACCTCCAAGTTAGTTGAGTGTAGTGGTCGATAACATGCATTAGCTTTCAGTTGACCTTTCTGCAGAGAAAAAGACAGAAACTTTCCAGCTAAATTTTCTTCAGAAGTTGATTGCAAAGGTCCTACAAGTTCTACTGAAAGACTTTCGTCTGGCCGACCAGTAGCATCCAACTGCATCACCATAAAGCAAAGCAGCAACTAATGTCATACACATTTAATCAATAAGGATATAATGCTAACGATAGTCACAACGATTATGTCGCTGATTATCTCAATGTTCATGTACTAAAGAGAGCATAAAAAGTACAACTGGTATTTACAAAGACTTTCTAATTGAAACATAGTAGTCATTAGTGCCAGCAATAGCTGCAATACAACCCTATACAGGATAAAAGTCCAATAAAATTTACGAGGATTCTATGATTTGCTATTAGTTATAATAGTTGCTTGAATTTTAGAAGAATATAAATGATTTATTCAATATGGAAATTTGATTGGAGATTGAATAACTTTGAGCCTGAAAGAATTTCTATTGTTTATGCTCCCCCGATGTTAAAGTCGAGACTCGTTCTCCATTCACTTGACCTAGAAGATGAATATAACACCTAAACCTGTTTTAGGCATGAACTACAAGGGCCCAAATGAATATAAAATTTTAAATATTACTAACAAGAAACACTATTTAGAAGGCAAAGGAGTGTGAGACAAACCTTGATACCCTTAGATGTGATGTTCAACACTCCAACTAACTGGGGAGCCAGCATCAATTGATTGAGCTTTAGACCTGAGATTGAAACATCACCAGAAATGCTCTTTGCATCTTCATCACCTTCCACAAGGGGCAATTCTGAACTCTTATCAGATTGCAGAACTGGGTTGTCAATGCTGCAGCAGTTCTTGTTAACCTTCCCTTGAAACTTCACTTTTCCTGTTGCTTTCATATGCACAGGCCTTGGAGAATCAAATGCATAGGAAGAAACAAAGTTAAAAAATTCAAAATTTCGCATCCTTAGGTCCAATTCGACTCCTTCCACAGAGAAAGGCATGGTAGCTACTTTACCGATCTCTCTCCAGTCTAAGCAGTTTTCATTAGTATATGATGTTAAAACTTTCATATACAATTCAAATGCAGCCGATGAAGAATTGACAGAAATGTGATCGTGTGAAATTATGACATCTCCACGAGCATCAGAAAGTGAACCCTCAGCTCTTGGTGCAGTCCATTTGATATCAAATCTCCTACAATTGTAAAAATGGTATACACTCACATTTCCATACATGAAACTGTAAGAAGAAAATTTATGCGGAAACTATCGATCCATGGAGACTATTTATTCCTTCAACATGTAGAAAGACACAGCAAGAAATCTTACGGTTTTGACAATGAGCCAGAAACTTTTGTTTCTCCATTGAGATCCCCCAACTTAAAGGGCATCGTTTGAAGATAACCAGGTATATACCGATGCATAATCTTATCAAAACATAAGTTTCCGGAAAAGTTAACATCCATTGCTGCATCATCAACCTCGCCCTACAATAATAGGCCAATTAACGTCACAGATAAACCAAAAATTGCAAGAAAATTGAGGGTTCATGAAATAAATATAATACATTGACCATAGAGAATATACGATTGAATTATATAGGATGAAGTGACAGAAGTAACATGGGTTGTCGATCTAGTTTTTAAAATTTGAAGGCATTATCTAAGAACATGGAATAAAACTAATTCAAATTTACTGATATGCTTATTATACTGTCTTCTATACAAATAAACACCTCAGGACAAATCCAAGCATTTCCTGCTCCGCGAATTTCCCCACCATCAACAAGTGTAGCTCTGATTCCATAAAGGTCAGCGACCTGCAATGTGCAATCAGGAACATTAGCGTATGTGCAAGAAAATAGACAAAATTGAATCCCATTTATCAATTATGGTTTATTATTAAACAATTACTCACACAATTATCAGTATTAAACGTAAAGTTCGCAGAAACATAAGAGAAAGGAACATGGTCAACGGCTGCAACTGCACCAGCTTCTTTACTATTCATCATTGCCTCATAGGCAGCTGATTGAGGGGTATCGGCAGATAAATGGATGAGCTTCCTTGAGACCAATGCACTCCCAACAAACACAGGAGCATCCAAGGGGCCTTGACAGTTGAAGACAGCTGTTACTGATCCCGCCAACTGAAGTAAATTGAGGAGATTAATTTTGATGATAAGGACAACGAAAAGGGCAATCTCATCAGAGTGGCAACCGAATTAAATAAAACAATCCACTTTGAAATTCAATCTACCAGTTAAACATATTTTGGAATTATTTTTCACAAAGGGAGACGATCTTCAGAAATGCAGGGATACTGACATTGAAATCTAACAACTGACATTTTCAGCTATATTTAATGATAATATCATCTTAAATATACTCCATGGATCAGTTTTTTGCTTTTTTATGAAAATTCAGAACTCAGAACCAAGCAACTTGAAATTATTTCACTAATTCAAATTAGTGGTTTGTACAACAAACTGATACTTGCAAGATCAAAATAGAGGATAAAGACATCAGAACAAAAACTTTTTCAAAAATTCAATCATGTACAGGAAAAAAAAAGATATACATACCGGAAATAACAATGGCTTCATCTTGAAAGTTTTCATCAAGGCATTCACTTCAACAGATGGAACCTGAGGTACCAGTGTCAAAACAACTCAGAGAGAACATTAACCAAATCTAACTTTCCAAATATCATTAGGTTCTGACAAAAAGAAAAGCCTGGCGGAGGTGAGGTTTGAGTAATTTTTCAAACTTGAGGGGTCAACTATCTAACTAAGACAGAGGGTAGTGTATAAATTACTTAAAGGGGTTTAGTTGTAACTAGATAATTTAGAGAGAGGGTGGTGCAATTTACACCCTAAAACAAATATTTTAATGAGGGTAAAAATATAATTTATTTAGCTTGGGTTGAATTTTTGAACCTTAATCAAACTTTATAGGAAGTTGAGGTAAGGATTCTAGCTGTAATAACACCTGCCCGCAGGAGAGGTAGTGAGGTAGGTACAATTTATTCTTTAAAGAAACAGCACGACAAATGGGAGAATCGTATAAAAATCCAATCGGTAAAATGCACATGATAACACTTGGTCGAAGGGAAATCCACTGGATGGATGACATTGCTAGTGGTAGCAAAAATATTCATATACCTGACACATCAGGTGATATTCTCCTTCCTCTGGATCAACGCCAAAATCTCCAGATGCTTCTAAAGGAATGTCACCATACCAGCCCCTGGCGTTGTGCAACGATATTCGTTGGGCACGGAAAAACAAACTTGCGGATATATCCTGTATGAAAAGGTGACCTATAACCCATTAAAGTACTTTAAATAACAGAATATAAGTAGGAAAAATATACGCCAATTATATGAAATGATACTATTAAGAATCCTCTTATGGCGTTTCTGGATGGAATAGACTCATCAAATTATCCTAACAACATGCACAAAGTCACTATGATTCCTGATCATTTGATCTAGTTTACAGAAATTCTCCAGTCATGAAAGTATAATTGACCATTCAATCAAAAATGCAAAATCACTTCGTCTTGTTATACTTATATCCAATGATGTTATGTAAGAAATTAAAGAAAGTTGATGCAAGAAGAGACGTAATAAAAGGCTGCACAATGACATACAGAAAACCACGACGGAGCGTCATATATGTGAAAGGCCAGCCCCGTTACATCTAGCTGCCCATGAAGATTAGGAAAAGTTTCACCTTTTGACATGCATATGTGAACCTGTTAAAGAAAAGTTAAATGTCAGATAGAATTCAGCGAATGTGATAGATAATATAAAGTCATAGTAATTGTGAAGGTAGAGAAGCACCTCACCACTAGCTCTTCCTTTAGACCATGTAATCGGAAGGTCTAAAATCCTCTCAAAAAGCTACACAAGAAAGACAGAATCATAGCTTAACCAAACTTAAGTGGCGGGAAGCACTATAACCTATTAGTAATTAAAGAAAATATTATGCATTCTTGGTGTACTTTACCGGCACAAAGAGATTTGCCATTTTCAAATTTGCATGCCATTTCTGCTCAGCGATATCAACGTAAACATCGGTGGACAACCACCCACCATCTTCAGATATCAAATCTGATCTCCACATCTTACAATTTCCAGTAAGTTGCACATGCACGCGTCCATAGTGCTTTTGAAACTTCACATGTCCACTAGCAACTTCCATTTCTCTACAAAAGGAACAACAATTACAATCAAATATCTGGAATACGACATCCCCATCTGTAAGAAATTCCAAATAAGATACTCATATAAATGAATAGTCCACATTCCAACACCACGAACATACTTCTATATAAAACAGCTTCTTGAAGTTCCTTTTCTGAAAACAGTTTTGCAATTATTGAAGTACGACACTATTTAAGAAATAAACTTTAACTTTTTTCAAAGTTGTCACAGATAAAATTGTTTCGCACTAGTAAAACCAAGCAGCATAGGTTCCAGAAACATCAAATGTATTCTTAAATCGACACAAAATGAACTTACAAGGATACAGCATGTGAAAAGCGCGGGGGAGCACTAGGGATTGCTCCTTAAGCAGTTAGAATTAGAAAAGAAAGAGAGCTTAAACATGGACTTATTAGGAGAACAAGTAAAACTACCTCGGTTCTGTATCACCATAAGCAAGCAACATCAGTGTACCATCTTTAAAATGTACAGAGTCAAGAACCACAGGAATCATTTTATCTATGCCTGAAGTATTTTCTTCACTAATCTCGTCACCTAGTTCTGTCGATATGTCCTCAACACTCGCACCAATCTCAGATTTCAGCCTTTTCAAAGGATTGACAAGTAAAGAAGACCATGCCTCACCAAAGTTTTTAAAGGCAGACGAAAAACTTGATTGCGAGCTCAAGGGCCAAAAACTTTCCAAATGGACAGGACGAGAACTACCAGAGGCATTGGCCCCTTGATTGTCCAAAGTATCATCCTGTCCATTCTTCACTTCCTCAACTAACCCAAGAGCTTCTTTTCTGACGTCTGCATTAGTGATATCATCCCTTTCCAGATGTTTACTACTTGTAGGACAATCGACAACGCCGCTGGCTGATGAAAACTTATCAGTGGAGTTTGTGGATTCACGAATTCTAGCCAAAGTAAAAAGAAAAGGATCACGTAAGATATTCATCTGATCCGTAAACTGCGTTTCTGAATTTCCTCTAGAAACAGAGTCAGTCTTCAATTTGTTCTGCATCCCCGTGATCAACTTGTTCGTCGATACATCCCCAGCAACTTCAATGTTTTTATTGTCAACACTGTAGTCAACCTTCACATTCTGATACTCAACTCTCACATCTCCTCCAGTGTTGGTCACTGTAGAAATCGAAGCAGCTGCCTCGTCCTTATTCATTGGAGAAAACTCAAATTTCGGATCATCAAACCCTGCAGATCCCTTGGTAGAGCTCCCAGGCTTCCCCAGTGATTGTCCTTGGAAGTATAAACGAGCTGCAGATGCACTGCGCTCAAGAAGTCTTCTTTTGTAAGCAATACGTGCCATAGATAAATCTCTTCCATTGGCCTTCCTCTTGAACTTATGTTTCATGTACCCTGGCATAATTTTGGACCAGATGCTAGTTTCTGGGGTTGACATTTTTGCACCAAACGACCTCTCTAAATCAGCATGCTTCAAATCATACTCCGCACCAGCATCCATACAATGATGATCTCTCCAGTGAAATTTCTCGTCCATATAACGGAATGGATCAGGGTTCCCCAACCTTGAGGGAAGACTCGTACTCTCCTTTGAAAGATCATCCTCAGGCAGAACACAATCGCACTCTGTAAAAATATAACCCTTTTCAGCAGCTAATCTAGCTGCATCGACTCTTTCCCTCTCCCAGCGCATGGAAGCTTCCTCTCTTGCAATCCTCCTATTTTTTGTGCGATAATCAATACCTTCTTCAGTGGACAGGTGCCTCTGGGGAATGCCTTCTGAATAGGGTATTCCCAACCAAGAGAAGTTCTTCTTCTGTGCAACCAATAAACTTGGATTGGACAAAACAGCATCTATCACAATTTTCCCCCTTCTCAGGCTAGCAAAAGGACGAATACGAAGCTTCACACTGGGAATCTCGCCGCAAGAGAACTCTTCACTATGAGGCCCAATTGAGCATGACTCCAAAGTAATGCTTAAAGGTGAGATTCTTCGAACCTTACCAAAATCAAGTTCTCGCTGAATATGATCACTTAGTAGGGTACAAACAGAAGGCAACAGATTGGCTTCAACATAAAGTTTTGCTTTAGACTGTGCATACCAAACCAATAAACACACCCCAGATACAACAGTGCACAAGACAGAGCATCTGAACAGAAATAACCCCTCTTCCCATACAGGAGTCATAAACTTGACTAAAGTCTTGCTTCGAACAATGGGCTCTTTGACAGAATTAATCATCCAACCACTCCGCAATTCCAGCGTCTTCCATAAAAACTCAGCATTTTTCCCACAGGAGTGCATAAATTTGTTCCCGCGAAAGATCCATTCATGTTTTTTTGCGCATTTACACAATAGGAAATTCGAACCCTTTTTTAAGGGTTTTGATTTAATTCCCCTCGAAAAAGTATAATCAGCTTTGTTTCTTCTTTCAAAAACAGTGCCCTTAAGTGGAACCCCAAAAAATGGCTTGTGAATGTCAATACTCATTATCTCAAAATAGTGAACTTAACTTCTTTCACAGCTCATTTGCAGGGGACCAAGAGCAAGCCCTCAGCCCTTAGTCCCCTCACGGACCCAATTTTAGATTGTAACTCAAAGGCAGTACAACAGCAGCGCAGAACCTGAAAATTATATGAAAATAACCCATGTAAGAATTTTTCAATTCAAAATTTTCCAAAATTTCCAAAACACCCATTTTCAACCAATTATTTATACATTAAGTATATTTTTATCATTAAATAAGTTCTCACAGACAGAATTACACAGACAAGCACAACCCAACCTATAAGGTCTACTCTGGGGATAAGGATAAGACTCGATAGACAATATAATCAAGGTGTATCACATGTTTGGGATTTAGTTTTGAAACCCGTCACCAAAAATGGACCCAGAATTTAATCAAGCATGTGAATGGCATAGTCCAACCTCAACCCCTATTATTACACAATCCTATGAAGGATATTACCCACTACAAGCATCGTAAATAATTATAAATCCTAGACGTAAGATAATCACATATTATATTATTACGGACAACGTAATGCTATCCAATTCAATTAATCTCATCAGTCCCATCAATATTCCCAAACGACGCCTAATTGAATTACACAGGATTAATCTCGTAGTCTTTCCGCACACTTATAGCAAAACAAATGAAAGAAAGAAAGAAAGAAAAATAAAGCTAGAGCAAAACTAAACCGAAAAAAATAAGAAAAATGCAGCTTCAACTTTATCTCCCTACTCTCTACTTACATGATATCACAAACACAAGCAAATTAGCCATGGGAATTCTACTCGAAATCCAAAAACCTTACAAATATTTCAAAAATAAGCAAGCCTCCGAAAACATTTTTAAACCCAGTCATCCTGCAGCCTTACTATACATACAGTATATACTATAATCCACAGTCCACAATAAACAAAAAACACGGAATCTATAAAACCTAGAAAAAGGGAAACAGAAAAATGATATTATACATATATACTACTATCACACAGTAAGCACAAGCATATTCCCTTCATTCTTCTCTTAATTTCTGAATCTATACGATTAATTAAGTAGACTAACCAGTACGCGTGAACGGGGTCAGCATTTAACGAGAATACGACGACGCAATTGCAATATAAATATATAATTCTTTGTGGCAAGGTTTTGTTTTCGTCTGTTCCTAATGTATGTGTTTGTCTGTGTGTGTGCGTGCGTGTGTGTGTGTGTGAGAGAGAGAGAGAGAGAGAGAGAGAGAGAGAGAGAGCAGAGAGAGACGGTTGCTTTTAATTGAGAAATTCCTCTTCTAGGTGGAAATGACGACTTGTACCCTCGTGATCCAGTAAACACCAATGGAGAAGAAGGTCGACGAATCATTCATAAGAAAATAAAATTAAATTAAATTCATGAAATGGAGAACATAAGCAAAATAATAGGGCGACAAGTTACGAAAAAACCCTCATGTCTGCATAATTACAATTTACAACCTCATGTCTACGTAATTACAATTTACGACCACCCTTGAACTATATACTATTTTACACATCCATCTTTATAGTGTAAAATTTACGTACTAAATGAGGCAGGTTTCGCAAGAAAATGCATAATTGAGAGGTGGTCGTAATTATCTAAATAGAAAGGGTATTTCCGTAATTTGCCCTTACCTTGGGAATTTGCCGTAATTTGCCCAAAATAATAACAAAATGAAACTCAATGTCATAAAGGTTATTACAATTTAAAAATGACCTAGAGTAAGAATACAGGGATATTGGAAAAAAACTATTTTTAGATGTTTCAGAATTATTATTATTATTATTATTATTATTATTATTATTAAATTCAAAATAAGAGAACAAAACAAGTATATTACATACAATACAACTACTTAAACGTAAGCATGCAGAAATTGTAATCTTCAACAGTAAAGAAACCTCCATCAAGATTCAAAAAAGGGGAGAGAGAGAGAGAGATAGATACAGAGCAACAAAGTAATGATGATATATGTTACAATCTGATTCTAATAAGTTAACAAGTACCAAAATGCAACATTATATTTAAAAGTTCATCTATCAAAAAAACTAAAAATGAAGAAGATCAAAAGATTTATTCTCGTCGACCAATAAGAAACAACCATCTCCATCATCCATCAAATTCACCTCTCTCTCTTTACCGCATCGGCTGCTGGTTATAATGGTTCTTCTCTTTCTTTTTAGCGGCAGCAAGTCTAGCACTTCTTGCAGCAGCCTCCACAGCGGCAGCTCTAGCTGCAGCATCCATCTCTTTGGTCGATTTCTTCTTCTTGGAAGAAGCCATCTTCTTCAACCGCTCCTTCACATCAACTGCAGAAGCATCTTCTTCCGTCTTCTCAGATTCCTCTTGTTCGTTAGGAACAACAACATCTGAACTGTTGGGCTGGTCTTGAAGCTCCTTCGCCTCTTTGGAAGCCTTCTTTTTCTTCTTCTTTGCGCTTTTAGATTCTGCATGGGCGCTTTCTTTCTTCTCTGCATCACCATTCGGTTGCACCTCTTTCCCGTTTTTATTGACGTCTGCAAGTGCATAATAATCATAATAGTCATAACGTGGCATTATTTTCAAAATAGAGTTATATAAATACAATATACCGAGACTCTCCAAAAGTGGTGTTTGGTGGGAGGTTGGGAATACCTTTCGGTGTGTGTGTTGTAAGGCCATAATATAAGGCCAATTTTAAAAACTATATATATACAATATCAGCATAAGAGCCACACGAGAAAAAAAAAAAAAACAAAAAAAAACTATATATATACAATATCAAGAAAAAAAAACTGGTATTTCATACCAAATATCAAATAGATTTTTATCTAAAATATGTACATGATTGAATGACCAAGTTCAAGAAGCAGAGAGGAAAGACAATTACCCGATGGCTCGTCTTCAGCTTTCCCTTTTGGGTTAACTCCAAAATCGGCTAAAATTGCCTCGAGTTCAGCAAGCTCTTTTTTCCTTCTCTCCTTCTTGGAGAGCTGTCTTTCAGTTTCTTTAGGTGCTGGGGACGCTTCTACAGGTTTTTCGACAATTGGTTCGGTCTCCTTTTGGTGCTCTGTTTCATGATCAAGCTCCTCTTCAACATCGTCGTCACCTTCATCGAGAAGCTCATCGTCACTTTCACTTTCCTGCAAAATTTAGATGGACAACCACAAACAATCACAAATACAATTAAACACATTTAATACAACATCATAATTCATGTTTGGAAAATATCAATTAAATGAACCGTTGTGACGAAATTTATTCCAGTGAAGTGATCTTAATACCAGATAGCACTTGATGATGGAAGCAATTACAGAAAACAATTCACGTAATGAGGATATCAGAAACCACACATCGAAAAAAACTGGTTACAACTCGAGAGATTAAGAGAAGAGGGTGATGACAGCCGGAATTTTGATATAATCACGTGTCTGTGATTTCTTCGCTAATATATTACACATGGTAGATACAACACACATAATGTGAGTGGCGAGGTGGGTGGGTTAGCGAAATCAGAAAGACGCAAACAACATAAAGACACAGAGATCTAGTCGTAAGTGGGAACACTAGCTATTGCTGAGTAAAGAGAGTAATCCGGTTCTGCATATGGAAGAGTGAACTCCTTGTGGAAAACATATATGTTATTATACTCCAAAAATCATTTGTTTTTAGATCATGCAGAAACTTATGCATTGATTGTTTGTTTTTTTCCCATGCGCGTGAAATGGAAATTTTTACTTCACAAATGGGGGGCATATAGAGTCTGGGCATGTTGGGAAAAGCATTTCGTAATATGAAATAATCCCATTACTTTCTTTTACTTAAGGATGCACAACAAAAATGTTCCGGAAAGTGCATAAAAATAAAGGTGACATCAATATATATAGCAAAATAAATGAATGGCAGATGAGAGAGACAGCATAACACAGTACAACGCCTCAAACTTTTGCAACATGATGCAATATTCTTATAGCAGAAAACAAGTATGTTTTAAGAAACTACGAGTGAATGCTTGGAGTTGGAGGCCAATATACTGAACAAATATACTACACCTTCTAACTTTACCAATTTAGTAAAGCCAATGAAACATTTGGCATTTAATTGGGCACAATGCTGTAGCTCGTGTAATGAAAAAATGCTAGAAAGAGAACAGAAAGACGTTTTAATTTGATAAGACAACAGTAAAATTTCCTTTTTAACAAGAAAAAAAACAAGAAATGGAAACATATTTTTTTTACTAAAACAACCATTGTATTGAAGTCAGCGTATAATTCATCCCAATTCGGCAAAAGCACAAATAGTTGAGTCATGTTTGTCGTGCAAATCACCAACTTCCATAACAAGAACTTAATGACGCGCTACAGTTCAAAAGAAAAGGCAACTTTAAAAATCAGAAAAGCAAAATGCAGCCAATTGGTTAGGTTAAGTCACTTTTTTGTATCACATACATGATAAGTGACACTTTAACCTCAGTCGCCTTCCAATAGAGGTCTTCTACTTGTAAATAGGACATATTTCGAACAACTTCAGAAACAAAAATTACTTGTAAAGTTTAATATAACTATAAAACGACAATTGTGTTTCTTTTTTCTTCTTTCGACAGTTCGCTAACACATGGATTCACATCAAACAAAAGCAAATTTTACGTATAGACGGAACAAATACAAAATGAAGTACAAAACGACAAATGCAGCACAACAAGCATACAAAAGCTCTCAAAAAGCTCAAAAACGATCAAATCTAAAGCCGTTATAAACCATCAAAATCAACAATCAAGACTTGTTAAAACACATGCATAATTCCAAAGTGCGAAACCCTTTATTTAATGGAAAAATCGGAATCAAGAAATAAGGAAGCAAATACCACTACTAGCAAATAGCAATCAAAATATTCATTTAATCCAAATAAAACACGTAATGTACCATAATTTATGTTAGTTACCTCCAGAAGATCAGGTTTCGGTGTCTCTTCAGGTTTATTCAAACCAGAACCAGCCCACATCGCCTGAGGAGGAGCAGTGGTGGCATAGTAAAGATCATCATCCTCATCATCCACATCAGCCCACGACTTCACTGTCAACGGCGCAGGAGCCCAGTACACCTGCTTCTCTTCTTCGGCCTCCTTTGATTTCCCAGCAGCACCGCCTTTGGACGAGCTCTTAATCCCCTTCGACGAACCCTTATCCTTTTTCTTCTTCCTCAAACTCTCTAGAGCTGCAAAAACGTTGGTGCTGCTCACGGTATACGATCCTTCGTCCCTCCTATTCCCACCTCCAACCATTTTCTATTGTCCTTAAAATCAAAAAAACCCTAGAGAAGCACAGGGGCAAGATTGGAAATCTCGAACACAAAAATGACAATTCCGGATAATTTCCGAGACTCGATTACCGGTGAATCAAATATCAGAGAATGTTCAGAGCAACAAATAACAACAGCAAAAAATACAGGAAAATGGTATTTCGAATGAGATCGAAAGCAGAATTTGCAAATTCAGATTTTATCAGAAAAAATTATCGACAAAACCTATGTGAACAAAAATGCATGAATGACCAATTTTCCTGATTAAATCTTCCTTCCTAAATCCGGAGCGCTCGACGAATATGAAAATGCCACTCGAGAAATCCAGGGATAAAAGAGAATTAGGGTTTCAAATAAGAAATGAAGAGAGGCGGAATGCCCTAGGGTTTGGATGTGCGGAAAAGCGGTTTCGGATTGTGCTTATATAAATGTCTCTATATTACATACACTGTAGAGAGAGAAAGAGAGGAGAAGGAGAGAGAGAGAGAGAGAGAGAGAGAGAGAGAGAGAGTCTGGGCGCTGAGGTGTGGTGCAGATAACGTGAGAGATGAAGCAAAGGGTTATATACTTTGTCGTTTGTTCACAACTGGTAGTCCTTTTACTTTTAGATTATTTACAGATTTGGGAACCAAAGTTATTTTTCATTGTCCGAATATTATAAAAAGAAATTCCTTTTTATTTCATGGGTAATTATTTACAGATTTGGGAACCAAAGTTATTTTTCATTGTCCGAATATTATAAAAAGAAATTCCTTTTTATTTCATGGGTAAATTACGGCCGATCTTCATATTTGGGTGATTACACTCACCCTCAACTATGAATATTTTTCTTCATATTTGGGTAATTACACTCACCCTCAACTATGAATATTTTTACACGTTCACTCTTACGATGTCAAATTTAGTACGTTCACCCATTCAATGTCAAATTTAATACAATCTAGAAGATTATGTGAAATATTCTCCAGTTTAAACCCGTTTTTCCCAAATTAGATTCCATTTTGCAATTTGGAATAAACTCGTGGCTCAATCCTCTAATGATTAAAGTTTCCCTTCAATAGAAATCACTCTTAACATATGATACAATATACAGAAGCTCATAAACGGCGATAGATGCCATTGAGTTTTTTCTCTTGAAAGCCATCTTATTAAAAACGAAAATACGAACAGAACACAGTATAAAATCGTGTTTGTGATATACAAGAGATAATATACTACAAAATGTTTGTCGAAAAAACTACAACAGTCTTTCATTTGTAAAATACACAATAGTTTTTGCTTCCAGTATGATTACGCGTCAAGTCTCCGTCTAGGCGACGAAGAAAAGGAATATTGTAAGAAAGAAAATCAATACAAAGAATATCTTGATCATCAGCCACCGATTTGATGAGATGCTATTGAGGTACTTGAGCAGTGCCCCTTGAGCTCCCTCTACATTCGACAGTGTGTCCTCCATATTCTCGTCAATCCTGTTTTTACACATATTTTATCAATGATTAAAATCAATGAGAGAAGAATGAATCGAACATTTTTAGAAGTCAGGCGTCTATGCATAAGAAACGTTATATTCCGTTATAGTCTACAATGGATAGAATAAAATTACTTTTGATGAAAGAATATAAAAAAGTACTAACTTGCTTTGTTCGCATATCAGAACTTATTTTGATGTAAATCAAGTGAAATATAAGAGTAGAACGAAACACTAAATCATTTACCGGATTTCATAGTCAAAATGCATATAAGGTGTTTGAAAGTGGAAACGAGCTTGATTACAAAAAGAAGCAAAGTAAACATTTACACCACTTCAAGAAGAGATATCGACAAATAATTTCAACAGATTGTAAGAAAATTAACGGTAACACAAGAAAACCCCGTTTGTTTCGATGTCAACAAGTTCATAAGAGTAGTAAGACCGTCATGCTTTTAGTTTGATTGCCAAATTGGAGTGTGTAATGAGTAAAAGCAATTGCAAACCTGATAGCAATCTCTCCTTGCTGAGAAACCAAGGTAGCAAGCTGATTGAAGATAGTGCCCAGCTCGTGAATTGTCGACTCCACGTTTTGAAGAGCTTCAGCTCTACTCTGCATGTAGCTGTCCTGAAGTGGAACCAATTGCTGTTGCTGTTGGCTTTGTTGCTGCTGCAGCAAAGGCTGGGATTCCCCTTCCACCTGATTCCTGTTCAAGAGTTGCAGAAAATAATCTTTATTGGCAAAATGATTTATTTATATCTGACAAAATTCAATTCAATTCTAGTTGTTTCACTCGGTAGATTTCCTACAGATACTTGACCATAACACAGTCAGGTCCTTTCCGAAACTGTTTAACTGGTCGACTCGTTGAACAGCACAATATGAACATCAGACCAAAATTGTTGGTAAAAGCAGGAAAATAAAAAGGGTCAAACATTCCCTCAAAATAAAAGTGTCTGGAGATAAAAAATTAAATCGAACATTCATATGTGCGCTTACTTGGGGAATAATTGGGATGAAGACTGTTGCCCTTTAGCCCATGGAAGAGGAGCAGGAGCTGAATTACTGGCAGGAGGCTTTGCTGCCAAAGGACGCTGGCGAACGAAGGGATTTGAAGGATTCTGAGAAGCAGAAGAAGAAAATAACTGTCTTCTATTTTCGTGAACCTTCAAGTTCTGTTGAAAAACACCAGAAAATGCAGGTTGTGTTAGTGACTAACAGAGGAAAATAGAAGTTAATACACTAGGCAGCAATTTCTAGGTTCACCTCTGTACGCATGGTCAAAACCTCCTTAAAATCCTTCGTGGCGCTCATCAAACGATTCTTTAAATCATCAACAACTGTAGTAGAATGCGAGCTGGTGTCACTGGATATATTTTCACTTCGCGAATTGAAAGAAACTGGAGATCGACTACAGCTGAGTTAAGGGCCGTTATATCTTGCTTGATCACTGCAGTGAGTTCCTGGATTTCCATGGTAGGGTCGTCAAACACCGATGTCCTCTTTGCCACTGCAACAGAAAGCGCATTACATTATCTATTTGATCATGCTACTCTATAATGCTAAAAGATGAACAAACGCAATATTCGAGAAAGAACAAAATTGCCACTAATTTGACAATGCAAAACAGATTAACCCTATAGCCCAAAGGCTTACTTCGATCTTTCATCGTTGTCCATCAACAAATGAATATCCTCCAGCAGAATACAGACGAAATCTACTAAATTTTATTCAAACACCAACAAATATTCCGAACAATATTGTCATAGTTACACCAAATGAATATCCTTGGTCAATCAACAAATAACAACTCCACCCATAAGAAATTCTCACAGATATCCAGAAAGAATAAACGGTAAACAGCACATTACTCAAAAGACTCAATCCAACCAAAATAACTGGCTAAGCTTCTCCAACATCAAGTCAATACGAAATCCGATTTAAGATCGCCGCTATGAAATTCCAACAAAAATTTAATTGCAAAAAGAAAAAAACAATGTCTGACATATAATTCTGATAAACACAATAATTAACAAAACCAGCACATTACCCAAAATTATAGCCAAACAAACCGCAATAATTAATCAAATATACGATTACTCACGTTTTGCCAGCTTAGATAGCTTCTGCGACGTCTGATGAATCCCGAATCCAATTTTCGACGCCCTCCGATTGAACTCCGACTGCATCGCCACCGCCGACCGCGGAGGCTCCTCCCTCTTCGATCCGCTGCTGCTCGGCCCATTCTGCAAGGAAATTGACTTTTTTGCCCTCTCTGCTATCCCTAAAAACTCCTGCGTCCGATCCCTTGTCGAAGCATTCCCACTCTTCACCGACATTTTATCAGATCAAACAACCTAATAACATAAAAGCTCAACTGAATAACTGCGAACCCAGGATCCGTTCGGAGAATTAGAGATCGGAGAACAGGAAATTTCAGAATATTTTGCTTGATCTTTAAACCCTGAATCAACGAAATGAAACGAGAATTGCGCAACCCTAGATCTGCGAAAAACAGTGATAAAATTCAATGGAGAAAGATTATGCTGGAATTTTAGATGTAGGAACCATTTTTTATTTTATTTTTTTCTTTTACCGCATACCGTTTTATCTCTCTACTATTTATTTTGCAATTGGGGGATATTTATACTATTAGTCCTTCTATTATACAAATTATTACATTATCATCCTTATATATTTTTTTCTGCAATATTAATCACTAAACATGCTGTTTTTCTTTATAAAAAAAATAAATATTTTTAATTAATTAGTAACAATATATTAGTTTGAAAATGTTTTTTTAAGAATTTAAAAATTATATATTTTTCCATTTTTCTTTAAATAAAACAATAGGACTCAAATGTATATTTGAATATTACTTGTATTGCACATGGTTTCATTATCTACTCACAATAGAACTTATGCAAAATAAATATTTCAAAATTTATGCAAATAAGTATTATAGATTTAAATAGGCTTAACAATAATGTAACCATTATAAATAACCTTTTTCTATTTTTAAATCGTGTATCTAGTAATAGCAATAACATATAGATATTTTTAAAAAATAAACTTTGTTTATCATTATTTAGGTGGGATTAAGTTAGTGAGATAAATTAAAATCGATGAACATACAATTAATATTAGTCTTTGTATTTCAATAAAGATATGGTTGGCTAAATATTAGTCTTTGTATTTCAATAAAGATATGGTTGGCTGCGGGTTCCTCCGTAACAAAAATAAAAAAATAAAAAAATTTGTATTAGTATTAATATTAGAGGTGACAACTACAATTATACTTCATAATTTTTTTCGAGATTTAAGATTAGAAGTGGACTGAACATTTAATTTTTGTATAATATATGTTACTTCGATGAGTTTTTTTTTACCAAGGTAATTTAGTATAAATTACATTCACATGCAATGATGCATTATATTTTCAGTATCAAAATTTTCATATTTAATATTTTTATCAATTAATTTACTTTATTCCGTACTTAAACCAAACGAAATAATTTTATTTTATTTTATTATGTCATATTACCTATATAAAAAAATGAAAGTTTTTAGTAAATTATTTTATCCAAAACATATATTTTATTTTTAAATCATATTGATGAACTCACGAGTGAAATACTAGTTAATTAATATAAATGATTTATAATCTATATAAAAACAATAAAATTAATTATTACATAAAAAAATAATTAATGTTTGGGCCGTTTAATTTAGGAATCTGTTTGGGCCATTTATTCGGCCTTTAAAATAAAACAACTAATTGGGCTCTCCCTCTCACAAAACCATCCCTATATTAGTGCCTTCTCACTTCATTTCTAGGGTTTCCTAACTGATTATCCCACAAACTATCCCGCCGCCGCGCCTCCATCTCCGACCACCGTATCGCCATGGTTTGTTCCGCTCATTCAACCTGCAATCATTCAAATTCCTCCGCAAATGTTTCCACGCAATGAAAACTCGTATCCGTATTTTTTGTTTTTGCTGACAATGAACTTTATTTTGAAATCCAGGCTGCAGAGAAGAAGTTATCGAACCCCATGAGGGAGATCAAGGTTCAGAAGCTCGTTCTGAACATCTCCGTCGGAGAAAGTGGTGATCGTCTCACCAGAGCTGCTAAGGTACCATAAATCGTACTGCTGTACTTAGATCCCACTGAGTCAGATTTCTCACGAGTTTGAAGTTTTTTAGTATTAATCAGTGTTTTGTAATTTTGTTTTTTTGTTTCAGGTGTTGGAACAACTCAGTGGACAATCCCCTGTTTTCTCGAAGGGTAATTCTAAAATGTTTTTAACTATCGTATTGATTGTGGCCCTATTTATTGGATAGTTTACATTTCAGTAGATACACGAGCATGTATATATATGTTGGTTTAGCAGTCTTAAAGAATGGGGAAAAAGGTGGTTTAGTAATACTGTGCTGTTACACTATATTTGCAGCGATTCAAGAAGTGCTTTAACTATTTTTTTTTAGTCTTAGATGTTGTGATTTATCGGCTTCTTGGTGTAACGTTTAGATTGACAATAGACAATAAATACCCGTAGCTTGCCGAGAAAGAAGTGACCACTTGAAAGTTATTCCATTATGTCAAAAGTTATTTCGTGATGGAAAATGTGTTGTTTTGCTGGGTAAAACATGAACTGTGTGGCTGTTGACTAGTGACTAAATTTCAGACATGAAGTGTATCTTTATTATTTCGGATCCATGTTGTATATAATAAATATCTAGAATTTTGGATGATCATAGAAGTAAGTAATTTACCCTACTTGAAAAGAATAGTTCCATTGAACTGTATCTTTCATTTATTTGTTCTTTTCATTGAAGTTTTGATGTAAAATATAAATGTAGATGTTAAGTGATATGCTTCTTTCTCATGGTTACAGCAAGATACACTGTACGATCTTTTGGTATCAGGCGTAATGAAAAAATTGCTTGCTACGTCACGGTCAGAGGTGACAAGGCAATGCAACTCCTCGAGAGTGGCTTGAAGGTCAAGGAGTACGAACTGTTGAGAAGGAATTTCAGTGACACAGGCTGCTTTGGTTTCGGTATTCAGGAGCACATTGATCTTGGAATTAAGTAAGCATTCTTTTGCAATGAAATGATGCAACAGTTTATTCTTCAAAATTTCGGTTTTGTACGGTATTTTCTGCACTTTTTTGAAGTAACTCTTGCGTATCTTTCGACTTGGTACAGCCTGTCAACTTGCATAAGTTATTAATTGGACGGTCTTGGGTGAAAATTGAAATTTCGGAGTCATCATTAAAATATTAATTTCGTTTTATTTTATTTGTTTGGTCACACTGCTCACACTTTATGGTTTTTGCTTCTTTTTACATTATTTTCTGCAAGAATTCATTCACCGGACTTGGGTGAACATTGAAATTTCTGACTCGTAAATTATATATCATTTTTGCAGGTATGACCCATCGACCGGTATTTACGGTATGGATTTCTACGTTGTGTTGGAGCGACCCGGTTACCGTGTGGGTCGTCGTCGTAGGTGCAAGTCTCGTGTTGGAATCCAGCACAGGGTAACCAAGGATGATGCGATGAAGTGGTTCCAGGTGAAATACGAAGGTGTTATCCTCAACAAGGCCACCAACATTGGAACTTAGGTTCAAATCTTACCTTTATGAACTATTATGTGGTTTTGTTCGTTTATTGTCTCTTTTTTACCCAGAGTTTTTGTAGAATTTTCGAACCTTAGACAAGTCTGTTTGCTTCCATATTTTATAATTTTAATGAGACGAATTTTGTTGTGTTTTTTGATGTTATTGGTGCTAGTAGTCACTTTAAATGGTGTGTGCCATTTTCTTAGTACCATTATTTTATGATCAGAAATTGTTTTACCATGATTAGGGTTTAGATTTCAAATTAATGATTGCAAACTGTTTGAATTTATGGATAGTTAGTCAAAATTCAATATTAATTACTATAAAATTCTTATTTTTATCTTTTCAATTTATAAAAAGGTTAAAATGACACTTTTCCCTCTCAAGTTTATCTCAATTTCACATTTGGTCATCATGTAAGCGGAACAAAGATTTAGTCTTTTTAATATTTTAATTTTTGTCCTTTCATTTAATAGTACTTAATTGAATAAGGAATGTGTCCAAATATCTTAATTGACGAACCAATGGTCAATTGCTGAAAGACGAAAGTGATAAAAAATGTCAAATTGTTGAAACAGGAAGGATTGAATGTGTTTATTGTGAACAAAGGGGACCAAATCTAAAATTGGTGCAAACTTAAGGGATGAAAATCGAAGTTTCTATAAAAATTGAATTACAATGGGTCCCCATATATTATTATATGAGTGTAGATTTATCCCGTACACCTATATGGTTCGTTGCGAATTCTTTATTAAGAAAAAATGATTGTAAAATTACTTATACAGCCTCAAGTCAATCAATCTTAATTATATTTAGAGGGGTGAAATTAACAAGAAAAATATCTACCTAATGTTTCAAATATTTTGTTATTTCCAAATCTTTTTCCTCGTACTTTCGACTTTATTACGTCACCGCATCCGCAAAGCACCGCCATACACACTATACGACGACGTCTTCCATCTTTGAAAAAGCCAAATGGCTCAAATCCAACCAACATACACACGTCAGCGCTACAAAGCGAGTAGCTATGCATTTCCTACTCAAGGCGCTTGGTCCTACTTCTCCAAATTTGCCAAAATTCCCCAATTTAAAACATCGATGGCAAATCCCGTAATTAACCCCTTATTTTAGGGTCAATCAGCATTGCTATAAAAGTTAATTTCATTTACACCTTTTTTTTCGAACCGCATAAGCATTTCTCTGAGATTAAACATCGAACAATTTTAGAACAAAGCCCCCAAATCTGGTCGTCCACGTGTAATCTGGCAAATATCAGTCGTTGATGTAAACACAAGTACATTTTCACTTTCTTTGGGCTTAGAGCAACTCCAATGCTAAACATCAAAATTGGATTATCAAATACTCATTTGATAATTAAAATAATATTTTAATATATATTTACAATTTATCTACTCCAACCATGGTTATCTAAATCAATAATCAATTTGAAGTTTTTTAGTAGTTTTATTTGTAATTGCCACGTGTCATTTTGTGATTGGATGTTTAGGTAGTTATTTTTTTGATAACTCAATTTCTGGGATGCATTTTTACATTCAAAGAGGTAGAATATCAAAATACTTACCCACTTTGATACTTCCATTGGAGTCGAAAATTTTAATTTTGGAATATCAAAAAGGTGGTTTATGGATTTGATAATCCATTTGATACTTCCATTGGAGTTGCTCTTACAACCACCAACCCCCAAATCTCCGCCGTCGATGACAAATCGTAGGGCTGATATTTGGCCAAGTGGGATAAAGTTATTACCTTGAACTCCCAAGTTTAGCGTGAAATTACTGAAATAACCTTTTACCCATTCATTTTGGTATCGGAAGAAAAACAAACCCTAGCATTTCTCTCTCTCTCTCTAGATAAACAAAAGGAAAAGAAAAATACATATATTGTAAAAGGTTTTGGGAAAAAATTAAAATAAATAAAAGATAGTGAATCAAATTAGGGCTTCAAATCGAAGCTGATCTTCTCTCATCCCCTTTTTCTCCAATTTTTTTTCTTCTCAAATTAGACGCTTATGATGCTCGATCTCCACTTTCTTCAATGACGTGGTCACCGCAACTCTGATTTCAGGTATAATTTATGCGTTTATAAATCCGTGATGCAGACTTGCATGTGCAGTTTATGTGCGTGTTTCGTGTGTTTTCGTGTTTTTTGTTGATTATTATTATTGTTTAATCGGCTTTGTTTTGAAAAATGAGTTGCTTTTGGCAAAAATGATAATAATTTGGTGATTTTTTTCATGGTTTTTTTTGGGTGTGGACTTATTGGCAGATCTGAATGGCACATGAAAGCAAGGGTCGCTGTGTTTGGTTGATCGGATTGAGATATTGTTGATGGAAAATAAGAAAAAGAAGTCTGGTGGTATTGAAATTCCTAAGAAAAACCGTTCTTTGGATCTCAAGAGCCTGTATGAATCTAGGCTATCTGAAGTGGCAGAGAGTAAGAAGAAAGTTTGTGATGAAAATAATGCAGGATATATTAATAAGAAGAAGAGGGGGAGTAGAAAAGAAGTTCATTTGAGTAATTTCGAGTCTGATGCTAAGAAAAGTAGGAAAGATGATACAAAACCGGAGCTAGGTCTTAGGCAAAGATCAAACACCAGGAGTGAGGGGTTGCATGGCATCTCGTTAGCTTTGGGTGATAATGGAAGTTCGTTTAATATACCAAAGCGCCCACGTGGTCTGGTGGGGCGGAGAAAGTTGGAAAGTGATCAAGGTTCGAATCATTTGAGACTTCCCAATTCTGTTGACCGTGAGAAAACATTGAAAACCGAAGCTATTAAATCTGATGGTCCCAATGATCGATCAGTTCGGTTAGTTGCACCTTCCACAGATAACTGTGGTGTTTCAAATTCAAAACCTGCGGTGAAAGTTAATGGTTCGTCTGCCAAATTAAAGCAGAAGGCTGGTTTAAAATCCACTGAGAATTCCAGTAGTTCAACAGTAAAATCAGAGCAGAAGGTGGAAGTTGATAAAGTTAAGGAAAATAGAAATAGTCGGTCAGATTCAGTTCGGCCTGTAGTGGAAGAATGTGAAAATGTTGTAAATAACAGAGATATGTCGCCTAAAAAGCGGCGGAGCAGTAGTCGGAGGAAAAATAATTTAATAGCTGTTAGAGATGGTGGTGAAGCCTCAACTAAGAGACCAGAGCCTTCTGTCGGAAGTTCGGTTTCGAACAGTCCCTTCCCTGATTCCCTAGACGATGATGACGATGATGAGGAGAACCTTGAACAGAATGCAGCAAGGATGCTTTCATCTCGATTTGATCCAAGTTGTACTGGTTTTGCGGCAAAGAGAAAATCGTCGGATTCTCAGATGGCGGATGGATTATCTTTTCCAGTTTCATCTGCTCGGGTCTCTTCCAGTAGATATGCTAAGTCATTGGTTGGTGGGGAGTCTGCATCTCCTGATGATAAAACCAGATCACTTAGACCCAGAAAAGAAGATAAAGGCAAGGGAGTATCAAGGAAACGCCGTCATTTCTATGAAATTCTTGCCAGGGACTTGGACCCGCACTGGTTTTTGAACAGGAGAATTAAAATCTTTTGGCCATTGGACGAGAGTTGGTATTATGGACTTGTGAATGATTATCACTCGGGATCTGAGCTTCATCACATAGAATATGATGACAGAGATGAGGAATGGCTTAATCTTCAAGGAGAGAAATTCAAACTATTGCTCCTCCCCGATGAGGTTCCCAACAAAGTGAAATCTAGAAAACAACCTACAGGGAACAAAGATTTAGGTAGAGGACAAATAGTTCCACCGACAGATGATGTTAGCTGCACAGGGGACTATCTTGATTCAGAGCCCATTGCATCATGGCTGGCCAGTCAATCTCAGCGTGTCAAATCGTTGTCAAAATCTTTAAAAAGAGAAAGGAGTTCAGAAAAACACCTGCCTTTGGTCTCTTCATTGTCATCTGATGTTAACTCGAAAAGCAACATGGATGACTCAAAATTAACTAGAAATGAGCCAGTTTGTGAATCTCCATCAAAGGAAAATAGACTGTCTTGTGGAACGGTTGATAAGTCTCAGTTGGGAACTGCCAGCAGCTCTCAAAGTGGTTTGCGTGCAGTTTATGTCAGAAAGAAGTTTCAAAAGAAAGGCGAAGGAGATATTTCTGGGTCTAGAGATGCCAAAGGTGGAAGTTCTCCATGTACTGTTACTCCTCTCACCCCTGTTGCTGTTGGCTTGCCAACTACTAAAGATGGTAAATTTGACCGTGGTTTTTTGGACCCCGACAAGGAACTATGGTCAGTTGATAAAGGTTACATACCGTTACATGATGTGCTTCTGGAGTCTAAAGGATTATGTTTCCAGATATGCCTACCAGAATTACCATTTCTGAAGTTTTCTTGTGGAATAGGGGTGTCTTGGCTGCTTCATGAAATATTTATGCTTCAACACGGGGCAGTTGTGACTACCTCTCCTGCTGTTACGCTGGAGATGCTTTTCATTGATAGTAATTTTGGCTTGAGATTTCTCTCATTTGAAGGCTGCATGAATCAGGCTTTAGCCTTTGTCTTCCTAATCTTGACCGTTTTCAGTGAATCTGACGAACACTGGACCGGGGACGTAAAATTACCTGTGACTTCAATAAGGTTCCAGCTTTCCAGCGTTAGAGATCTGGGGAAACATCATGTATTTGCATTTTACAGCTTTTCCAGACTACAAAGTTCAAAGTGGCTTTACCTGGACTCCAAGATTCTGCAACATTGTCTTCTTGTAAAAAACCTACCTGTCTCAGAGTGCACTTATGACAACATAAAGGAAATTGAATCTCGGAGCTTTCAGCAATGCAAACCGCGTGTTGGTTTAAAGCTCTCATCAAATAAGGTATACCCTTTTTCATAAACAGATCTGCTTATTTTCAATTTTCACGTGAAGGTTTCCACAAATAATTTGTTTATTTCCTCTTTATAATGTCCATAAATAATATTTTATTTTCTAAAGTATCAATTCATTTTTGTTAAGATTTTCCTGAAGTAATGATGTGGCTATCACTAGTTTTGAGGTAAATCTTTAAAAATTCTTAAATTCACATCTTGACTTTTATTAAACAAACCCTTTATCCAGAAATGAAGTTTTTATATGTGGATGGAGTTGGGAGTTTTTCGTTAGTCAGTAGAATTGAATTCTGCCAGATACTCCATATTCTGTTTTCTCCTCCTACGTTTTTGTTCTAATAGTGTGTTTAGGTGGAATAATATTTTTGTTCAGATTGTGAAGTAGCTAGTGACTGTAAGTTCTTTAACGATAATGGTTTTGTTCCTATCTGTCATTACACCAGGGTGTCAAGAAGAAATTTTTGCCAGGCATTTTGCCAATGGGTGTTTCCAGAGAACCCAGCAAAACAGCGATGAATCAATCTGCTTATAGTGTGGCTCTAAAGCCTGGAAAAGTTCCTCAATTTGCTCTCTCCTTTTCCGCTGCACCAAGTTTCTTTCTCACTCTGCATCTCCAGTTATTCATGGATCATAGTCTTGCTCTGGTCAACCTCCAACATCAGAATTCACTTTGCTCAGCAAAAAGTTCAGAAAATAGGGGTGAACCAGTTGCAGAATCTTCCGAGTATGAGCTTAACTCCATCGCTGTTCAAGATGTCACCGTTGAACATGCTTTGGGAGTGGCTGATGTATTGGTAGGCAATGCTGCTGAAAACACTGAGTCTACTCAGAAACTTCAGAAGGGGAATCCAGGTGATGATGGAACGGCTGGATGTTTCACAGAATTTACTGAAATTTCTGCACCTGAAGTTATTGCTCAATCGCATCAGGAAGTGCAGGAACAGATTGTTGTATCTGCATCTACATCTCTGCCACCATCTACCACATCTCGACCCCCCTATCCCAAGAGTAATTCAGCATCAGGTGCCTTGAGTGTTGACATTCCATCTTCTGAACAAGTTGATACGCCATTTGCTGGAAACGGATGTATATCCAGACATACCTCTGTTGTGGGTTGGAATGTACATGATGGCTTTGTTCCCAGCCCCAGCCCTACTGGTGGGAAGCCAAACTTCATGCCCAATGGATTCAGTAATGGACCGAAGAAGCCACGCACTCAGGTTCAATACACGTTGCCTTTCGTAGATTATGATTCTAGTGCCAAGCGGAAAATGCCGAGCTCGAGATCTCTACCTTGCAAACGAATCAGGAGAGCTAGCCTGAAAAAGACATCTGATGGTTCCGAGAATAACCAGAAAAACCTGGAATCGGTAACTTCGATTGCGAATGTTTTGGTCACCTATGGTGACAAAGGATGGAGAGAATGTGGGGCACATATTGTCTTGGAAGTTGCTGATCAGAATGAATGGAGACTGGCTGTCAAACTCTCTGGGGTAATCAAATACTCGTGTAAAGTCAAACATATTTTGCAGCCTGGGTCAACAAACCGGTACTCTCATGCTATGATGTGGAGGGGGGGAAAGGACTGGGTACTGGAGTTTCCAGACCGGAGCCAGTGGATGCTTTTCAAGGAGATGCACGAGGAGTGTTACAATCGGAACATGCGTGCTGCTTCTGTCAAGAACATCCCTATTCCTGGAGTTCGGCTGGTCGAGGAAAGCGATGATTGTGGAACTGAAGTCCCCTTTGTTCGGAGTTCCAAGTATTTTCGGCAGCTTCAAACTGACATTGAAATGGCGATGGACCCCACACATATTTTGTATGACATGGATAGTGAGGACGAACTGTGGTTGATGGAAAATCAAAATTTTACTGGCAAACAAAAATCTGAAGAGATATCTGAGGAACTTCTCGAAAAGGCAATAGACATATTTGAAAAAGTTTCATATGCTCAGCGTCGTGACAACTTCTCAGATGCTGAAATTGAGGAGATTGTGATTGGAATAGGGCCAGTGGGGGCTGCTAAAGTCATATATGAACACTGGCGACAGAAGAGAGAGAAACTGGGCATGCCTTTAATAAGACATTTGCAGGTAGTAAGAGTTCACATTCTCTGTACTTTTGATCTTATATCATGATTCATGAATACACCTAGTGCATAGGTTTAATAAATATATTTTATAGAATAGAAATTTGATTAGTCTTTTACTCATTTTACTGAAGAAGTAGTTTCTAGTGAAATCTAAACCAGAGTACTGTTAATCAGAAGGAAAAGAAAGTACATAATTAGTTTGACAACTTTTGAACTGTTTCAAAATGTTATACAGCATATACATGCTTCATGTTGTTCTCGTAGTATACTTGGAATTGTTCATGTTTGTCAATATTTTGTCTCTTAAGGTGATGCATAATTTGGAAGTTGCAAATGGATAATCTAAAATTGTTCACCTTCAGATAACTGCAAAACCTTCTCGACCTCACTGTGTAAATTTTAATACGCCCGGGAGTCTTATTTCTTTGTCTGTGTCTGACTTAAAAATACATATAAAGACTAATCTGTTACTTGTAGACTCTTGTGATTAATGCTGCCATTTTTTTGTATTCAGCCTCCTCTTTGGGAGAGGTATCAAATACAGCTGAAGGAGTGGGAGCGCGATGTTGCTAGACGCAATTCTGCCTTTTCGATCGGTAGTCATGAGAAGGTTCCTCTTCCCGAAAAACCACCTGTCTTTGCGTTCTGTTTTAGACCACGCGGATTAGATGTTCCAAATAAGGGTTCAAAACAACGCTCTCACAGGAAACTTCCAGTTTCCGGACACCACCATACCTCCCCAAGGGAACAGGACAGTCTTCATGTTTTTGGTACTGTTCAATTCTTTCCTACTAAAAAGGCTACGATATTTACCACAATGTGATTTCCTTTTTTCTTACAACCTAGTATCCGTTCAACTTACGGCAGGGAGAAGATCAAATGGACATGCTTTTGGAGATGAGAAGGTATTATACGCAAACAATGTCCACGATACTTCTGATATTTCACCTTCAATACGGGCATCAAGAAGGGTGTTGTCTCCACGAGATGCACATTTCTCGTTGAACAGTGCTGTGTCTGAGTGGAAAGGTAAGCCGAAGATTTATAAGCACAAGTCGAAGAAACTTGGATCGTACCCTTCTTTCCGCAAGCAACAGGCGATGATGTCATACAAGAGGACAACAGAGAACGTAAACGGAGTTCAGCAATGGAACATGGGCCCACCTGAGTTGACCAGTCAAATGCACTACTATTCCGAACGGCCCCGTCGGCAAACGGTAGAGCAACAGCTTAACGGTTCAGATCTTTACGAGTTTCAGTTACGCGATGCATCAGGTGCTGCACGTCGTGCAGTTAAAACGGCTAAAGTGAAGAGGGAGAAGGCTCAGAGACTGCTCTATAGAGCAGATTTAGCTATGCACAAAGCTTTGGCTGCTCTAATGACTGCAGAGGCAATCAAAGATTCTTCCGAGAACTTGAATGCTGCCAAATTAGAATAATCGGTTGTGATTATGAGGAAAAATAACTGTCCCCATCAGCTGAGGGCACATGAAGTTGAATGTCTATTATACCCTTTCGATAATATGAAGTGCTCTGTAACATGATGACTGGGCTGATATTGGAGATGGCTACTTTATGCCGAGTTTGATACATGGTCTATTTTATCCCTAAGGAGCAGGCTTCTTCAAATTTTTCGTGTCGAAAATGAAACTCCATTGACGCATTGTGCCTGTGAGGGGAGTGTGGAGAGTTTTGGATGCGGAGTCGCTGTGCCTGTAAATAATTTTCTTAGCTGTTCTTTATCCTTGTTCTAGTTCATCGGTTAATCGTTTAGATAGGCGCAAATAATACCCTACCTGTTTCCTTTTTTTTTTTTTTTCTTTTTTTGGCATTATGAATTCGAGATTAATCCTTCGAGGAGAGACATTGTTGTATTAAGCGGAGAACTACATACATAAAATGGCAATGGAGAGGAAATTTATGCTGTAAAGTAAATTGTTTTGTAGGGAATTCCTAATGAGTGATGTTAGTTTCAAACTCCTTGTGATGAAAATTGCTTTTGTTTGTTCAGTTGAGCTGGATTGCTTTTCAGGATTTTGATTGTACGGTTTATTACATGCTACATCGGCTGAAATGCAACCGAAACATTTTTACCGTTCATTCAAACACAAAAGTACGTATGTTATCTGGTGTACACTTTACCGGGTAGTATGTATTCAATCGGGTTTTTTGCAAGAACCACCCCTGTGTAATCTTTAATTGCTAAAAAACGAGTACAAACTAGAGAACATTCCACGAAATCTAGAAGATTATGTTGAATTTGATACAATAAGGGGTGGGGGTGGACGTGTAAGAAAATTCATAGTTGAGGGGTGGTTGTAATTACCCAACCACTCAAGAGGGTTTTTTTCGTAATTTGACCTTAACTCAAGGGTTGGTCGTAATTTACATCGCATTTTTTTTAATATTAAAGTATATTTATATTTATATTTGAGTTAAAAATATGAAAGAGCAGAAGAACAGAGCAACCGTCAAAACCGCCAATATTCCCTCCAAACCTCTCTGCCTCTGCATAAAAGGCAGCTAACAATAAATTATAAACTTTTTCATATCCCTTTATTTTCTCTCTCTACAATCCAACCCCATACTCAAAATCAACCTCTCTCTATAATCCAACACAAATAAGTTGTTTTGAGCTGGGAAAAAATAATAATAATAAAAAAAAAAAGATTTCCATTAATCTGCAAACATATAAAGGTGAGCTTTTCGTGACTCTTTCGTTGCATGGATTTTTTTTCGATTAACAACATTTAGAGAATGCTATAACTTGGATTGGAACGAGAAATTTTGAATGTCGTCCCACATCGCCAATTTCTTCGGTTCTTACAACGTATATATGTCGAATGAGCATCATCCTCTGTACCTATATATAATCGAGATTTTTTTTTATTAAAAAATTATGTTAATTATCAATTTGCTGAATTTTTCTTTCCGCACCAATCATTGTTCAATGTGTAAGATACTTAATTAATTTTAATTTTTTTTTAAATAAATAATTATAGTTGTAGAATGTAATTATGGCATTGAAAACATGAATGCTTGAAATTAGTTATCTATACCTTTTTATAGTTTGTTTGTTTGTTTTATTGGCATAATTCAAAATAAATTGGGCCAATAAAGAAAAAAAGAAAATGCCTCGGCGTGTGAAGGAAGAGGAGAAAATCGAAATGATTATTCGTGATCTTTTGAAGCAGACGGATAATAGGCGATGCATCAACTGCAATAGTCTGGTACGATTTCATGACGATTTATTCGTACTTCTCTTTCTCTTTCGGAAACAATATATAATAAATGAAATTATATGGAGATATATTTAATTTATAATTCTTTTTCCATGAAATTATTGTATTTAATATATTTCTCATGATTTTCATTTTCATTTATTTTATTTTATTTTGGGAACCAGGGGCCTCAATATGTCTGCACAACTTTCTGGACATTTGTCTGTACAAATTGCAGTGGAGTTCAGTAAGTTAAATACTGTCATTAAAAAAAAAAAAATAATAATAATAATTTTATCTGGTATTTGAATATTAGTTAAGAACAAAAAAAATAATAATTAATTTTTCTTCAAAATTTACAGCCGGGAATTTACTCATCGAGTGAAGTCGGTATCGATGGCAAAGTTCAACGAAGAAGAAATTACATCCCTTCAAGCCGGTGGAAATGAGGTTCGAACGAACATCCACGAATAATATACGAATGAAAAATTATTTTTTAAATTTTAATATACGATGATTTTCACAGAGAGCAAAGCAAATTTATTTCAAAACTTGGGATTCGCAACGTAATTACTCTCCCGACGGCAGGTAATTTTTTTTTTCTTCGACATCCTTTAAAAATAAATAGTATGATCGATAATACCATCATTTCTGCATTTCAGTAATCTTCAAAAGCTTCGAGAATTTATCAAACACGTCTATTTAGACCGAAGATACGCCGGCGAAAACAATAGTTCCAACAAGCTATCCATGATTAAATTGGTAAATCTCTCTGTCTGTCTGTCTGTCTGTCTGTCTGTCTCTCTCTCTCTCTCTCTCTCTCTCTCTCTCTCTCTCTCTCTCTCTCTCTCTCTCTCTCTCATATATACACACATCCATGCATGTTTATGTTTAATGTTTATCATTTTTTCCAAAGAACAGGAAACGAGTAAGAACTACTGCGAAATAAGACCGTTCGAAAAACGGAGGGAAGATTTTATAACGGAGAGGCCAACTTTCGAAAGAAATAGTTCGTTCGAGAAATATATTCCATCTATAAGAACCAATGCAAGAACTTTCAAAGATATATTGGAAGAAAGAAGCCCTCGATATAGTAGCAGCAGCAGCAGCAGAAATAATCGCACCCCTCGTAATTTTGAGGTAGTGGACGACAGATTTAGAGACGACGGAAGCGTAAAGCGCTACGAAATTGTTAGGCACTCGTCGTATAATAATCGAGATCAACCTCAAAGAAGTGCATCAATGACATCAAGTACCCTCCAGAAAGTTCCGGTTCTTACAATTTGTGGGCCCCCCAAATCGAATGCCACGAAGGAAACCTCGGATTCTGCCAAAGTTCAGGTGATTTTTTTTTACCTTTTTTTTTTAAATATTTTAAAAGTATCAATTTTTTTTTTTTTTTTTTTTGTGGCTGAAGGTGGCAGAAGCTACTAATAAAGAAGATTTTACGGACGAGAAACGGAAGACAGAAAAGACGGTAAATTTGAATAGTTTGATCGATTTCGATCCGAAAATCGAGACTAGTTCTAATACAGCTTCGAAAAACGATAATGAAAAATCTTCGGCGACTCAAGTTGCTTCTAATGCTACAAATAATAATACGAACTTGTTGGAGTGTTTGTTATTGGACTGGTCGAGCCCCGTGAATTCACCTTCTAAGGGTGCTGACGTGGCGACGGTGAAAGAAGCTGAAAAGAACGATCGACCGATGGATAACAACAATAGCAGAGACCTCGTGGTGCAGGTTTTTTTAATCACATATTTTGAAGTTTGGAAAATCGAAATTCTTGGTTAAAAATTGATTTTTTTTTTCGTCGTAAATTATTGAAATAAAATTAGACGATTTTTCATTGTGTTTAATTTCAGGAACCGAATAAATCGCATGCACTAAGTGATATAACGCCGGTTCAAAGTTTTCAAATCGAGCAACCGTCACAAGCTTCTGATCCTAGTAATGCAAGAAAGGAAATTCCACAGGTTTATTTTTTATTTTTTTTTAATCATTTTCGAATTCGATAAAAAAATTATCGAATAGTTATCTTTTTACGAGTTTGTTGATTATGTCATGCAGGATCTTTTCTCGGTTGCTGATTGGCCGATGCATCCACCTAATTATGGAAGCGGATACGGTTATCAGTTCCATCCTCCTGCAATGGTATATTTATATATATATATATATATATATATATATATATATATGCCAAATCTTGAAAAGAAAAATCGAAATATTTTGCGACGATGCTAATCGAATAACGGCCGTATTTTTTTACAGCCCGTGGCCGGTTTTCCGAATCCCGTAAAACCGCATAATCCATTCGATATCGGTGACGACAGATTCCAAATTCAAGCATCAACGGTGAGCATGCATGCACGAAATTAAATATAATTTATAATATAATCATCATATATATTAATTATAAAAAAAATTGTATTATTTTCGATGTAATTACTAATAATTTTTTTTCCGATTAGTTTCATTCAATGCCACCGGTACAAGGATCTATGCCAAACATACCGCCTTCAACGTATGGGATGAACATGAATATGCATTTAGGTGAAAATACGATTATTTTCGATAGAAATTAAAATACTTTTTATATTTTTTCCGATTTTTTTAATGCCGACTTTTTCTACGTTTGTCTGATTATATATTATTAGTTCCTGGAGCTTACATAGGGCATCTTCCTAGTAACATGCCACTTACCAGGCCTCAAGGAATTTCCGACTTCGGCAGAAGTGAAATGACGTTTTCGCCCCTCAACCACCAAGCCATCGCCGGAACAGAGTACTCTTCGCCTGCTTCACATAGTTCTTCGGTATCTCGAGCAGGAAATCCATTCGGATAATGGCTAACAATTCAACATTGTATCTTTAAAAAAAATACACGTAATATATATATGGGAAAGTACATACGTTCGACGATACCTATCTTTCGATAACTGTAATAATATTTTTTTTATGGTTTGACTTTTGTAAACATTTACCCTTTGACTCTTTTTTTTTTTTTTTTGCCAACTGGAAGGTGTCATTTAATTAAACTTCATGAATAATAAAAAAACAGAAACCTCAATTAAATGTTAATTAATTCTCAAATCTTGTACACAAAATAATCAATCCCATGATATGATAATCAAGATATTATTATGATGATCATGCAGTAAAGAAGCCGAATAATCCGAATGCTGCTTTCTTAAGGCAACGAAAGTTATTATTATATTTTTTTTAAATTTCATTTAATGTTAAAGAAAAAGTAGTTGGTTCTTTATTAACCTATAAACTTAGACAGCGTCCTCGATTTCGATTAATTGTCGAAAACCTGTATCTGGAGATAGCAAAAAACTGGGGGTGGCGATGGAGAAAAACGTTGTTGCGGTTTTGGTGTTTTTGTCGATTTTGGCAATGAATGGTGTGAATGCACAGATATATACGTGTTGGGGAGGATGCTATAATGAGTGTTTTCTGAGGAGCGAAAAAACCGGCCCCGAGAGATTGGCTTGTTATTTTCAGTGTATCAATAGCTGCGTTCCGAATTCGCCTGCCGATTTTATGTCCTATTGTCAGATTGGATGCTCTTTGACTCTATGCAGTCTTTTTAGCTTTGGTAACGTGTGAACTCTCTCTCTCTCTCTCTCTCTCTCTCTCTCTCTCTCTCTCTCTCTCTCTCTCTCTCTCTCTCTCTCATGTGGAATTCAATATGGTGTTGTTGTATATTTCCCCATTGGCAGATGGTGAAAGATTGGAGAAATGCTTTGGAAATTGCGACAACATCTGCAAATTCGATAGAATTTGATGCACATATTTCTGCAATATTCCGAGAATTCGTAGCGCATATTATCGATGTAATAACTTTTTCTGCTTTATTATGTAACAGCATAACATACCTGCAAAAATATAAATAAACAATAATTGCATAATATGATCTGAAATCTGATTTTCTTTAGCAGAAAGTGCATGAAACTGGGCAGCGATCAAATGCAAATTGTTATTTCGAAAACGAAGCATCGTTATCCGTCGCGTACTAATTGTAAAACGTAATTCAATCGAACAAATGCTCCCACACGCGCAATTGTTTCTCGTATTTTTCTTGAACATAAATCAATGAATCGTATTTTTCGTCTCGATTTCAGCTTTTACTACCATGAGAATCATAAAAAATATAGAGAAATGTGCAGATTCAACTCCATTAGGTGAAATAAATATATAAAACCTTAAAAAAATAAAAATCAGTAACCACCTCAATAAATGAATTTAATTTAATGATCAACAACAAGTAGTTACTTGTTCTTGGCGCTATATAACATATCCCCTTCCAAACTCTCTGTTCTACAACAGAGCCACAAAGAAAGAAAAAAACGAAAAAAGAACGAGGAGTTGCGATGGGAAGGATCGAAAGGATCAACAGTGGGGAATGCATCGTCATAATTTTCATGGCTGTTTTGGTGTTGTTAACGAATGGTGTGCATGGAAAAAGCACATACGCTTGCTGGGGTGGCTGCTATAATGAATGCTTTCTGAAAACCGGTATAGTTAAAACTCAGTCGAAGGGGCTTTCTTGTGATTATCAGTGTCTTAATAACTGCGTCCCTCGTTCGGCTTCTGATTTCATGTACTACTGTGAGATCGGTTGCTCTCTCAAGCGATGCATCCCTGTTGCCTATGGTACTCTCTCTCTCTCTCTCTCTCTCTCTCTCTCTCTCTCTCTCTCTCTCTCTCTCTCTCATGTATTTTTACTTTTTTCTGATGCGGTTATCGGTATTTGACGACAGATGGAGCGAAACTGGAGAGATGCTTCGGTTTTTGCACTAATCTCTGCAAGAAACTGATAGCATCATGAGTGAATCTTGAGCAACTATATATATATATATATATATATATATATATATATATATATATATATATATATATAGCAAGAATGTAGCAATAATATGATTCTAACTGTGTCATGTGCTTTATGTAACATCAAATGTTTGTTCTGATTTTCTTTACCATAACAAATGAAAGAGTTTCTCCAAGTTCATCGACTTTTCGAGAAAAAAAAAAAAACAAGAAAGAACAGGACACATTTTCTTGTTTTTTTTTTCTTCTTACAAACAATTCATGAACACCAATGTAAAATGACATAACAACAAACACTCGAGAATATCGACAAACAACACAATAACAAACAAATCGAAGAAGCATGGAAATTTATTTAAAGATTTAAAAAAAAAAAACTCCTTATGAATTAATTCCGATGAAACCAAAATGTGGAACAAGATCGTTGTCCTTCCCCCATTTTCCTCAACCTCAAAAGCAAATGCACAACCATCCCACACAGAAATCCAAGAGCAGCGCTCGATCCAACCAACGAAACCGCCGTACAAATAAGCATCACAAAAGCCTCCTCCTTCGAATTCACATCCCTCGAGCACATAGCCAATTCAATCCCAGCAAACAGCAACAAAACCCCCAAAACACCAACCGGAAACTCATCCAAAATCTTCACCAACGAACTCCCCAAAACCAACCCCAAAACCAACTTCGCCACACCGAGCAACGCCACGCTGCCACCTGTCCTCCCCCCAAATTTGTACTGTCCGGCCAACCCGCCCGCCCCGTGGCAAGTGGGCATCGCACCAAACCAGCACCCGATTAGATTCATTAGTCCAACGGTGATCGAAACCGACGTGGCAGAAACTTCCTTATCCGGAAAAAGATCGGTCGATAATTTGCAGACCGCGATTACCGAGTTTAGTATTGATAACGGGAGTTGAGGGATTGTTCCCTTTACGAACCCGTCTTTCCATGCTTGGTTAGAAATCTTGATGATTTTCATAGACGATGGCCCGAATTTGAACCCTTTTACAACATTAGGCCCTCGTACGAAAGCTAAAACAACTCCAAGCAAGAATATTATAAATGCTGACGGAAGAGAAGAAATGATTTTCCTCAACTTTCTCCACCTACTCGTACTATTTGTATCAGCCCTCCGATCATTGATTATCTGATCTTCGTCGGTTTCTTCGCCGGAGCCGTTTACGATTACGATGAAACACGCACAAATTAGGGCTAAAAGCAGTCCATCAAGCCCAATCCAAGGGCGTTCGCCGGCAGTTTTCGACTTCGAAAAATTCTGCACATTTCTGATGTACTTAACGGCAGTCATGGCGAACGACAAACCCTGCGCCAGCTGGATTCCGCGGACGACGGAGATCGGAATGAATTTGTACACGAGCTTCATCAAACCGGTGGCGCCCAATAAGAAGAGGATTGCGCCGGTGCAAATTCCGGCGGCCATGACCTCGGGGATTCCGAAGGTGGGGTTCGAAATGGCGACGGCGGCGATTGATTTCATCGGCTGGACGGGCATGGGGACGCCGTAGATTGCGCCGGTGATGAAATTATAGACGCCGTTGAAGATCAAAGTTGTGCCGAGATCGAGGTTTTTGGCTAGAGTTAGGGCGAGAACTATGGGTATGTATGTGCCCAAGTCTCCCATGGCGCCGTTCAGCTCCGCCCATTTTGACCTGAAGACTAGGTTTTGCTTCACCGTCTGTACCACGTGTGATGGAGTCGGAATGGAGCTCCGATTACCCGTTTCCGGCGGGTTTCGGGGCGTTTCGCCGCCCGGGTTATGGATTTGCGGTGGTTCCATTTTAGTGAATAGCGAATGAAATAAATGTTATACATGCTGCATCATATTTATAGCGTAATATATATATATTATATATATATATTTTTTTTTAATTTTGGCCACCCCTAGTGTAATACCAAATTACGAAAAATCCCATCATGTTTGGGTAATACAATTACTCCCCCTCAATTATTAATCTTCTTACGCGTTCATTTTTATGATGTCAAATACAACAGAATCTTCTAGTTTTCGTGGAATGTTCTCTAGTTTGTACTCGTTTTGTGCAAAAATGCAGTTTATGGATGCACCATAATCTGATATTTACAAGTTAAGAGACACACCTTATAATCACCTCGTTTTAAAATGTGGAGCTCGAATGGGGTCAAACGAGTGCAAGAATATTCCACATAATCTAGAAGATTCATGTAAATATGATACCGCAAGGGTCAGGGTTCGCCGGAACAGGAACGGTGCCCGCCGTTCCGGAATCCCTAACGAAACTGTTCTCTCCCCTTGACGCGGCGGTCCCCCGTGACGGTCGAGACGTAGCCGGGGAACGGCTCCGGAACGGTCTGACACTTGACGGAAAAAAAAAAAATTGGGAACGAGACTCTTGACGGAAAAAAAATTGAAAAAAATAAAAAAGAAGAAAAAAGAAAATTGAGAACGAGATAATTTGTAAAAGAAGAAAAGAAGAGTGTAAATTATTTTTTAAATTAAAAAAAGAGTTTAAATTAAAAGAAGAGTTTAATTTTTTTTAATTTTTTTTATGGAGTTAAGAGCTAATTTTTTTAGATAATGAGACCCCACTAATCCCTCTAATTTCCTATTAATAGGAGAAAGTAACAATAAGTATGTATTTAACCGAAAGGAAAATAGCAGTAATACATATATTTTTTTGTACAAAAAATAATAAATAAAATTGAAGACTGTGATTCATAATAAATAAATATAGAAAATTCGAATATATATAATATTAAAATTTTATTTAACTTTTTTTTTTCTTTCAATATTCTGTTACTTAAATATAATCATTTTAATTTGAAATTAATTCATCACATAATATGTTTTACTATTATTGTATTGTAATGTTGGTATTAAAAATATATTTGAAATAAATTATATTTTTTAGCATTTTAATTAAAAAAATCTGTTCCGGCCGCGACGGAACCGCGACGTTGCAATTGAACTTGAATGGCACTGTCCGCGACAGCCGACTGTTCTGTGCCGGCGAACCATAGCAAGGGTGAACGTTTAAGAAGATTCATAGTTGAAAGAAGTGATTGTAATTACCCAAATATTAAGGATTCTTTCGTAATTCGACCTTACCCTTTTTTTTTTTTTTTTTCTTGAGAAGTTATTTATGAAATGTTGGTTTAAACGTTTAGTTCCTTATTAATTAGTTATAGTTTTATGTTTTTTACCCAATTAAAAAAAAAATGGGGTGAACTAGGGACTAAATTGAAATTTCTTGAAAACATAAGGACGACCATTGAGAGAAAAGGTGTCCCTACCATTGGTGAGGAGCCGTTACGAGAAGAGAGAAACATTTGCCGCTCAATTTGGCCCAAGGTATCTTTTACTATCTTTTATTTCCAGCCTCTCAAATTATTCTAATATTCTTTTATTTCCCCACTTAATTTTGTTATGTGCAAATATAGTTTTAAAACCACATGATTAGATGCTCTTATTATTTTTTTTGGGAATATCTAATTGAAATTTAATGTGCCCCTCTATCTCTCTCTCTCTCACACACATCACATCACATCGTTCTAGTTAATCATACACGCTTCAAAAGTCAACTTTGTGAGAGATTTTTTTTTTTTTTTTTTAATTCCTTTTGAGGGTGAGAATTGGTGAAGGTGGTAAAGTGGTTTATTTTGACTTCAATTTTAAATGAAAGCAAGCAACCAGGGTGTTGCTATTTGCAGTAGGACTTTTACTGAATGCAACGGAATCTTTTTTATTTAATTTTGTTTTTTTAGAAATTCTCTCTCCTGTTCTCAAACTCTCTCAAGACATTCGAATTTCGGAAAATATTTCGACTTTGAAGACGTAGCAAACGAGGTTTGATTATGGTACAAACACATGTTTATGATTAGATCTTGGTAAATTTTCAATTTTTTTTAGAGCAAGATTGCTTGAAGAATCTTCAAGTTTTCGTGCCCTAGAGAACGGGAAATTCCATTTTTTTTTTTTGAAATTTTTTGGGATTTCTTCTGCTACAGAACGGGGAGTTCAAATTTTTTTGAAGCTCCCGTTCTGCAGAGAACGAAAACTTGAAGATAGTTTTCGTTCTCTGCAGATCGGGGGCTTCAAAAAAGATTTTTTTTCTTTTTGGGTTTCGTTCTCTACAGAACGGGGAGTTCATTTTTTTTTGAAACTCCCGTCTGCAGAGAATGGGAGCTTCAAAAGATTTTGGTTTTTTTTTTTGTTTTTTCCCTTTAATATCAATTTTTTAGATAATTTAAGGAACATTATCATCGTCAAATTCTTCATCGGATTCACTATCATCACCCCTATCAAATTATAAAAATTAATAATTAATATATTAATAATACTAAAAAATACAGTAAAACAAAAAAGAGAAAAAAAAAAGAGATGAAAACTAGTACCAGATTCCCGTGCTGTACAACATAGGTAACTTAAATTTTTACTTTTTTTTTATACTTCTCATGCTGTACAACACGATTAACCCTTAAATTTTTTTATTTTTTTCTTTCTTTTTACCTCATAAAAGTTAACTGGATCGGCATCGAAGAAGTTGTTATTCGTTTTTTAATTTGTCGAACGAGCTTCAAATTCTAAGTTTTCGAATTCTTTTAGTTGAGAGAGTTTCGATTTTTTTAATAAGTTAGAAAATTGACAAATGAGACTACCGCTGCAAATAAGCCAATTTCACTAAAAGTCCCGCTACAATTAGCATTTCAGATTGACTAATTGTGCACATTTGAGTCTTGCAAATACACCGGTTTATGGCATGACTTTAATTAATCATATAAATTTACAATAATATATGTTTTTTTTTTCTTCTTCTCAAGTCAAAAGGAATATGCCTATATTCATCAAAGAAAAGAAAGGAATACGCCTTTTATGCATTACTCCCTTTGTTCCACAATAACTGTCTCTTTTTAAAAATATTTTTGTTCCAAATTATCTGTCACTTTAGATTTCCAATACTGTATTAAATGCACGTTTCCTGTTTTAACCTTATTAATGAAACTCTAATTATTATTTTTCTCTTATAAATCATTAAATAATAAAGGTTGTTTTAGTCATTTCTATATGATTTTTCTAAAATCAAGATATATTTATTGAGTTTCTTAATCTTTGTGAAAAGTGAAAAGAGAACACTTATTTAGGAACGGATGGCTTATTTTGCGAGATTATATCTTATAATAAAATAATAAATAAATAAAAAAAAAGTAAGATTTTATGAAATATTAATCATGGACTATATAATCTACATACTATATTTGGTGGCCCATCTAAAACAATTGCATGAGAGATCCATTCCATTACATGAAGAAAGGGCCCATCATCTAAAATTATAGGCCCAATTTTTGATTTGGTGTTCCTGTAAATGTAATTTCATCATTTTCCATTACTTTTTTTTTTTTTTTTTTTAATTCACAAACCCTCGAATTTTTAATTGAATTTTTATTTTTCTTTTTCTTTTTTCACTCCAAATAGAAATAAAGCTTTAGAATTCTGCACTTTCATCGCCGATAATTTCTAGTGTGGCGGGTGGGGAAGAAATGAAGGGTCATGAATCAAAGGTACAAATTTTCGCTCCTCTCTGTTTTTTTTTTTTTTTTATTCAAATTTGCTCCTCTTATTCTGCTGTATATATATATATATATATATATATATATATATATATATATATATATATATATATATATATATATGTGTGTGTGTGTGTGTGTGTGTGTATCGATTGTGTTATTTATTTCAGTGTCCAATCAATAATTTAGCAGCAAAATGAACTCTGTTTGGCTTTCATTAATGTGCTGCCTTTCACATACTTCAAAAATAAATTGTTATCATCAACAATTTGCTAACTTGCGCTTTTCGTTCTTTTTTTTTTTTTTTTTTTTTTTTTTTTGTCTTTTCTGTTGTGTTAGATGGCTAGAATGGAAGATATATTAAACCTACCAGTTCAAGATCCTCCATACACTGAATTTTCTGCAGCTCATATAAATTGGGTCAAAGTTGAAGGTGGTCGTCAAGGGGGTGATGACATTGCCCTAATTCCGTTTTCCAGAGTCGAAGATTTCGTGAAAGGCGAATCCAGTAATGCAGATTGCCCAGCTAACTTCCGTGTAGAATCGAGAAGGAAAAGACCCGAAGGAAGTCTGAACAAACCAAGAGTCGATGGATATCTCGAGTATACACTGTATGTCACACTCCCTCGTAAGTCCGTATTTATTGCATATGTATAATGCTCGATCGTGCTTTCTGGAAGACGACCCTTTTTAACTATAACTTCACGTTGGAATTTACGGCCTTTTAGATTACTAGTTAGTTAAGTTCGTCGAAAATGTTATTGAAGGAATGTATAACAAGAAACATCGAAAATTTTATTGAAAATGGATATCTCGAGTATACACTGTATGTCACACCCCTCGTAAATTCGTATGTATATAATGCTCGATCATGCTTTCTTGAAGACGACCCGTTGAACTAGAATTTCCCGTTATAATATCCGCCCTTTTTAGTTATTACGAGTTTTAAATTCATCGAAAAGGTTATTGAAGAAGAATATATCACAAGAAAAAATCAAATTCATGATATTTAGGTATTGGTGCTCTTACGGTCCAGAAGACTACAGAGACATCGAACCCCAAATTGGAGAAAACACGAGCACCAAACCCTCTTCGGGCAAGGGAAGTAGGCCCGGAAGAAGGCACATGATGCGGGGGTGCATTTGTCATTTCACAGTCAAACGTTTGTACACTCGCCCGCAACTCGCTCTCATCATCTACAACCAGAGAAGCCATGTGGATAAGAGTGGGGCCCCATGCCACGGCATCCTCGACCAAGAATCCGTGGGTACAAGAGCAATGTACGCTCCTCGAATATCTGAGGAGCTTCGTCAGAAGGTGATGTCACTGCTCCATGTCGGAACATCATTGGACGCTATTGTCCAGCACCACATGGAGGAAGTGCAGAGGCACGGTGGGCCCCACAGCAGGGATGATTTTCTGACGCGTAATGATGTACGTAATATGGAGAGGCTGATAAGGAACTCACCTCATGAATTGCATTTGGATGATCGGTGCAGTGTGAAAATGTGGGTGCAGAGGCATCATAAGCACGTTTTTTACTTTCAGGAGAGTTGTGGTTGTGAGGATTTTGTGTTGGGTGTCCAGACGGATTGGCAGCTGCAGCAGATGCTTCGATATGGGCATGGTGGATTTATAGCTTCTCATCTGGTTTCGGGGTCTAAGAAATTTAAGGTTTTTTTCCCCCTTTCTCTACGATATTTGTTATATTTCTGTGAAATCATTATTAATCAGCATGCAATTCTGAGAAGTGGCTGTCGCATTTTTATCTTTGTTTTTCTGGGTTTGTGTGGCCTTATTGATAGGTGGAGTCGGTTGTTGGACAAATATTTACAAAGGAGAATATAAGCTCTAGACTGTATGATAAGGTCTCGTTTGGTTCATAAGATAAAGTTAGCCAAGACTAGAGCCACTTTTGCCAAAATTGTGAGCCGACTCGAAAAGTTATTGGACTAACCAAACGTCCAATAAGGTCCAATTATTTAATTAATCATGGCCTATCGCACCAACCAACGAGGCCTAAGAATATAAAGCCATAGTTGCATCTATTTGGTTCCATATTAGTTGATAGTTAAATTTTTGGGAATTATCTACGGGCTTCATAATTGTGTTTTGATTATTTTCCTTCTCCGTTTGACTCGTACAGCAGTTGTGCTCGTTGCTCGCATTTGACTCGTCACAAAATGCAATACCAGTTGCTTGGATCATTTCTTCCTCTTCCATTGGTCAAAATATTCACAAATGGATACCGTCTCTTGTTGAAAGAATACGAGGCAAGGACACAAGATGGAGACCTAATGCAGTTCTAGTGGATGATCCCTCTTTCGAGGCTTCAATTCTTCGGTAAACCTTAAAATCTCGATCTTTATATGGTCCCAAAATAATTGTAAATTAAAAGGCAAATATCTTTTAGTAATTTGTGTTGTTTGGTCCTCTCAGTGAGGCCTTCCAGTGTCGGGTTCTGTTATGCCTGTGGCATGTTCGTCGTGGTTGGCTCAAAGGTTTATTGAAATATTGCAACAATTTCGATGTGCAAAGAGAGATGTTTAAGCAGTTAGGAAGGATTTTGTACTGCACGAGAAATGGTTCGAGTGTTGCAGATGCTGTTGAGGAGTTTGTGCAAATATTTGTCGACCAGTATGCATTTATAGAATACTTCAGAAGTAAATGGTTGTCGAAAATAGGTAAAATTCATCCCATGCTTGTTGAATTGTGGTTATGTGTTGGGACTAGGGGTGGAAAATTGGAACGTGATTTCCAAATTCCATTCCTATTCAAATATTTCCGATTTTTGAACAATAGTTTACATTCCGAATTCTGATTTTTCCCGGGTTTTTCCTTTTTTTTTTTTTTTGGGTAAATTACACCCACACCCCTGTGGTATGCTTAAATAATTTTAAGGTCCCTATGGTATCGATAATTACACTAACCCCCCTGAAACATAGTTAGAAACTCGAACGAGATAATGCATTGGATACATTAATCCGATAGGGTTCTAATGGACTATTACTTTTAGCTAGTGGTGGAGATAACATAGAGTTGTGGAGAGTTATGAGGTGACATGGCTCCCCCAATATTTCTTAAATCACACATAACTCTTTGTTGTCTCTACCATTTCCTGAAACCAATAGTCCGTTAGAACTCTATCGTAATAATGTATCCAATGCATTATCCCATTAGAGTTTATAACTACGTTTCAAGGGGGTGAGTGTAATTATCGATACCACAGGGACCTTTGAGTTATTTAAGCATACCTCAGGGGTGTGGGTGTAATTTACCCTTTTTTTTTTTTTTTTTTTTTTTTTGGTAAGGAATACAAATTCATATTTTATTCCAATTTCCTATCCGATTTATTTCTGAAAATATTTCCGAAAATTACACGTATAGTATCAATTTCTGACATTGTAATTTATGATTTTTCTGAAGTTTTCCGGAACATAATTGGAATTAGTTTTTCACTTCCAAAAAAAAATTGGATTTTTTCCAAAAATGCTAATTCCGATCCGATCAGTCTGATTCCAACCCCAAGTTGCGACATATTTGTAAAATATTCAATAATACGATAAAGTTTGTCCAACAGAATTATGGGTCAACTGCGTCAGAACTCTCCCGGTTGCACCTCAAGAAACTATTGCTTCAATCGAATCCTACCACCTAAGACTGAAGTCCAAGGTTCTATCACAAGATTCCGATCAAAGAGTTGACTTTTTGATACACGCACTGACCTCCCAATTCCACTCATTCTATTGGTTCGAGCAATACACAGTCGAAACGGGATATTTCGAAAATTTAAGAGACAGGTTCAGCATTACCAACCCATGGAATCAAGCAACACACATCCCCGACATTGACGTCTTATTGGACGAGGAAAACCTCCAGCTGGCAAAAGTCGTGTCTCAAGCAGATAATAACGTGGCCTACACAATATGGAACCCTGGTTCAGAATTTGCTCTGTGTGATTGTTCTTGGTCAATGGTCGGCAACATGTGCAAGCACGTAATTAAGGTTGCTATTTTCTGCAGAAGTCGTCAGATAGCAAGGCCTTTGTTGTCTGCTCAAGTGTATAGGCAGACATTGGTTAATTTACTCCAGAATCTTCCGGAAGATCCTCTTGTTCTTGAACATGCGATTTCGCACGTCACACGATTAGAACAAGATATTAAAAGCTTGGAGGATTTGTCGAATAGTGGATTACTGCAGCCATTGTCTTCAATTGATCAGCAGAATTATAGGATCCTTAAATGAATTTTGCCGAGTTTTTTTTCTCGTTGTGGAGGTATGTATATTGTTTTTATTTAGTTACTATAACCTATGGTAAGTTGTTTTCTTACTGCAATATCACTATGAAGCTTGTTGAAAATTTTCTTATAAAATTTGGTGACATACTTCTTTCAGCGAAGTTTACTTCTATGTTTGCATATTTACCATTATGACCCTGTTAATAGTTATCATTATTTTGATACTCTAGCAGATACTAGCATCCATTAATTTGACTCATGTTGAATAAGTTGGCATATTAAGTGAGGCATATAAGCATTTGCTAGAACATATAAAGTGATGCTACACATATAAAAGATGATAACGACCCTGAAATATGATTCATTTTGCAGGCAAAAACATAGAATTTTTTATTCATAACAAAGTTCGGAAGATTCCCTTTCTTACATTGAGTGACCTTTTTTTCATTTCAACCATCTTAAATAAAATCTGCCATATTTCACTTGTCAAGCAGGGGGAAAAAAAAGGAGCCGAAGAACCGGTGCGTGGCAGCATTTAATTTGTTCCGGAAAATTCTGAACTTGCATTTAATTTGTTGGAGGTGGCTGTACGCACGCGCACGGTGGTGGTGTAGGGTTTGACGGTGGAGGTGCAGGCAGCGGATAAGGACTCCCCGGTGGGGGTGACGAAACAGAGGGGGGTGCGGTTGGGGGTGAAAAGGCCGGACAACCGAAACTGCTGCAGTTAATCTTTCGAGCCAAGAACCTTTGACACTCCAAAGTGGTTCTTTGCTCCGGCCTCCCTCTAAAGCAATTCTTTTTATCGTCAAATTTCAGCAAGTTCAGACACACCGGAGACTCCTCGGAGAAGTAGTTGCCACCGAACCCGAACCCCGCCAGTTTAGGGAGTTGGCATATACTCGCCGGGATATTCTCCGACATCATGTTATTCCCTATGCCTAGCTGCTCCAAGCTCTCCATATCCCTGATGCTATTAGGCAACGGGCCCACAATTTGATTATTGCTCAAATCAAAAACCGTTAAATTCTTCAATTTCCCGATTTCGCTTGGAAAACAAGACGAAAATTGGTTGTTCGCTAGCACCAATTGGTTTAAATTGACCATATTGCCCAGACTTGGAGGAACACACCCTTCGAGTTTGTTATTCGCTATAACAATAACCGAAGCGGGCGAATTTCCGAAAGTTTCGGGTAGTTTCGAAGAGAAAGAATTGTCGTTTAAAAAAAGAGCGTCGAAGCTTCTCTCGAAGAGTTGACTGGGGAGTTCACCCTCGAATTCGTTGAAACGGATATCGAGGTACTTGAGGCTGGCCAATTGGAGGATAGGTTCCGGAAACTTCCCGACGAAGCGGTTGTTGCTTAGGTCGAGCTCGAATAGGAGCTTCAAGTTTGTGAAGCTTTGTGGGAGGGTCCCACAGAAACGGTTAGAGCTGGCGTGGAATAGGGTTAGGTCGAAGAGGAGGCCCACCTCGTGGGGGATGTGTCCGGCCATGCCGCGGCCGTTGATGTCGATTCCGGCGACTGTGCGTTCGCACGGGTTGTCGGGGGCCTGCCAGCAGAATACTCCGGTGTAGTTGCACACGTCGGGGCCCGTCCAGGTGGCGGTGACGTTGTTGGGGTCGGAGAGGATGGAATCTTTCCATGCTTGGAGGGCGATGTAGGCGCTTTTTAGGCGTGGGTTTTCGAAGTCGAGGACGGGGTCCGCTGCTAGGGGGTCTCCGTTGTAGGACAGGAGGTGTCTGTGGGAGGAGATGGGTGGCGGTTGGTCGGCGGCGGTGGCGGTGTTGAGGAGGAGGAGGAGGAAGGTGGTGGATAACAACAAGGTTTTTGAGGCATGAGAGTGGTGCATTTCTTTCTTCATTGAGTAATTTTGTTTGTACTCTTTTTTGGGGGGGTTTGTGGAGTGAGGAATGAGGTTTAGTTTTTCAAGATTTGATTAATGGGAGTGTGTTTTTGTTAAGTGAAGTGTGTGTGTGTGTGTGAAAGTTTGGTGTTGTGAAGAGCTCAAGTATAGCTAACATTCTTGACTTTTTCTATGAGGGAGTTTGTTTTAGATCAGATGTTTAAGCTCTATTCTTGCAACTTTTACCGCGGAAATTTGACTAACTTATTTAATTTTTTAAATTTTATTTTCAATTTTTTGGGTATATGTGAGGGGTGGCATTACCATGTACCAACCGTAACTTATGGTAATGAGAAATTTCAAACTATTATCATACATTGTATTCTACCATTATCTTATATTAAGCTAAAGTTTGAAAACATAAATCTTGTCAATTTTTTGAATTTGTATTATATAATTTGAGTATGTATAAATTGTTGAGCTAAATATTCCAATTAATTCTATGATATGGTGTAGCAGAATTTATTCCTATATGTATAAAGATATATAATATACGAGAAAGAAAAACATAAAAAATAATTACAAAATACACTATAATAGTAGGTATGGTACAATACGGTATTATCGTGGTATTAAGAATGCAATGTCATTACCATATCAACAATTTGCGGTATGGTATGGTGCCAATGCCGTACCAAATGAAGTGGTAACCACCACTACAATATTTTTTCGGTAATCTTCGGTTGGTAATAGAGTATTCAGAAGCAAGTTTCGACTTGAGTTTGTTGTATGTAAGCTACTCATTCTAAGTTGGTTTCTTCGACAACTTGCTTCCCTAAAAAATTATCCGAAGATGTTTGCCTCTCGTTGAAATTTATTCACGTGTGCGGTGCTACTGTTGCAGGATTGGGGGCTCCAAGAATTTCTTCTAATGTGATAAATGTGGCAACTCTTGTTTCTCTGTTTATATATATGATCGTCACAAGTTCGTATGAACGACCGACACTTTCACGAGATCCTCTCTCTACAATGCAGGATGCTGCTATTCTCTCTCTCTCTCTCTCTCTCTCTCCGTATGTTAGTTCATCACTTCATCTTGAAGAAGTATGCAGATTGTTAATGGTAATTACCGGTTTGGATTCATTGCAACGATTGTGGAAGCAACTCGGTAGTAAAATACCACAGTCGGCCATAAATGCCCAAATTGCAAGTCTTACGACACACGTCAAACAAGAGGCCCCGACAGATAGACACACACATACGTACATATGACCCTATAATACACTTTAATGCATCGTAGTAGTTATGTGCTCGTTTTTGCCCACTTGTAAATGAAACAACGACCTGCCTTTTATAGACCATGGAATTTCCGATCAACTGCCAATCGTAAGCCCATGAGACCATTAAGGCCTCGTTTGGTCGGAAAGATTAACCATCATTTCCATTTTGTATTAGATTGATCTCTTATGTGAATATTTATTTGTGTAATGAGATAGTATATGAGTTTGGATCCAAACCCGAATTGAAACCGGATCCAACCCAGACCCGGAACATGTCCGCCACGCGCTGCACATTTGGCGCCACGCACTGTACTATTTTGCCCACTGCTGAAAAACATTTTCGGAAAAAAAGAAGGGGCAAAACGGTAAATTATTTGGCCACGGACAAAAGAAACTGGTGATTTCTTTTTCCGTCAGACACATTTTCTTCGCTTCAGCTTATATACTCCGTCGCTCAATCCGATTCCTCCGTCTGACGACTGACATATAATCGCACACAGAAACACGCACAACTGTGTGTATATCGTGTTATCGACATAGAGATATATATATATTCGCATATACAAATTATATACATATCTAAGCTTTGTTGAAGGTGGAACTGCAGATCTCGGAAATCGCGGTGACGAATCTCGGTAGATGGACGAGCATCTTTAATTTTCGTGTTTCTCTGCTGTATTTTTTTTTTTTTTTTTTTTTTTTTAAATATGTGCGATTCTGTAAATTTGGTAAATAACTTGTGAAAACGATTTTCGTTGTTCCGATGCAGCTTTTTGTGGCGTCCGGCTCGTCAAAATTCTGTATCGTTTCTTCGAAGAGATTGCCTGCAATTTCTGTTTCGTCAGGTATATATGAACGTATTTAGGGCTGCATGTTTGAATTTGTGCATTTATCGTTGTGATTTTTCGGATTTTTGTTTGCTGGATTGCTGTTGTCGGGGCTATTTGCAATTTGATGTGGCATCTTCACCGTTTTCTTAACTTTACCTTTTCCTTTTGTGCCCTAATTTAAGGTACTCTAATTTTTTTTATTTTTTTTGGCATTTTATGGATGTATGTGTTTTCTTAGATGCTGCTTTTATATATTGATGGATGGGTCTGGTTGAACATGTATTAGTTGTTCAAATGATGAGTTAGAACTTTAGCAAATTAATTTTTACTTTTGTTTTAAGTCTGTTCTGATTTTAGTCTTCTATTTTTTGACAATTACTCTTCATATTTCAGGTTTTAAGTGACAAACGTCGTGGTTAGTGGAGTTCGTTTGAGGGATTTAACATATAATGGTCTCATTTTCAAATGGTAGCTTATCTGGTGTGGTCTCTAACAAGCGGCCTTTGGAGAATGGGTATCTTCCCAAATTTAAGCCGCGGAGAGTATCCGCAGTCCGGGATTTTCCACCTCTGTGTGGCAGCAATGCTGTGCCAACGAATTTGAAACCTGACGAAAATGGTGGTAGCGTAGTGGGGGTTACGGAGACTGTTGGTGTTAAAGATTCTCAAATGAATGATGCTGCAGTGGGTAATGGCGTTGTAATTTCCGAAATAGCTGATCAAACGGAGGCTGAAGCAGTTGGAAATTCTGAGACCGATAAGATAGAGGCTGATGGTTTTACGACTGCCGAAATGCCCCAACCTGTAAAGCTTAATGAGATGGAAAATTCTGATGTACAAAATCTTGCTGATTCTAGTGGTTTCGAGAGCTCTAATATCAAGGTGGATTGTCAATCAAATGAAGAAATAAACTGTACTGTGGATGTAGATATGACTGAATCATTAGATGCATTAGTGGAAAGGGTGACAGCTAGTGCAAATTTCTTTGACGAATTGATGATAGAAATTGGACCGCTCGGTTTTCAGTTGCCGAATGAAGCAGTAAACAATCCTATTGAAGAAGAGAGAACTGAATCAATGAACACATTGGTGGGAAATGTGGAAACAACGGTAATGGATGTTTTCTCCAAGAATTTTGATGAATTGATAACAGAAACTGCATTCATTGGAGTTGATACACCGATAAACATGGAAAGTGATTCTTCCAATGCTGGATGTCAGAAAGAGTTGAATGAGGTGGGAGGCTTGGCTTTGGTCCCGAGCTCGGTCGTGGAGGAGGCAAAACCCATATCATATCCTGATACTTCACATGATGAAGATCCTTCAGTTAAGCCGACGGATAAGTATCGCCTGCGGAGAGTATCTGCCATCCGTGACTTCCCTCCACATTGTGGGAGGAATGTTACTTTACCAATTGACGAAGAAAAACAGACGGTTAAAGAATATTTGGATACTGTTCAGGAAATTCATGTTAAAGAAGATACAACTGAGACATTGAACGGTGGGGCTGTAAGAGGGCCTCTGGAACTTATAGCAGAGGCCACTGTGGAATGTGTGATAGTGGATTCTGAAGAGCTTATTGAGAAAAAGGAAGCCAGGCAATCTGTGCCTAGACCAGGGGACACGTCCAAGGCGGGAGAAGATACCACCATCAGCAATGCTGGAGGACCAGTGGGGAGAGAGATTGCCGCCAAGTCACCTGACACATATGGCGAAGAAAGTGGTTTCAGCATGGAAAATGAAGTTCATAGGGAGGTTGTGTATGGCCTGATGGCTGCACCATATTGTCCATGGAGGAATCCTAAAGTTTCTACAAATAATTCTGATGGTAAAACAAGGAGACTAAAAGTGAGACATTCGAAAAAATCTCGAATACACAAGTCTAAAGGTGTTGCTGTAGATAGTAATCTTAAGGCAGATGGTTCAGGTGGACCATCTCCAAAGAAGACTGCATCTCCTGATTCCCATGATGTAGATGGAAGTGCTGGTTCATCAACCTTCATGAACGAGAAAGACCGTAGTGTGAAACGTCCTCTCCAAATTACTCCTATTGCAATGTTCAATCCATGGCCTGACAACAGTGACAATAATTCTGCTGGACCTGTCAAAAACGAAACTGTTGTCTATTCACCTGGAGGAAGTGACGATATGATGCCTCCACATAATGTCGCCAGCGCAGCAGATGAAGTGGATGGAGAGGTTGTTGGTGGTGTTGTGAAAGAGAATGCGGGATCAAGTCATGGAAAAAAGAAGCAGATTTTGCCTTGGCGGCAGAAGGGCAAGGCTGTTGCGAGGAAAAGCACTCCGAAAGTAAAATTCTCAGGATCGCCATTCAGAAAAAAGCAGCACAAAGTTCGTACTTCCGATGATGTGGATGAGGGTCCCGGCTCTTCAAAGTCTAGCACGAGTCGCAAATCACGAGATTTCGAAATTGACTTGCCTCCCATTGCTCCTCCCTCTGGTCGGAAAAGTTCCGGCCAAGGCGATGCGCGCAACAGAGTGAGAGAAACTCTCAGGCTGTTTCATGCTATTTGTAGAAAGTGCCTACAGCATGAAGAAGCAAACACAGTGCCTGGACAGGAAGGGAAAAAATCGAAGCAGTCCGAGAAAAAACTTATCAGAATCGATCTGCACGCTGCGAAGATTGTTATAGCCGAAGGAAGAGATGTCAACACCGGACGGCAAATTCTCGGACAAGTTCCTGGAGTTGAAGTGGGGGACGAGTTTCAGTACAGAGTGGAGCTCGCACTTGTCGGCATCCACCGCCTCTACCAGGCTGGCATAGATTCTATAAAACTCGACAACGGAGTGCCTGTGGCCGTAAGTATTGTATCCTCCGGTTCTTATGCTGATGACGTGGAAAATGCCGATACGTTGATATACTCTGGGCAAGGAGGAAATGTCGTTGTGCAGGCTAAACAAAAGTCTAAAGAACCAGAAGATCAAAAACTCGAAAAAGGAAATCTTGCTCTGAAGAACAGCATCACAACACAGACCCCAGTTCGTGTTGTTCGTGGATGGAAGGAGACGAAAGTTGTGGACCTCGCAGATCAAAGAGCCAAGATAGTCACTACCTATGTTTACGATGGGCTTTACACGGTGACGAATTATTGGACAGAAACTGGGCCCCACGGTAAGCAGGTTTTCATGTTCGAGTTAAAGAGAAACCCCGGTCAGCCCGAGCTCGCTTGGAAAGAGCTGAAGAAGTCTAGCAAGTCCAAAATCCGGGCAGGCGTGTGCGTGGCTGATATTTCGGGCGGTAAAGAAGCCTTAGCAATTTCTGCTGTGAATACTTGCGACAGTGACAAACCACCTAATTTCAACTACATTTCGAAGATGATGTATCCCAATTGGCACCGTTCGATTCCGCCAGCTGGCTGTGACTGCATTGGCCGGTGCTCCGACTCGAGGAAATGCCGGTGTGCGGTGAAAAACGGAGGCGAAATCCCCTACAATCGTAATGGCGCTTTAGTAGAAACCAAACCCCTCGTTTACGAGTGTGGGCCCCACTGCAAATGCCCACCTTCTTGCTATAATAGGGTCGGTCAACGTGGAATCAAATTCCGGCTCGAGATATTCAAGACTGAATCTAGAGGGTGGGGGGTTAGGCCCCTAACCTCCATACCTTCCGGAAGCTTCATATGCGAGTACGTGGGGGAGCTTCTAGAAGACAAGGAAGCCGAACGGAGAGTCGGGAGCGACGAGTATTTATTCGACATTGGGCAAAACTACAGCGACTGCCCCTCTCTCAAACCCGAAGAACAACACAGTGAAGAAAGTGGATATACGATTGATGCTGCACATTACGGAAACGTGGGGAGGTTTATCAACCACAGCTGTTCGCCTAACCTTTACGCGCAGAATGTGATACACGACCACGATGACAGAAAGATGCCCCATGTGATGCTTTTCGCAATGGAGAATATTCCTCCGTTGCAGGAGCTGACCTATCACTACAACTACTCGGTTGGTCAGATTAGTGACCCTAATGGGAATATTAAGGTTAAAAAGTGTTATTGTGGTACTGCAGCATGTACCGGCAGGATGTACTGAAATTTTATATTTATATACATCTGCATGTAGATATATATAATGTTGGAAATGTTGTGACAAGGGTTTAAACCTTTTTTCATGAAATTTGAATCTTGAGGTATGGATGGATGATTTAGCAGATGAATATTTTATTCTGTATTGTTGTACTTGTTTCAACTTTGGAATACTCTAGACGCTTCTGGAAGTTGTACAACTTTGAGATACTTCTAGAAGCTTCTATTGAGCTAATTTTGGATTTAAATTTTGTTGGTAATTTCATTTAAAAATTCAATCACACTCTGAGTATGGAAATATTCACCTAAATTAACAGCAGAAATTGCATTTCTAACAATGAAGTAGTAATTAACCACAGAACATAGGCAAGGCAAGAACACGCGCGCGCGCAAACACACGAAAACAGTCGAATCGACAACTAACCAGAAGACTATATAAGATTCAACTCAAAGTTAACATACTATTCAAATACAAGTCATGAGATATGCATGTATATTTATAAAAATAAATAGTAATAAAAAAAAAAAAAGTCATTTTATATTGATTAAAAAATATAGTTTGAGGGGTGAAGAATGAAATATAGGTGATAAAATTTTGGGGAGCCACTAAAAGGGCTACTACCCTTTATCAACATCACCACAATAAAACCTCTCTCTATCCTATATATAAAGTTCAGAGTATATTTAAATTAAAAAAAAAAAAAAAAAACTTTTATTCCATAAAACTACTCCCCACTATAACCATGAGAGATGAAACAGCACCAAATCAGCACAAAATCGCACGTCCGTTCGATGATCCGTCCAAGGCCGCAAAACAGATACATAACCAGCTCTTAGTAGAAATCGGAGACGGATAATCATGGTGTGTGGGGTCCACTAGTTTCATCAATCATGGCCACAGTGCGGTAGACTGTTCTGCCTAAGCAGCGGTAATGAATAAGCTGCTGCTTCCGGAAAATTCTTCGCAGCTGTCGGAAATTTCCGAAGAATCGGTGTTGGCTTTCTCTGTCTTTTCGTCATTCTCAATCTCCAACGAGCGGCAATTGCTACTGCAAAATGCTTTCTCACCCCTGCACGGACATCAAACAACCAATAGAAATCCACGCATTAGAATCCAACGTAAAAGCAGTGCATATATATATAAATTGAGGAAGGAATTAAAAATTTATTGAGGCTAACCTATACATGTAGATATCTTCACCATCCAAATTTTTGTGGCAAGAATAACAGAATTTCAAGAAATCATCATCGAGCGGATTAGAAGCACCACCATCCTCAATTTTCTTGAAAAACTCGATCTTTTCTTCCTTCTGGCGTTCCAAAATGCAGCCACGACCATCGTCAATTTTCTTGAAAAACTCAAAATTTTCGTCCTTGTGGCGTTCCAAAATGCAGTCACCGTAAATATGGGTAACTTTCGGATTGGGGCCGTGAGTTATAACGCAAGTATAATCCTCAGAGAGCTCGATTTCGCTCGCCGGAATAATAAATCCAGACTCTAAAGGCGTCGGATTCATCACATTCACATTCACATTCACATTCTCACGAACCAAATTACCCGACCCGAACCTTGATTTGCGATTTCCGAAATTCTTCAAGTACCTTCCGGAAGAATCCATCGAGCAAGCACGGGTAGCTCCGTTTGACTCGGGCTCAAACGGGGCTTCTCCGATTTCAAACACAACATTAGAATCGCCCTTTCGAACATTGGCTCGTTTCGAAAATGCAGCAACGTCTTTAGGCAGTGAGTTGGTTTTCTCATGGCTACAAAAAATCGGACAAGGAATATTCACTTGTCGCCCGAAAAGAATGTTTTTATTTTCAGAGGGTCGATTGAATTCCCCAGCTTGCTTAGTTTCGTTATCGAGAGAATCTATAATGCTTAGGCCTACTTTGCTACAACCCCAGCTCTTAACGCACCCTTCGTTTTGTGTCTTAGGACACCTAAATGGATTGCCCAAACCCGAAAAAATCCTAAAATCCAACGGAGAGGTTGGACTTCTAACAGAATCGGATTCGGAACTTTTGGGATTGAATCCGACGAATAGGCCAGGTGCCTTCGTAAAGGTATCATTTTTATGTTTTTGAGTCGAAGTATCGGAGTGAAAATAAGACTCCGATACGGAATCAGGCATCAAATTGTTCATGTGTTGATCTCTCTGGTGTGATCTTGTTCTCTTCCTCAGCATTGTTCCAAAAGCTCCGACCTTTAAATAATCGCGAAAATATCCCAACAGCCTGTAGTCGAAATTAAGAGGATTCCTTTAGAAATTAGTGCATTTTACCAATTAATTGAATGCAGAATCAGATGAGGGGAAAAGTACAGCAAGAAAATTGAAAACTATGAGCTGCATTGCACAGTAGTAAACATTATCCAACAGGTATACAATACAAATGCAATTAATTACAGTGGGCAATTAATAAAACAATTTTTTCAACAATCTCCCTTCAGATTAGAAATTAATTATGGGCAAAGATTCAAGATTTGAAAATAAAACAGAATATAAAAACAAGGGTTTTTCAAAAAAAAAAAAACCCAGATAAGAGATCTTTTCAAGAATCAAACAAGAACAATGGCGTGGATTAAAAGAATATAAATTAATGAGAGAAAAAATGATCGAGGAAAGGTGAAAGGGGTCAACTTTTGCACTCAAGAACAGTAATAATTAGTCAAATAAGGAAAGAAACACAAATGCTTGTGACAAAAATTAATGGAGTTGATACATTTGAAACATTTGCAAATAAGGACCTCCTGATCAAGATCATCTACCCTAAAAAAAATTAAAAATTAAAAAATTCAAATAAAGATAAACCCCTCATGAATAAAAAAATTGCTAATTTTATTCATAATCGAACTCAGAGATGCAGCATTCAGTCCAGGAATTAAGAAAATCAACCAAGAAGCAATGACCCAGATGATGAATTAACAAATTATTAAATAAAGATTCGAACTTTGTCAAAAAAAAAAAAAAGATTTGATTTTTTTTTTCTTCTGCAGAAATAAATAAAATAAAATTAAGGGGGGAATAAAGAATCCCACCTTGTTCTTCACTCCAGAAAAACAAATGTGGGTTTGAGTGAGATGAAGAAATTAACCAAAATGCAATGAAAGAGAAATGGAGACCCCTCTCCTGTCTTTATCTGTGTGTGTGTGTGTGTGTGTGTGTGTGTGTGTGAACCTTGCACAGTACACCTCTCTCTCTCTCTCTCTCTAGCATAAAAATCAGAGCATCAGTGAGCTTCTCATATACTCTTTCTCTCTTCTCTCTTTCTCTCTCCCTCTGTGAAATTTACACATGGCATTGTGTTTTTATTTGCTATGTATTTGTTTCATATATATACACACATTGACATACCTTTTACTGTGTGTATTCAGAGCTGGAAATACATGCCCACATTTAAAAACAATGTACCCAACTGTATTTCTTCACCATATTCAATTTCAAGAAAATACTCTTCTCCTTTTCTTTTACTTCCACTCTAAGGAAAATTTTAGAGATAAAATCTTGATAATAATTTTTTTTTACAACTTTTGTTAATAGGGATTAAGGATTAATTAAGCTATTGTTAATGGTTATATATTGGAGATATATATATATATGAAATGACACGATTTATCTCACTAACAGCTTATTTTTTTTCGATAAAATGGTCATTTTCATCATTACATGTGAATCGAATTCGAAATTTATCATGGTTAATTTTGCAACTGAATTATTTTTGCACGATCTCTTTCATACTCGTGTAATCACATACTAGTAAAAAGCAATTATTTCGATAGCATATATTTGTCATCGGATTCGGCTTTGAGAAAATCTATGTTGGGATTGGCTTTAATTGTAATACAATGCGTTACACTTTTGCGATTAATTAAAAGCGCTGTACGACAACTTTCTCAAAACTCGGAGTCAAACTATATTAATGTGGTGTCATAAATCGTATTCGAAATTTTATTATTTTCGGCAATTAGTGATTACTCGTGCTATATCAAAAAACTTTTGATGGATTGTAAGAATAATAGATACATAGTAAGAAAAATAATTTCGATAACATAATTAGTCAACGGATTCGACTTTAAAATATATATGTTGAGATTGTGTCGCTTTAATTGTAAAATAGTACATTACACGTTTACAATTAATTAAAAGCACTATATGACAACTTTCTTGAAAATCGGGATCAATCTATCAATGTGATATCAGAAATGGTATTCGAAAGTTATTATTTTCGGCAACTAATAATTACTCGAACTATATTAAAAAAAAAGTTTTCGAAAGATTGTAACAATGATATATATGTAATTTTGAATTACAATTATACGAAATTGAACTTGCACTAAAACTTATCTATGTCGATATCAATTATTCGTAATGTAACACCCTCTTTTCACATTTACAATTAGGATTAGAAATTTAGTCGCGCCTACCCGAAATTCGATGACTACGCCAATTTTCATTTGAATTATTGTGAGCATGGTCAAGTTTGAACCAAGTGAATTTTTTTAATATTCCGAAGGTTGATGGCTCGGCTCGACTTTACTGGAATAAAGTCTAGTTATCTATTATATTGTAACTTAGAATGAAAAGAATTAGAAATTTCAATTCAAAATTGGACTCAATATTTTTTTATAATTTCGATTTTGATCTAATTTTAATTTTTAATTTTTATTCTAACTAGTAGAAATTTAATCTTATCTTATCTGATCCAATTTAATCTAATATATGTAACCGAACGATCTCCTCCGTCATGGATTAATATTCCTAATGGGCCTTAAGTAATTAAATTAATGGTTAAAGTTTCCTTGTAAATGGGTTGTGATATTGGGTTTTCATGAGATTATCTAATTCGATCGAACAGTAACGGGTCGACCCATTGGGTCGGTCCAATGAGATATATATCATAAACAAATAAAATAAAATCTAATTATCTAATTCATTTACTATTTATTCAATTTTGGATACGTACGTACACACATATATATATACATATTCTTTGTTTGTTTAATTAAATAATAAACATTCTCTCATTTAAAGTGTAATTTTGTTGTATTCACGTGCAATTGTAGGGCATGAAGATGTATACCAAATCCTCGTATGTCATGATAATAATTATTATAAAAATAATTGAAGTGAAATAAATAAATAATACTCCAAAACAAAGTACTTTAATGTATTTTAATTATTTAATAAAAATATTTAAGAAAAAAGGAAATCGTGTTTCACTTTAGGGGATGACGATTCATTACAAAACGACAAATTCAAAGGGGGTGTGAGTGCGGGTCCCACTCTGTGTACTTTGCTGTTATTTTTAATTAATTTGCAATTAAAACTGTCTGACCACTTTATTTTTATTTTTTTACCTTTTTCTTTTCTTTTTCTCTTTTATTAAAGTCCAACTCAACCTTTGAGACACTCTCAACAATTCAATTTATTATTATTATTAGGGTAAATTACAAACACCCCCCTGAGGTATGGTAAATTTACAAAAACACCCCCTATTGTTTGGATAATTACAACCCCCCCCCTCACTCCCCAAATTTAGTGAAATCTTCGAGATTATATGGGAGTATTATCACTTTTGTACCCG